TAGAATTTTCTAACTTTTTTTTCTTTTCTAGGTATGGTCTTTCGCAGTTTTGCTTTTTGGATGCTATTTAAAAAGATATCTTAATAGTTGTTTTTCTTTTACTTTTATAATCTTTTCTTTCATAGCGTTTTCTCTCGAAAAGGTTGTATAGAACAAAGGCCTTTCAGCAAAAGGTGAATTTTTCTCGTAATGTTGAAATGTTTTTGTTTCAAGCCAGCTAGATACGGTTTCGTCAATTATTGGAAAAATGCTTAGTGGACGATATATTGGAAACAATTGGGTGAAAAGCAAATTATTTTAAATTGAAATCTTAAATGTAATTTTGAATGTCTGCTTAAATTTTTTTCAGCCTAATATTTTCCAAAGTCTTTGACTATGAATATAGAATTAGTTAGGAGAAAAATGCAACATGGATATCAAGTTACTATGACATGGTGTCTTAAACTGCATTTTGAATTTCTGCTTAAATGTTTCTCCCCCTTATACTTTCTTGGCTTTTTTCAGCTTATTCAGCTTTTCAGTCTTGGCTTATAAAAATGGCGAAAGATCAAATCAAAATCGTAAATTGAAAGTGAGTAATTTCTGCAAAATTAAGACAGTTTTTTCTACCAACAAATAAATAGTTTTTGTGGTTTTATTGGATTTAATCCCTTACTTAAGTTGAGTGTATGAAATCTCCGTTAAAACTTTATAGATTTTTTATACTATTCCAAAGGCCTTGGCATTTCATTTCTTTTCAAAATTATCTTATATATTTTACGAACATTTTAGATCATTTTTTTAGAAAAAACACTTTTGAATAACCCATCAAATACAGATACACGCTTAACTTCGTTAAACAGATGAAAAATTGAAATACATTTGTTTTAGATTCTGGTTAACTGTAAACAGTTGCAAGAAAAGAAAATTTGTCTGGAAACGGTGGGTGTTTTAATTTTTAACTGTTAATTCCTATTGCTTAAAGGAATAATTTCTAAAATGTGCTAAGTAAATCTTTATATTATTTGTTCTTTTATATGTAAACATAGAAATTGTTTCTTGGAATGTGTGCCTGGAACAGCAAAGCTAGGCTTGTCGATATAAGATATATTTATTGATTTTATGTCACTGCTCATACCAGTAAGACAACGAGACGAAGATCTATCTATACATTCATGTCGACATTGCAAGCATAAGCACCAGCTAGAGCCAAGAAAACTTTCGTTTTTGCGCGCCACAAGGAATCTTTAGAAATCAGGACAGGGAAACAAATTTTTGATAATGGGCTTAGGTAAAATAAGCATTCAATCAATATTTGAAAATGGCGATACTTTCAATGAATCAAAAACGATAATAAAATGCCAAAATCTAAGCAAAAAGTTAAGGGAACTGTTTAAGAATTATTGAAAAACCTTCTATTAATTTCAAAATTAGGAATTTTGCACAATTATCTGCACCAAAACTCATCTGATCGATTTATTAAGTTTGACTGAAAAGTTTATCAAAAATTATATGAAATGCTTGCTGCTTATTTGATTTTTACATTCATTGTTTGTTGGTTGGTGATTTTGAGGGTCTGTTGATGATTTTGCTGTTAGGGTGGTTGATTGATTGGTTGATGTTTGATGTGGTATGAAAGTTTTTGGTGGTTCGGTCTGGACAACGAAATTGAATGTAAACTTCATTAAGCTGCAAGCGAGGAACAAATGTTCACATCCATCATTTTTATCGTTTTGATAACAATTAATTTGGAAAAACTTTTCCAAATTTAATTTGTCAATACTGGCCTTTAGAGCACAAGTCCAAAATCTTTTTATATGTCAGCTCTTTCTTCAAAAGATAAATTCTGAAAAAACCTCAAAATTAACTGGGTAATTTTTTTTCAAAAAAATTAGCTTCTAGATTATTTAGGGTTTTTTATTATAAGTTTATTCCAAGCCATCAAAACGTCCCCTCTAACGAATAAGGTGTCATACTTTGTTAAAATGAACTTCCGGTTGTCTTGATATTTAGTCTTTTGTCAAACTTTTCCTAAAATTGTTCATCTCAAGGGCTGGGGCAGTTTTCAACGTTCGCATAATTCCCAAGAGATATGTACACAAAAGCGTGATGCAAAAACCGTGCCTCTCTTAACATGCAAAAGAGCCATGCCCCTGGGATACTTGTTTACTTCAATCGCAAAGCTTGCCATTTAACATCGCTCGTTTTTTTGATTACCATGAAACATGTTTGTTAGAACTGGAAACTCAAAAAAACAAATTCACAATATTTATATCGTTTTCTAAAATAACTGTTTGATATATTTCTGGCATTACAAATTTAATTGTATAATTTCAGTGATGCTTGCTAAGCCATTCAATTACACATTTTATCACAATCTTGCAAACACCTAGTTGCAAATTGCAATGCTACAGATCATTATTTGTTTGTGCAAAACCACAGTTCAGCCAAAATCAACATGCTTTAGATGCGTTTACAATTTGTGTTCTCTTATGGGTAGAACATGGCTTGCTTGGAGATAGAGAGTCCCATGGGTGACAGGCAAGCAAGGCAATACCTGAATATCTTTGCATTTCTTTACCTTCATAGAAATTAAGTGTAAGGTTCGTTTACAACAGGCTTGGCTGGTTTCGTCGCTCTGTCGATTGAGAAAATCAAGAACGTTAAGCACTATGTAAACATAAACAAACTTTGAAGATCTTTTGCATAAATTATATCCTGGAAACTTGGAAACTAAATCTTTTTTTGAAAAGTTTTTGTATTCGAGTTTGCTGGTTGCTGTTTCGTCCTTTCAGATTTTGGAGAACAAGAAGGGAAGAAGGCATGAGAAGCAGGACAGAAGTCAGAAGATTCTGAAGATTTATGAACAATCGAACTTATTATTATGGTAGATTAGAGAAAATTCGTTAACTGGCAGCATCTTGCAGTACTGGATTTTTTTATGATCGATAAGGATTATTTAGGCGATAAGTAAGCCATCGTGCAATTGGAGATTAGAACATCAGGAGGATGTAGGGATCCCAAGGTAAACTTCTTTGAAATTATTCAACTTTTAGGGTTTCTCTTAATCTCTTAGGCACACCCGATAACCCTAGCACATGTGAATACCTCGGCCGAAGCCTTTCTAGCAGTCAGATTAGGCTTGTTAGGATTTCAGCATAATACTCCAATTACAGTCGCCTATCTTAGGTTTTGAGGTAGCTCCAAGACCCTCCAAGTAACCCTCTTTCCAAGAGCTTTCTTCCCGGCAATTAAAACTAATTATTTATTAGAATTTAAGTTACCTCAAAGATCTTTAATAGCACACCCAACCCCTTAGCTAAGTAGACACCAACACATTTTATGTTTTTAAGAATACAATTTAACCTGTCAAAGTCTAGGTTGCCCAGATACCCCTTTTTGCAGACCTCGATAATTAATTTCAATTTTTAGCATATTCCTCCTATTAGAATATCATTAGGTTCATACATTCGCATTTTTAAAGTCTAAATTTTGCGAGATATTGCCGAGTAACCGTACTTAGTTTAGCGATGTAAGATTGAAAAGGTTTACTCTTCGGATGGATGTGAGCAAGGCGCCTGTTTTCATCTGTCTTTAGAGTATGCCGTTTCTTTTTGTTTAACGTAGTATTAATCATTGTAATTAGTATACTTGTAGTATATCATTATGCTTGTAATTAGCTTGTAGTATGCTTAGGAGACTGTTTTCCGTGTTGCGTTAGGGGTTATGGCACGGCGTTTTAATCGGAGAGTTACCAAGAGGGCCTTGTCCTTCTTGTTAACCCTTTGCTTAAAACGCCATGTTTACATAACCCCTAACTCAACATTGAAAGGGTTTTCTTAGCACGGTGTTTTAATCAGAGGGTTAACAAGGGGAACTTCTTTTTCCTCTTGTTAACCCTTTGCTTAAAACACCATGCTAAGACAAACCCCAACTGAAAACAGTCTCCTCGGCACATAGAGTAGACATTAAATTGTACGTAGAGTAAGATCGCTTGAATGAAGTGGAGAAAATCAAACAGAATTGTTTTCAACCCCCCGTCTTTCTACTGCTGCAAACGAGGCTACTGAACCCCCGTCTTTTTGTAAAACGAAAACGAGGCCATGCGGGCAAAATAGAGGCACCTGATTGGCTACTAAACAAAAGAAAAACAATAGAGAAACAGCATGCTCTGATTGGTCAACTAACAATAGAATAATTGAAATAGCGAGTTCTGATTGGTCGAAAATACAATAGAGCGGGGCCAAAATAGCGTAATCTGATTGGTTAATAAACAATGGTGGCCCTCTGCGGCCAAGGGCTAGCTCAAAATTAGTATATTTGTAGGTGACGGCTCCTGCCCGCAGCCACCAAAAGGGCTGAAATGGAGCAATCTGATTGGTTAAAGACAATGAGCTGTCAATCATTTGCGGCTCCAAGCCGCCTTTTGGTCAACCACTGGTCGCGGCCAACTTTCTTGCCTGAAGACAATGAAAAGCCGGGGGACTTTGCTCAAGTAATCTCTGAAATTCTGATCCCAATTTGAAAAGAGATTTCAAAAGAAATCCGGGGGAATGTCTTTTGAATTTCTATTGTAATTATTGGAGACTTCAATAGAAATATCGACTAAGTTCCCAGTAGAGTACAAAGAAACAAGATGAGAATACAATACAACTCTGTCATTGATATAAAAGAAATTTTACAAAGTCGGGGGTAAATTCAATAGAATCTAAGACAAATTACAATGGAAAACGGGGGGAAATTCAAAAGAAATTTAGGCGAAATACAATGGAAAATCAGGGGGCAATTCAAAAGAAATTTGAGCGAAATACAATAGAAAACGGGGGGAATTTCAAAGGAAATTTGAGCGAAATACAATAGAAAACGGGGGGAAATTCAAAAGAAATTTAAGGCGAAAGACAAAAGAAAACGGGGGGAAATTCAAAAGAAATTTAGGCGAAATACAATAGAAAACGGGGGGAATTTCAAAAGAAATTTAGGCGAAATACAAAAGAAAACGGGGGGAAATTCAAAAGAAATTTAGGCGAAATACAATAGAAAACGGGGGGAATTTCAAAAGAAATTTAGGCGAAATACAAAAGAAAACGGGGGGAAATTCAAAAGAAATTTAGGCGAAATACAAAAGAAAACGGGGGGAAATTCAAAAGAAATTTAGGCGAAATACAATGGAAAATCAGGGGGTAAATCAAAAGAAATCAAGACGAAATACAATAGAAAACGGGGGGAATTTCAAAAGAAATTTACGTGAAATACAATAGAAAACGGGGGGAAATTCAATAGATATTCGTTTCAAATACAATAGGAAACGGGGGCAAATTCAAAAGAAATTTACGTGAAATACAGTTGAAAATAGGGGGCGATTCAAAATAACTGAGAAGAAATACAGTGGGAAAATCTAAATAGGTATATCTTGAAAAAATCTTAGATGCTACGCTTAGGTGAGGGGGGGAGTTTAAGCAACAATTAATGATTTATATACGAAGATTAAAACGATACCTAGGAATAACGAATGTCTTTTCTTTATACAATTTAAAATACTTGAAATGTTCTCAGTTCGTCGGGGCTTCTGAGGATTCTGAGACAGTCGTCAAGTAGAATCGCAAATATCGCATGGCACTCTCAGCGGTCTAAAATTATGACCTGCAACAAAATGCCAAACCTTTAATTACACTTTATGCTGCAAATCACAACATTGATTTAAATATTGGCAATTTATCTTAACATCATCAATTTGGTGGAAAGGAACCCTCGACTAGTAAATAAAGGTCTCAAAACAAGCAAAATGCGACAGAAGTCGAAATCTTGATAAAATGAAAGAATCTAGGGGGCAAATGTTTCAGAAAAGAGATTTGTGAGCTCAAAGCACACTTACAGACGTAAAGATTATGAGAAAGAAACTTAGCTCATGGGTTACGGTTGCCAGTCTCAAGAATATTGAGAGGGCACGGTGCCCCTTATGCACCCCCAATGCTACGTTTTCTTGTAACCCCGGCCTAGAATTATTACGATGGATTACAAGTTGATAAATTGAAAATATTTCAAAGTCTTTCTGATGGTTCAAACTGAGCAACCTATAAGCCAGGAACAAAAGCTGTGATAATTTTGGTTCATTTGGAGCATGGGTCGCTTCCCAAATACGAAAGTTAAACGGCGCTTCAGTTTCGTTGAATAATCATAGAAAAACTTAAAAACTTCGAAAATACAAAACACTTACAATGATGTGTGCTCTGAGAGAAAAATCAACCAATAGGGCTCGTTAAAACTCGAAAAATCTCCATAAAGGCCGCACATCGACTTCATTTACAGCCATTTTGATCGAATCAACCAGACCACGTTTTTAGGTGTGAAAATGTTTTGTGTTCATTTCAAAAGAACACTCTGGCTCTGAAAAGGAAATTCAGTGCGCTTTTCAAATGGAAAACACAAGTACATATAGCAGGAAACTTTCGCATAGCGTTGTTTTTTATTTGTTAACAAATAGAGTTCAGTGGCGCATATGCTAGCCAGAAGGTTACTCGTTCCAAAGGAAAAAATATGAAAGCTGCAAAGATATAGGGGCCTCTCATACGCTTTTGACCCCGGTCGCCTCAGCCTTTGAAACGACCGCTGCTGGAGTTAGATGTAACTTTAGAGAAGCCCAAAGTTTTGAGGAAATAGGCATTGATGCAGGAGGGGGAGGGACAATGATTTTCTTTAATATCCACAAACCAATTGAAAAAAACTACACGAGAGGCCATGCAATTTTTTAACCAACGGCCAGTGGAGCAAGTTATCATTCCAAAAAACCAAAGCCTATATCAACTTCCCATGTCAAAAGCTCAGCTCCCTGACTACAAATTAGATGACATAAGAATTTTGAAACTATCATTTCTTCATATTTCTTGGAAGTAAACTAGGGATACTAAGCTTACAAGACAAGCAGATTTTCTGCCAGTTAGAAAAAAGAAGACTATTGATCAGTTTAATCAGTTTGATTATATTTCAGGGTTGGCAGAGAATATTGCGGATTCGAGAAGCCCGAAAAGTGGGTGCAAAAAGATTTTGCTTTTGTTTAGAGCTAAGAACTATATATCAGTAGGGAACACGAGAGTGTATTAAAAAAGAATAGAAATAAGTGGAGAATGAAAAAACAGTTAGCCAATAACCCATTTCTAGCTGACAAATAGCAAACTAAACTTTAATGATAAGCCTATTAAATTTTCCATTGGCCATGTTAGATGGAAAAATATATTAAGAATTCGTTCATTCCGTGGGGAGGGGGGTGTCTTTTCGCGTTCACTCTCTTTCTGTTAATTAAGGCTGGGCAATTGCCTTGTTAATAAACGCTGTTACTCTTAGATTTTGAGAACACACCTGATAAGTTCTGTACATACGATACGGACGTGTGTTCTGAAGTAGAGGAGGGTCCAGGCTCTTCAAGGTGCATATCAATTCCCTGCTTTAGTTAGCAAATTCTACAAAAAAATCAAACAATTAGGAATTTTTGGTAAATAAAATATAGCAAAGAAATAAGCAAAATAAAAGATGATTGTATTGGAAATAAATAAGAACAAAGAGCTAATCATAAATGGCACCTTTTTGCAAGATGAAATAAATAGCAAGGATGACTTGAAACTGCTTCAGACCAAAGTCTCCATTTTGCATTTGGTAGATCCTACATCACACAAAGAAACAACAAGCTCTGATTGGCCAGAAAACAATAGAATTGTTAAAAGAGCGAGTTCTGATTGGTCGAAAATACAATAATAACAATAAATACAAGTGGTTCTTCTTTCGATTATGAATCCTCTCTATTCATCAACGTGTTATAAAGCTTTCTCTAATTAGCAACGCCTCTAAGATCATGAGAATCTCCTTGTGCTATTAACCTACCAAAATACATTTCTATTTATCATGATACCCAAACATCAAACTTGTCCAAACGTCAAAATTTGATATAATAATGAGCAACATACAATAACAGAAAAATATTTGGAATACGTATATTGTATCCAGTTTTGTATCATACATTTATTGAATATTATACAGTCGACTTGTTCTGCTGTTTTAAATTAATAGATATGTAGAAACAACTTTATTGATTATCATGTGTATGAACAATAATTATACCAAGGCTTATGGGATATGCTTGATTCGTCATTAATTAATATTATTTATTCGATTATATTGTACAGCACGCAAACTGGTGTGTAAAAGTCATCTGTTTGAGGTCACATGTAGCGTTTCGAGCTCCGAGAAAGGTAGAAAATAGCCGAATACTCACATTATCTTTCAGAAATGAGTTCAGCAATGTCTTTAAAAGGCTGCAAAACGAAGGATATTGAAAAAGAATCCAGGAGTGCAAAGCAGAAAAAACGAAAAAAATAGCACTTAACAAATATTGCATGATTTTGCTTGTAATTATACAGTGGCGTTGGAACGAAATCCATATTATTTCTTGTATTCCTTCTCATTGTATTTCTTCTCATTGAGTACACTGTTATAAAGGAAACATGCCACAGTTTGACAATCATTGGGGGGGGGGGGGTTGGGGCTCTAGCCCGAACGTAGCTACATTGCAATTTCATAAAACAAATATACACAATTCTTAGAAAAGGAAACGTTTACTTTCTCCAAGATTTAATGAAAAGAGAAAAATGTTGCTGACTTCAGCTCACCTTGTAACAGACCACAGAAGTCGAAACTCAATCCTGTTGAACTTCTTGGTTCCAGTTTATATACACCAAGGAGGCAAAACAATGTTCGCAAGATAAACTTTGAAGCTATCATAGTTTATATCATCGGCTGGTTCTGCAAAATGACTAACATAATCCATATATACTAAACATCTTGGCCCAGTTTCTAAAAAAATTGGGTCCGAGATTCCTTCGCTTCTACTTCATAGAATGATTTGTGTAAATCTAGGTCTTTTCTACGTAGCTTCAGGATCACGGATATGCAGTTAGGGTATCCATTGACAAAATATGGATGAATAAGAACTAAATGCAAAGATAAGTTACCTTTCAACACATAATTGTTAATTACCATATAAAGCAAGAGTGATAAGAAAGCAATGGGTGACCAACTTCAGCTAGGAGAAATCAAAAAGGCAATACAAGATAAGTTAAAATTTTAAACATAAGATTATTGATTCTTTTTGAAAGGGCATCTAGTTTAAACAAAATATATATGTTTCACTCGTATAGGACTGCAAGTCAAGCTACCATGTTCATGGACTCAAATAAGAAAATAACACAGGATTACTTAAACTTTAACCAATCAACACTCTCTAAACTGTATTTTTTATAAAGCCTGGTTGATTCTGTTGATTCTGTCCGAAAAAATTTCTTACAACAGATACACTATGCCCATTTTAGGTGAATTTTTTGAAGGAGAAATATCTGAAACCACTAAGCTGATAAATAAGTAGAGGATGGGGAGGGGGGGGGGCTAAAAGATTAAATCAACATCCAGTACTGAATTGGAAGTTTAGCGCCAGCGATCAGTGACCTCTTACCTTTCCTTATCGTAAAATATCCCCCATGATCCTTTGCAAAAAAATTCTTCAGTCATATAATAGCTAAACAAACCATTGCTTAAATCATGGGTATTCGATGCATATTATTTGGGAAGCTGCCAAAAAGATACATTTTTTTTAAAGTTGGGCTAAGATTGATATTCAGGAAAATGTGCTTAAGATATTATACAATTTCACGAAAACATACTTAAATGATTGAAAAGTACATTCATTACAATGAACTACAAAAAATTTAAAGCATTGACTAAAAGTGCAGTATGCCAGTCGATTCTAAGTTAAATATAATGAGTTTTATTATGTTCTTAGTATGCTGATTCTCTCTCTAGCTCAAAACTACTATTTAAACAACGCACAATACAAAAAATAAAATAAGAAATAAGAGGAGTGAAATAAAAATCGCACGAGATAAACGAAGTTAATAAGATGCTTGCGTCCAGAACTGTGGGGCATACCCCCCCTCTAGTTTCTGTTGATTGCCTTTAAGAAATTCTTCTCTGTCGTCTGTCGAAAAGCAGATGCTTCAAACCCCAGCTTTGCTCTATATGTCTTTAGGGTTTTAGTTGCTGTAGTAACTAATCATCTATCAAAGGCTAATGGTCAAGTCGAGTTCGCAACGCCAGGATGGAATTCTATTGTGCTATACTAGCGAAAAACTCATGGTGGATGGATACAGGCTTTTTTTCCATTTTTTGGCAGTAAAACTTCTTTAGAATATAGAAAAATACTTTTAGAATGGAAATCTGAGTTTCGTTGATTAACAATGAACCTTGCATGAGCTGCAGGGGAATTTACAAATCTCGATGATATAGGCCGCCATTGTGTCTATTAAGATTTTTGCCCTACTGGTGGGATTCAAGCGGATGGAAAAACATGATAGCGTGGATAAAGATTAAAATATCAAACCCTGAAGATCTGCTTCAGACCTATCTAATTTCTAATTATTTACAAGAATAAGCGAGAACATGAGATATAAACAGATATTAACAATAAACAAGCTTTGGCATGTTAAAAATCTTTCTGATATGTTGCCACCGCAAGGCACAATGATGCAGGAGGTAAAAACACTTATGAGAAGGTAAAACATGGATGTAGCATGAAGCAAAGTTTATTCGTTTACGAGCGCACAGGGGGCTGTTTTCAAATCAAAGTGGGAAGGATGGAAATTTTAAAAGTATTAACAAAGTATAATGATCAACAAAGTACATTGCATACAATATCAAAATACATTGTGAAAATTTCATGGAAATAGCGGCCGTACTTTTTTAATGAGAAAGATTTTAAAAAAGTCTTTCAAAATTTGTTGCGTAAAATGTCTAAGAAATTTCGATATTTGTCCCAATACTTTTTGAACGTAAGTGTACATCAATCCAAAACCTTTCATAGAGGGGGAAATTTCAAAATTGTTCCAAACACTTGAGCAAAACTGCCTACCGATGTTACCCGATCGTCGATGCAGATGTTAAAATGAATTTGGAAGCAGACAAGGCATGACTGTCCAAAAACAAACTCAAATTCTTTAAAAGGTTTCAATTATCTTTGCATTTCAGAAAGGAAAGATATTAAAATGCAATATTACAAGATGTGGCCAATGGACAGAGGTATGAATGGGCAAAGACAGCCCTCCAACGGGGAAACGGGGAAGCAGGAAAATTTACTTGCCACGCAGGACAATTGGTTCAAATAACACAAGGACATGGTTCGAAAAAGTCATCTGAACACATGGCACACTGGGTAGCGTAAAATCTCTGCTATTAAAGCGCTTAGTCGAAGATATCAAGAAGCTCTTGCAATAGTCTTAAAAGCTTAAGAAAACTTAATCTGTTATCTGTTATAATCGACATCGCAGTAAGCATCTACGACAAAGCCTACAAAAATTAATACCGTGGAGTTCTGAACAGACGAGTTTATGAATCACGGGTATCTACACAATAATGGCTCGTCTTCCAACAGTGTTTAAAAACAGTTAGTTCGCAAACTTATAAAATATCACATACTTTTTGCAACCAGAGAGGCAGCTTTACATAACTTCTTCGTAATGATGGTTGAGTGGCATAATCTGCCCCTGGAGATGAAATACCACACGGTAATACACAATGAAAAGATACTTATTAGATACTTATATGAAAAGATCAATATGATTGAGCATTCCAATCAATTACTTCAGTCTACCAATCATTATGATCTTTGTAATCATTCAGTCTGTCTTTTACTGTAATGAGGTAGCCTTTGAATCAACAATCAAAGAATCGATCAATCATCATTCTTCTCTCGAATCGAATCAAGATTGATTGACTGCAGGGCCTACGCCACAAATTTGAAAGTGGGGGGGGGGCAAGGCTAGCAAAAGGTAGGGGGCCAAGGCTTTTCCCCTTTTACTTCTGCTTTAAAGCTACTTGCTTCGCAAATAAGTTAGGGGTTCATGGCCCCTCCGCCCCCCGGTGGCGTGGGTCCTGGACTGAAGTGTAATGATTGATTAGTTGAAGTGAAGTGGTTGATCGGATTGGGTGAAACAAATTTCTATACCGAGGGCAAATAAGGTTACAAAGACGAATATATCATTATAAAGAGGAAAGTCATGAAATAACTAGGGTCAGACCAGCTAACTTGGATCTAAGGAGACGGTCATTGGTAATTGAGTGTACCAAATGTCTCAAAATGTCACATATATGTTCATTTGCTTTTTACAGGCAGCTTTTCACAATCCTATAGCATATAACTCCAAAACATTCTGAAAAATTTTTGTTACAAAACACTATCGATACACGAAGCATTCATAAACTAAAGTATCAAACATTACTTTAACCTTAGTTGTGGGGACCTTTTTACAGCTATTAGCATGGTATCGGAGCTTTAATACAAACTGATTAAAGTTTTTTCATAGACATATTCAAAGAGAACTCACTGGATCCTCTGTGACGGTTTGGCAAAAGGAATCTTCTGGTGGGGTCCTAAAATTGGATTTAATTCAATGATAAGTATGTTTGTAGGTTTTATAACAAATATCAAGGCTTATATTCCGAAAATAGAATCAACCTAGAAGTTGACCAAAGAAACTTCAAAAGAAATAATATATCATATTTGAACCTTTAAATATACCGATTATGAAGATATCGCTATCATGTTTAATCTATAAGGTAGGAGCTGCGTGCTTTATGTTATGTAAGACATTTCTTACAGGTACGACATTAATTACAAAGTAGGACTAATCAGTTTCGTTCACAATCGCAATTTTGTCAATAAGGTACAGTGCATTTTTCAATGAAGTTTGATTTATAACATCATCACTATAAAATCATAATAAAAGCACATTTTGTTTCCCGGGCATGTTTAGACGAAGTACTCCCAGGGTGGACCTCCTAAAACCCAAGTCATTTTTCAAAGAACCTGAACGGTGCTGATTCTGTTTTGGAACTAACCTGGTGGTCCTTCGGCGTCTATAAAAGAAATACCCAAGCACCATTGCTACCAGAAATAGCGCTGCTCCACCAACAGCCCAAGGAATGATAAGCGCATCTAAAAATATGAGTTTGATATTTTCATCAACTATTACAAAAATTTGTTCGTTTTTATAAGCTGAGTAATAGATTTTAGAGCTCAAGCTGAAAAATGCATAGCTAAATATTGGCACAAAGTATTTCAATTTTACCCATGAACACGAGGGTCACACAAAACTGTGAGTAAGGTTGGCTTCTCAATGTCCGATAGACCTTTGCAGGGCCCATCATTCTAGGTATTTTGCTGTGGCTTGGTTAATAAACAAAAGTCTCTTCTTTGCACGGAATTTAAACGTACAGACAAAATTGTGTTCCATTTATGATCCGTACAACTGGGAAGTGGCTGTAAGGAAGGACTCTTTTTCTGTACAAACATCATGGTGAGGTAGGTTAGCAAATTAAATTACTAGGCGCATCAAACCAACACCCCCCCCCCTCCCCGAGAGTGTTGCCACTGAGTTCAAGTTCAAGGTTTGGTGGACAGGAGACTAGCTTCCGAATCATTGGTCGAGCCGCAGCCTTAAACAGCTTTCATCCCTACAATCAAGATCCCTAGCTAGCTACCTTGCAACTTCGCCTTCATTGAATTGAAAAAAAGAACTTTAAAACAAAGATATAACTATGCTTACTAGGCTCTCTTGCCACTCGCGGAGAAGATTTCTGCTTCTTGGACAGCGGGAAAATGTTTGTAACTCCGTACGCACAGGCGCAGCTCGTGCACTTCTGAATAGTGAAAATTATCTGAGTTCCCAGTGGCCTTGGAACAGATAACATGGCAAGAGTAGTGTTACGCAATATTGTGTCAACCGTTTTAGACTCCTTGACAACATGCAATTTGCATCTGTAATAAAAAGGGCCTTTTGTGTCTTCAGTAGGGTCCTAAGACAAAACAAAGGTAGCTTCATGCTCGATGCAGGAAACTATGAGGTTTGAGAGAAGGCTTTTGAAAAGATAACGAAAGCTAACGACTAAATTCTGGAAAACTTCGTCAAGGAAAACCATAATTTCATAGTTTTTTAAAAGTTGTGAAAGATCTCTAAAATCTTGCAAATTTTAAAAAGTTTTACGTTGGATTTTGATAAACATTTTAAATGGCAGGAATGGTATCATGGGCCAGTCTGTAGACTATGGACGTTCTTGAGAGGATTTCGAACATGCATGACCCTTTGAGCAACATTTCAACATGCAAACCTCCTTCACATGGGTGCATACAGAATTTTCTTCATAATACTGCTATGTAGATTCGGTGTGGCAAATTTTAGCCTGCAGCATTTGTATTTGTATTTGCTACCTGACTTCCGAAGGCAGTTCTAGGCCACTGAGTAGCTAAGCTTATCGAGAACGGTCCTGGCCCTTCCTCTTGAATTTACTTCATCTCGTGATTCCTGTGCCAGAACAAAAGTTCCTCATGTCCGTGACTCGAGCCACAGAAGCTTGGATCTGCAGTCAGCGACCCAAAATACTAGACTGGGCTCATGCATGCACCTCCCATACTACGAATATTATATCATTGGCAATGAAAATGGACAGTCTTCAATCAGCTTTAGCGCTTAACAAGACTTGAACATTTGCTAGAGCAATAAAAGCTAGTTGTGAAACTGTGGCTGAACAGATTCGAATGCGAATGAAAGACAAAAACAAGCAAATATATTGGACGATACAAATAGTAAGATGATCTCAAACTAAATAGAGAAAAGTGCTGAAAAAAGGATTTGGCAAGAATTTTCATCTTTTATTTTACATCCTTTGAAAACACCACGTTATTATTTGAGAATGACTATCCACTTCAACCTGCCCCAAGGGGTAGTGCTAGGAAAAGAATGATAGAGGCTTACGCAAAAATTCTCAAAAACCAAAGGTAGAAAGGGGTTTTTTCTTAGCTTTAACAAGGGCAACTCAAACCCCTTGGCTCTAAACCCCTGCTGTCAAATATAACAATAAGAAGAGCAAGCAGGAGTGTCAGCCTCCATAATTTTCAAGTATCCCACGCAGAGATAAAGTCATCAGCATTTTGGATTGAAAGAACAATAGAAAAACTATTAGAAAAAAACAATAGGATCAGAGCAATAGAATAAACAATAGAAATGGACAATAGAAAAGAACAATAGAAATAGAACAATAGATTTCCAGAAAAATTGCAGTAGGAACAAACGAGTATGCAAGGTAACTTTCCAACTGTCTTTTCCAAGTGAACCAAACGTTGGAAAGCTAGATGCAACGAATGAGAAGTGTATAGCTTCATACCTTCCAACGAATCTCTATCGTCTTCATGACGATATTGTCAGCCATCTGAATATCCTTCATTATTGGGATATCATCTACAATAAATACTGTCTATAAAAACCGGGCCTTTTGGTGGGACAAAAATTAAGAAACCATAGTAGTGATAACCCGCAACATTGAAAAACTATTCGAAATTATTCTTCTAAAGATGGTCTTGAAATGATTCTCTCGCTAGACGATAAACGTTTTTGGTTTAATTTACAACGTCTTGCAATGCGTTCTGTGTTTGTGTGTCGAGCTTTCATTATCCTACATTTTCTGTGCTATATTTCTATCTAAAGGATAAACATTTACTAGTACTGCAGGTCACCAAATCACCAAAAATTAATTTCTCTTAGGCTTCCCTTAGAGTAACCTTTGACATCTTCGTAGATGTCAAAGGTTACTCTAAGATGTCAAAGTCCGAGGTCATTTCAGCACAAAGGAACTTTGCATTGCTTTGCATTGACTGGAAGTATTAATTCATGAATGCAAATAGCCATGAATATTGATTACTTCTGGGTGATACTTAGAGTGATAATACAAATAATCAAGTTTAGAAAATGCCTTACAGATAACGGGTAGGAAACATCTATCATCAAAAAATCTACCTGCCTCCCCTAATCACAGGTTGGTAGTTATGTGATCATTTATCACTGTACAAATGAAAATAGTTGCAAACATCATATATTTCATTCTTATAGTTTTATCATCCACTGCAAAAAAGGGAATAACAAACCAAAGGGTCTCAAGAGGTTGTCCACAAAAATAGGATATCACATAAGATATTCTACCCTTGTAGCGAAAACTTTTACGTGGATCTTTTATCCAGAGAAGATCTACAGATCTCGATACAAGAAGCTTTTTCGTGGAAGTTTCTCATGAAGGGTTCTTTTCAAATATTATGTAGGTTCATATAGTTCACGAGAGATTCCATTTGGAAAAGCAAAAAAGCAAGATCTGAAATGAAATACGACTCTAGACATCACAAGTTCGGAAGAAGGCTTCTTGTTGGCTTCTAGTAATGAAATTTGTCTTATGATTAAAATCATGTATGATGATGCAATGGCAAGAGTCTACATCAGTGAGTTTTAATGTAATTTGTTATTCATATACAGTGGTGGTTTTAGGGACTGTGGGGCCCGGGGCCAAAAACATCTGCGGGGACCTTGTTCTTTACAATTTCTATCTTTTTCTTAGGTGTAGGGCCCCTTTTGGCTATCAAAAGCGCGGGGCATGGGGCCATGGACCTGGACCCCCTTAAAAACACCACTGTTCATATAGTAAACAAAAGCAAAAAAGTATACTTGCATCTCATTTCTGTCTGTTTACTTTTGCATGTTTTGATTTGTGGTGTCTTAAGTAAGGTGATGCAAGTGGTGTATATTGTGCAAGGCTTAAGGTCGACTTCAATAATTCTGTATCCTTCATTGACAAAAGCATTAGCCTAAAAAATAGAAAACTGATACTTAAATACTTGTAGAACTAATTGGACAAGAAAGAATGGTTTCTACAAATACTTACAAAGCACTTTTAGGTCACTCTGTTTTCACAGTTTAAGAGACTTGCCCAAGAATTTCTATTTCAAAGCAATGGCCTAAATACTATTTCATCCACTCTTGATCTTGATTTCAATCACTTCAGTAGTCTAGCTAGCTGTCCTGCTCATATCATATCATATCATATCATATCATATCATATCATATCATATCATATCATATCATATCATATCATATCATATCATATCATATCATATCATATCATATCATATCATATTCATATCATATCATATCATATCATATCATATCATATCATATCATATCATATCATATCATATCATATCATATCATATCATATCATATCATATCATATCATATCATATCATATTATATCATATAAACATTTAGGCACGATGCCCTACCAGCTATTACAATAGTTTAATATAAAGAACAAAAGTTTAAAAACCTACAAGGCTGCTCTTCCAAGGGGTCGTGCTTTAATTGCTGCTGAGGCAGATGAGTGGATTCAGACCCCACGGCCCCACAACATCCAGAAAACAACATCCCACAAGCCCCAGTCTGGTCTAAAATAGACCAAATCATGACCTACCTGGCACCACCCCAAAAAATCTTTTACTAAGCTGCACTTACACAATAACCAGGGAGATTAATAGTTGGGAGGGGGGGAAGGAGGGAGTTGTTATTTCGCTGGGCAAATCTGTGCATAAAATTTAACATTCTCGCTTTCTAGTCGAAACCTAAATGAAATATCAAAGTTGTTCGCTTTTTCTTAATCCTACAATCAAACGTGTTCTTGGAACCATTTGAGTTTGATGCTTTCTGAAAATTGGTTGGGCAGTAAAGAACATTGACTGGAGACCCTAACAGCCCAGGTGAAAAAATCAGCGCTATGGGAGATGATTTTCACAGACGACATAGAATTGTTAAGGTAGAGAAAAACTGTCCTTTCACTAATTTGTCAAAACGGTTTAAACGGTTCAAACTACGGTTAAAACTCAGTTTTTGTGTCATCAATGACTGCAAGAAATGCAATAAATTCATAGTATTTAAAAATTTTCAATTTAAGAGACAGATTCTCACTAGGTCTTGCACTATACACTAAGTTTAAGGTGTATACCTAATACATTTCACAATTTTGATACTATTTTGGCATCAGATACATCAATTCATGCCGGACATTAGAGTCTCCTGGTTTGTGACTTGACTTGCAATAAGATGATACCAACGATACCAAAGTGTAAACTCTACAAGACTATATGGTCAGGCCTGTTGTATGAGACAGTATAAGGTGCGGATGCTGTGTTTGTGTGCAGCAGAGGAAACGCTGTAAGACAGAATAACAAATGAAAAACTACAAAAAATCAATACCAACCTCGGCAATTACAGCAGAACTTGGATTTTCGTTCACTTTTAAAACAGCCATAATGTATCCTGGTGGCAATTTCCATGAAATTTGGATCTTTTTATAGTTGATAAAATACATGTTTTTGATAACTGGCTTTTGATCTAAAATCAAAATGCTCAAAAATTATTAACAAGAATCAGCTATAGCTCTATAAAATAACAATGAAGCATATTGATAACTCCTTGGGAGTGTCGAACAAACAAAGAAATTAACAAACAAACAAACAAATAGAAAAAAGAAAAACAAGCAAGAAACAAACAAACAAACAAATGAAAAAAACCACAGAAAAACAAAAGAGAAAATAAGTAAAATAAACAAACAATAAAAGAAAACAAACAATAAAAAATAAAAAAATAACAGAAAAAAACTCAATAAAAGGAAATAAAATAAAGCAAATAGAAAAACAATTAAAATAGAAAAAACAGAATAAGAAATAACAAAAAGAAACAAAAGACAGAAAACAAACAAAAAAGAAAAAAACAGAAAAACAATGAAAAAGAAACAAAAAACAGAAAACAAACAAAAAAGAAAAACACAGAAAAACAAAAGAAAAAAGAAACAAAACAGAAAAAAAAACAAAAAGAAAAAACCAGAAAAACAAAAATGCAAAAGAAACAAAACAGAAAAAAACAAAAAAGAAAAAATAGAAAAACAAATGAAAAAGAAAACAAAAGACAGAAAAAAACAAAAAAAGAAAAAACAGAAAAACAAATTGAAAAGAAACAAAAACAGAAACAAACAAAAAAGAAAAAAAACAGAAAAACAAATGAAAAAGAAACAAAAACAGGAAAAAAAACAAAAAAAAAACACAGGAAAAACAAAGAAAAGAAACAAAAACAGAAAGAAAACAAACAAAAAGAAAAAAAGAAAAAACAAATGAAAAAGAAACAAAAGACAGAAAACAACAAAAAGAAAAACAGAAAAACAAATGAAAAGAAACAAAAACAGAAAACAAACAAAAAAAGAAAAAACAGAAAACAAATGAAAAAGAAACAAAAGACAGAAAACAAACAAAAAAGAAAAACAGAAAAACAAAATGAAAAAGAAACAAAAGACAAGAAAACAAACAAAAAAGAAAAAAATAGAAAAAACAAATGAAAAAGAAACAAAAACAGAAAACAAACAAAAAAGAAAAAAAAAAAACAAAATGAAAAGAAACAAAAACAGAAAACAAACAAAAAAGAAAAAACACAGAAAAACAAATGAAAAAGAAACAAAAACAGGAAACAAAACAAAAAAGAAAAAAACAGAAAAACAAAAAAAAGAAAACAAAAACAGAAAACAAACAAAAAAGAAAAAACAGAAAAAACAAATGAAAAAAAAAAACAAAGACAGAAAACAACAAAAAAGAAAAAAAGCAAAAAACAAATGAAAAAGAAACAAAAAACAGAAACAAAAAAAAAGAAAAAACACAGAAAAACAAATGAAAAAGAAACAAAACAGAAAACAAACAAAAAAGAAAAAAGAAAAAATGAAAAAGAAAACAAAGACAGAAAAACAACAAAAAGAAAAAACAGAAAAACAAATGAAAAAGAAACAAAAGACAGAAAACAAACAAAAAGAAAAAAAGGAAAAACAATGAAAAAGAAACAAAAACAGAAAAAAACAAAAAAAAAAACACAGAAAACAAATTAAAAAGAAACAAAGACAGAAACAAACAAAAAAGAAAAAACAGAAAACAAATTAAAAAGAAACAAAAAACAGAAAACAAAACAAAAAAAAAAAACAGAAAAACAAATGAAAAAGAAACAAAAACAGAAAACAAACAAAAAAGAAAAAACAGAAAAACAAATGAAAAGAAAACAAAAACAGAAACAAACAAAAAAGAAAAACAGAAAAACAAATGAAAAAGAAACAAACAGAAAACAAACAAAAAAGAAAAAAACAGAAAAACAAATGAAAAAAGAAAAAAAGACAGAAAACAAACAAAAAAGAGAAAACACAGAAAAACAAATGAAAAGAAACAAAAGACAGAAAACAACAAAAAAAGAAAAAACAGAAAAACAAATTAAAAAGAAACAAAACAGAAAACAAACAAAAAAACAAAAACAAGAAAAGAAACAAAACAGAAACAACCAAAAAAGAAAAAAACAGAAAAACAAATGAAAAAGAAACAAAAACAGAAAACAAACAAAAAAGAAAAAACAGAAAAAACAAAATGAAAAAGAAACAAAAGACAGAAAACAAACAAAAAAGAAAAACAGAAAACAAATGAAAAAGAAACAAAAACAGAAAACAAACAAAAAAGAAAAAAAACAGAAAAACAAATGAAAAAGAAACAAAAACAGAAAACAAACAAAAAAGAAAAAAACAGAAAAACAAATGAAAAAGAAACAAAAGACAGAAAACAACAAAAAAGAAAAAACAGAAAAACAAATGAAAAAGAAACAAAAACAGAAAACAAACAAAAAAGAAAAAAACAGAAAAACAAATGAAAAAGAAACAAAAACAGAAAACAAACAAAAAGAAAAAACAGAAAAACAAATTGAAAAAGAAACAAAAGACAGAAAACAAACAAAAAGAAAAAACAGAAAAACAAATTGAAAAAGAAACAAAAACAGAGAAAACAAACAAAAAGAGAAAACACAGAAAAACAAATGAAAAAGAAACAAAAGACAGAACAAAACAAAAAGAAAAAACAGAAAACAAATGAAAAAAGAACAAAAGACAGAAAAACAACAAAAAGAAAAAAATGAAAAACAAATGAAAAAGAAAACAAAAGACAGAAAACAAACAAAAAAGAAAAAAACAGAAAAACAAATTGAAAAAGAAACAAAAACAGAAAAACAACAAAAAAGAAAAACACAGAAAAAAACAAATAAAAGAAACAAAAAACAGAAAACAAACAAAAAAGAAAAAAAAACAGAAAAAAAAAATGAAAAAGAAACAAAAGACAGAAAACAAAAAAAAAGAAAAAACCGAGAAAAACAAATGAAAAAGAAACAAAAGACAGAAAACAAACAAAAAAGAAAAAACAGAAAAACAAATTAAAAAGAAACAAAAACAGAAAACAAACAAAAAAGAAAAAACAGAAAAACAAATGAAAAAGAAACAAAAGACAGAAAACAAACAAAAAAGAAAAAACAGAAAAACAAATGAAAAAGAAAAAAAAGACAGAAAACAAACAAAAAAGAAAAACACAGAAAAACAAATGAAAAAGAAACAAAAGACAGAAAACAAACAAAAAAGAAAAAAACAGAAAAACAAATTAAAAAGAAACAAAAACAGAAAACAACAAAAAAGAAAAGCACAGAAAAACAAATGAAAAAGAAACAAAAGACAGAAAACAAACAAAAAAGAAAAACACAGAAAAACAAATGAAAAGGAAACAAAAGACAGAAAACAAACAAAAAGAAAAAACAGAAAAACAAATGAAAAAGAAACAAAAACAGAAAACAAACAAAAAAGAAAAAACAGAAAAACAAATGAAAAAGAAACAAAAACAGAAAACAAACAAAAAAGAAAAACACAGAAAAACAAATGAAAAAGAAACAAAAACAGAAAACAAACAAAAAAGAAAAAACAGAAAAACAAATGAAAAAGAAACAAAAGACAGAAAACAAACAAAAAAGAAAAGCACAGAAAAACAAATGAAAAAGAAACAAAAGACAGAAAACAAACAAAAAAGAAAAAACAGAAAAACAAATAGAAAAGAAACAAAAACAGAAAACAAACAAAAAAGAAAAAACAGAAAAACAAATTAAAAAGAAACAAAAACAGAAAACAAACAAAAAAGAAAAAACAGAAAAACAAATTAAAAAGAAACAAAAGACAGAAAACAAACAAAAAAGAAAAAACAGAAAAACAAATGAAAAAGAAACAAAAGACAGAAAACAAAAAAAAGGATAAAACAGAAAAACAAATAAAGAAGAAAAAAGACAAAAAAACCAAGAACAAACAAACAAAGAAATATATAAAGAAACATACCAGTGCATTTTCCAAAGTAGTTGAATGGAATTGTAACAGCAGGTGTGCTACCAAATAGGTTTTTGAGGACTATCTGCAAGCTGTATCTTGAAAGGCTAGAAACTTTCATCAAGCAAGAAAGTGTTTTGTTGCTGCATGTGGCATTTTTCCATACACTCTCATTATTCCGACAAAAATTATTCTTAAACAGACTTTGGCAGTATTTCACATCTACCTCTGATACATCATTATGTTGTGGTAAAACTGGGGTAAATTCAACAATGTTGCTGTTCCTATCATATGAGCATTTGTATTCTTGAAATTTTTCCGGTGACCCTAGAAAAATAACACATCACATACATTTGAACTGACACTTTGTTGTGAAGAGCAGGGCTGTTCTCTCCTCCATACTGATGGGTAAGAATAAGAGATAGCAACAAACTGCTTTTAAGCTGGAATGGTTATCGAAATTCCAGACTGGCACAAGAATGATTTTTTTGAATGAAAACTTCTTTGTTAGTGTGTTTCAACTGTACATTCGTACCATGAATGTGTTTCAAATGGCACAATTTCAGGGACTTTAGCACAGGCCAGTTTACTAAGGCAAACTTTTACCATACATTAGTTAGATTGACAAGATTCATGAATTCAACAAAAAGTTTTCACTAACTTCCAATGTTTACACGCGTTGTTGAACTTAGCATTCTTCCATACTGGTTCTCAGCTACGCAAGCATAGTGTCCAGCTTCTGCCAAAGTTGCATTGAGAAATCTCAGTTGAATATGAGAACTACTTATCCTGATTTCCTTTATATTCGCTGAAAGAAGATCTGCAATGGATTTATTATTTGTCTCCCAAAACATCTTCACTGTTTCCTTTGAAATGTTTCCTGTAAGCTCACAGTTTATTGCATAGTGATTTCCAACTAGCATCCAGACAACCTCTGGGGTTTTTATCGTTAAGTCATCTGTATAAAGAAAAGCATTAAACGAAATCATAGTATGCAACACACTGTAGTGTATCGATAGGGCAAGATTATACTTATATACCACAAGATTTGGAAATCCCTTTTGGGAGTGGAATATTTTGAAAATGCAATACTATTTGGAAATGCCAAGAAGGTTTGTCAAATACAACTTGTGCCTGCTTGAGGAAAACCCAGTAAAAATTTGCCTTGAAGTAAAACAACTTATGATCAGAAACTATTATACAAATTTAAGTTCATCAAAAGCAGCTACCATATAATTATTATCATGAATATCTAAATGTCTAATATAAAATAAATATAGGAATAAAACAATAACCTTTAGAGTTGTTAACATCTGTCATCAAACAGAGCATATAAAAATGCCAATGCTTTGGTGAATAGTGATTCAAATATTTAAGATATATCATGTGCTGAAAATGATGATGAATCCATTTTTTTTACATTACTTCTACCTCATGTTTTGGAAGTAGATCTTACTGACTTTACGCATTAGCACAAATACTGATCTTACCTTTGTACTACAATCCTTGCCAAAAATAACTGGAACTCCTTCCCATTGCAGCATGCAAATAAACAAAGCAAGTCTAAAACTACCTTACCAAAATATCACTGCCGCTTCAAAAATTTATACCCGTACAATGTTGATTTACTTTCTCGATACTTTCATACAGCTTTCAGTGAAAAAAATTTTTACCTTCAGGATCAAAACAGCCCAATTGAACAACATTGTAATGGGGGGTAGGGTGGGGATTTTTCAGAAAAAAGCTTCAGCTTTGCGCAAGTGTTCGAGCAATTTTGGCAAGGATTGTAGCAACTATTTGATGTCATAGGCAGGAGCAGATAAAGGGTGTCCCAGAGGTTGCACAGAAGACCATCAGATTCTTAGAATTGAATTTTCGTCTTCAGTCATCAAAATTAGGCAATCATATTCAAAATAATCATGATTTATTTTCCTCTTTACAGTTAATACATTTAACTCTCTTTACCTGATAAGCACTGGACTGACCAGGGCACCCAATGCTACCTATTCAAGTGAATACAATAGTGAGCAGGATGATTTTTATACCGTGAGCAGGATGATTTTTAAGCATGGTCTTTGCCACACAAATAAGTAGAGCTATTTGTTATGCAAATATTCCACTAATTTGCAAAAATCAAGGTTCCAATTTTTGCATATTTGTGCAGCGCGAAAGGCTGTAAACACTTTGCTAGATTATTGTGCCACACAACTGCTGGTATGGGAAGAAATTGGATGAGGTTGCAAGTTGTGAAGGAGAAGAGTCCCAAATTCCTTTATCTATAAGAAAGAGGTGTACAGGAGGTGTACACTTTTGGATCTGAAGATATTTTGTTCAAAACTGCGTTTTGGATTTGCTGAATAATTTGGGAAACCTTATAAAGGCAGAAATGCTTGATGAACTGAAAAATTTGAATATTTCAGAGCTGGCTTAACTTTGAAAAATTTGCACAGTCCCGGTGCCACCCTGAGAATTACTGCAACTTCTGCCCTTAAAGAGAGGGACATCTGATTGAGGCGTTTCATTGATCAAAGTGTATCAGCTAGATAGTATGTGAATTTCCATCTATAGATACAGCACATCATCTGTTCTTGCTTAGCAAGATGAATCACAGTTTGAACCCAAACGCTTTGAAAACACTTCAAGACATGGAAATAATATTTCAGACCAACGATGACTTTCTTGAGGAAGGTTATATTAGTTGTTTTGGATTTTGGTGGTTAAAATAATCAAACAGTAAAATTCCAGGGTTTTTTGTCTGTGAAATTTGACTTTGCCTGTAAAAATCTCCGTGGACTGGGCCCCAACTGCTGGGTAGTTTTAATGTGCGACCATCAACTTACGGTTAGGGTATCCCCCAAGGTAATAGGTGTTATTATGTGATCCTAAAATAACTTAAAAGTGTCAAATGAGTGAAAAAGTAATATTAATATACATGGGCGAAACTTCATTATACTCATTAGGGGGGTATGAAGCTTAGATGCCCAACGAAAGGGCATGTCATGCTGGATGTAAGGGCCTGTCATGCCTGAACATCCTTGTAAGGGCACATCACCTCAGGGGTTGAAATCATTGGGGACCCGAGAGAGGGTCACTAAGTATGTTAGGACTTCAGACTCAGGCTGTTTTTCAAAGTCAAAAAAATATGCCTCTTGTTTTTCTGGTGTTGGCTAAAAAGCAAGCATTTGTAAGGCCTGTCTTTTCTATAAAAGAAAAATAGTCTTCACTTTCTAAATCACCTAGCTATTAAGAGAGCAATTTAAAAAAGAGATTGAAGTAGGGTCTCAATTTTATCACAGTGGAACAACAAAACACAGCTTGGAAATTTCAGAATTTAGAAGCAGCTACACAGACTACAATGTTTCAACAAAAGCTTCAGTTGCATTTGCCGAATTTAAACATTTTTAGACAACCAAGCACAAAGTAAGTATCTCTGAATTCACCATAACAAAATTCCTCAAGCAAAGAAAAGTTTTTTTATTGAAAGTATTTTACAGGTACACCTATCATCAAAGCTCAATTTTCGTGTTTTCGTAATCATGGATATTGTTCAGAAATAGAAGAAACTCAAAATTTTTTTGCAATTCATATCTTAACTACAATTTCTTGATAAATTTTCTATTATTTCCCGCTTGAACTGATTAAAACTTTCTGTTACTTGCTACGGTTATTTGAATTTTTTTAAGTTAAAAAACTTTGGCGGCTGTACAGCCATTTTCTAGCAAAGAATGCAATACTTTCGGACCGTAAGTGTAAAACCTTAATAGAATCTCGGGGCATAACTCCTTATGAATGTATGATGAAAGTTTCATATATTTGGAAAAGAAAGTATTGATTGATTTTTCTCAACAACATATTCCGAGATGGTATATCATGCTTTGATTTATCATGCTTCTAAAATTGTCTGTGTTCAATGGGCTCCGAGGCAGGATGGAAAGTTGGGGGGGGGCTTGTCAAGGGAAAATTTAGAAATCACAACAAAAGGTTTTGAAAAAAGCTCTCTTGTTTTGCAAAAAGTAGGAGGGGAGGTATGCCCTGTGTTCATTTCCTTCTTGTATCAAACACACTTTACTTTCCGTCTATACTTTTGATGTCGATCAATACTTCAGACTTCATCTCGAGGCGAAGATAGACATGTGCATGTCAAGCTCGACACAAAAGTGCTGATCAGTGGACAAAAGACAGAAATGTATATGACCATGAATTCAAAAATCAAGCTAGGGCAAACAGTAGCAATAAAAGTGTGACATAAAGAACATTTCCAGATTTGCCCGGCCGATATACTGGCAGCAATAAATTTGCCTGACTAAAACTGCCTTTTTTGAAGATTGGGGGGTGCAGCACCTCCCATACCCCCTAGCAGTTTTGCCCTGTTAATATATGTTGAAATGCGGTATCACCACATATCATCAGAATGTATATGTTACACACAATTTATAATGAAAATCCTTCAGAAACATCAATTTTTGGATTCTAATTTAACTCCTTAATAAAAAGCTGCAGCAAATCAGTTTCAACATATATAAAATAGGGACCAGAATTAAATGTTGCCTGGTGATAGGATTTAAGCTAAACAATTCAGAAAAAAAAGACAGGCAGAATTGAAGGAACTCTTTCAAATACACAATAATTCTTGATAGAAGGATCTGACAAACTCTTGAGTCGATTTAAGAAATCAACAAGAGCCATTCGCTATAATGATTGTGCCTTAGTCTATATACGTTTCATAAAATGGCAATATACTTGTAGTGCCATGACAGGTGAAGCATTATCAAAATCAATTCTTGATATTTTAGTAAATTTACAAGTTTATCAGATTGCTAAGATGCTATAGAAAATATTGAAAGCTATACATACCTAAAAACGAAGATGATGCGAGCAAAGATAACGGTAAACTGCAAGCAACGAAACAGTGAATGACAATAGTCAACATATCAGCCGCCATTTTTCAGCATCAGCTATTCGCTATTGAGACATACTTTCTTCATTCTGTCAGCAGATACATTAGAGTACTCTTCCACGACCTGGCTTTTGTTTTGCAGTTCAAGCTCAGCATGACTGCTGCCACACACCTTGAAGGGAGTTGATTTTTCAACCTGTTGATCGAATAACTTGATGCTAACGTAAAGTGGGTTCTTGGAAGCAGTCCTCGTTGCGGGGTTGTGCACTCTTTGGTGGAAGCGAGGCCAAGAGGGCAGGGTTTTCACCATAGAAATGGTTTTCACTTAACGCAATTTTCGAAAGTCGAGGGATACTGTCAATTAAAGTCTGGTTTTTCTGGATAAGGTAAAGCGCTTTGCATTAATAAAAATAAGTTTCTAATTATACAGAAAATGGAAACACCCCAGTTTTAATCATTCGAAGGGGGTCATGACCCAAATCTGAGATAGTGGCTTTAGCCCCCACAAATTTTTTATGCCAGCATGTGTTCACCGCTTGTACACAGCTGTTCTGTTAAATAAAATGCAAAAACGTAACATCAAATGACAAAGTTTTTCTCCTTTTATGACATGACCGTGTAACAGTTTTATTTGTATAAGGACCTTATACATACGTAACTGAAGGACATAATTTTGGGCTGCAGTATTTACTTTATTTAAGAAAACAGAAGCCCCCCTCCCACCTTTTGAAACCGATCCCGGCCCTTAGCCATGATGTAATGGGAATTTTAGAAACCTACAGATATGAGAATATTAGAAAATATTTTCTTGGTTTGGTAGGTGGGTCGATAATTTCAAATCATTCACTAATTATACTTTAGATGGATATCAAATCAAATTTCACAACTTTACCAGTGGTTGGAGAACGGCAGTGCTTTACAAAGGAGTCAAGATACAAATGAACGGCTAAACATCGTACATAATTATAATTCATTACCAATCTTTAATTCATATGCAATCAAAAATAAGAAACCTATCTAATTAAGTCTTCGTTACTAACGAGTTTGAGATTCATCGGTTACAAGTTAAACGCTCTGCATTTGGTTCAGGTTATCTGAAGATTGTTCCCGGCGTGTAATGGATACAAAATAATGTGATATGCGAGTCAATTAACAAAAAAATTGGCGCAACGATGTAGCGCCAAGCGTACTTATTTACAGCAGCAATTACATTTACCACTACAAATATTAATATATCCCACTTGGAAGCAGAGCAAACAGTTTTTCAGAGGCTGTACAAGAAGCTGATAAGACCAGATACTCATCGAGTATATGTAAGAAGGTACTAGGGTAGTCTGTCTGTCTCCCCGGGTTCTTTGAATCTTACAATGAGTGATGTGGTAAAGAGTGATAAAGTGTGGTAAAGAGTGATAGGCAGGACCAAATCAAAACCATGACGAGAATCAGATAAGTTGTCAAATATAACTTGAAGATAAATCAAGTTTCAAAATAAAATCTCATCCCAGCATACAGAGCTTCATCAGAGTAAATGTCAAATAATCGATAAGGAAGAGGGGTCTGAAGGCTTGGTGTTTGGGGGAGTACGACCCCACAGCCCTAAATCCTTGATCACCCCCCTCATCCCTAATAACTTATCCCCCACATTCCAACTTAATGTCCTCATTCTTCGCACATAAAAACGGACAAAGCCTATTGGCTGCTTCAACATCAAAAGTAAGCACTTCAGAAGTAAGACATAATTTTGGGCACCTGATTTAACCTTCCACAAATTATGGTAGCATATACGTAACTGCTTCTACTTTTTACGAGTCTGATCGTGTCGATGTAAACCTGGACAGAAAATTCAAATTATGCATATTATTCAACAAGCCGACAGTAACTGACATTTTCTATTTAAGCAAAACTGGTTATTCACAAATTCACCATTCAATGCGGTACATTTGATCGTATATCCAACCAAAAGGCATATAATATATTTCAAAACAAAAACGGTTGATACAACAATGCTCAAGGGTTTAAATTTATTTCTAAGATAAACGAAAATCATAAGTTAATGAAAACACTTTAAAAGACAAACTTTTGCAAGATAAGAATTCTAGATATACTATCCTGGCCGTGGTTCATCACATACAAAAGTTACAAATTTATCTGCAAAATAAAATCTAAACTAGGCAAAAAATGCTACTTTCTAAATAAGTCAACCATGTTAAATTAATTATATATACTTAGACCCCGTTTACACTGTCCCGGGACAATTTTGTACCGTTACGGTTCGCAAGTGTTTACACTGTCGCGGTTCCAAAATGGCTTCAGAATTTAATGGCAGAACATTGTTTAGAAGAAGCTGTATTTAATGAACCAAGGCTTTTATTTTGCCGCCGAAGTCAACAATCGAATTTTTATTGAGAGTTAAAATGCAGTGGAAGGCCGATAAAAACTTTACTTGGACGAACAACAAGGTGGCTTTAATTTTCAGTGTTATTTTAGACTACAAAACTGCAAAGTCCAATCAAGGCTTGGGCTGGGAAACAATACAAGCCTTTTCTGTGGTTGTCTTTTCTTCAGAATTTCCTTTTCTTCAGAATTCGACAACGTAGTTACGCCACAATCAAAGCCTCGATTACCTCAAACAGCCATACAAAAGACCTCTTTGTGAATCCGTGACAAAATCGTCTCGGATAGGTGTTTACACTGTCCCGTTCAAAAACGGAACCGTGACGGTACAAAATTCGTTCGCTTTCAAAGCAGGGTCCAAACTGTTCCGGATAGCAGAGCAAAATCGTCACGGTTCCACAGTGCTAGTGTAAACGGAAGGGCGAACCGCGACAGTTTTGTCACGGTTCCAAACTTGCACGGGACAGTGTAAACGGGGTCTTAAATTCTAGTAAAAGACAACGAATTACCACCGATGTATATTTTATCGTTATAGACCACGAATATCTATATATTTTTATCAATGTAGGAAAAACTAAAATTAACCCAAGATGGGGCTGTTCAGAACATAGTCAATAGAATTATGCTCTGAAGAAGCAGCTTAGAAATAAAGGAAACTTGAAATTACGATAATTGAGTCGCCTAGAATTACAGTTCAAAATTCTAAAACCACAAGTGATGATTCCTTATTGCTTATACCATCAAAAACCTTCTTAGGCCTGGTCACAGAACTTCCGCCTCGTCTCGATGGACCAGTAAATACCGGGTATTCATATGAAAACGAATCAAAAGCTCTGCGTGTACATCGAAATGATGCCTTTCCAAATCATTGCGTTTACAAACGATTTCCTTTCGGACGGTGTGTATAAACATTTGCGCCAGAGGTGCATCATTCTTATGTAAACATGAGGTAAACACTAAATAAAATGACTGCGTCCTCACTTGAAAATGTACCCGTGTATAAGGGGTCTCAATTTTCTAAAGCAACGTTAATCTAAACCTTTAACATTGATTGACCTTACAGAATTATCTTATCATTGACTGGCCTAACTGATAATCACTTCCGTTTACTCTTCATCAAGACTCTCCAGTCCCATCAAAACTCTTATTTATTAACAACATAGATATCCGTTGTGAATATTCAGCGTTTCTTTGATAGCGGGTATACAGAGACACTCATCTGGTACACTAATAGTGTGGTACACATTTAGTTTACACATTTACAACGTAGGACAAATAACAGGTATTATCAAGACTTTCTCTGTGTACAAGTGAAACAATATCAAATTAATCGGATAAAAAAAACCTTATTATTGCAGCACAGGGATAGAATATTTTCAAAACTCATATTTTCTAAAATCCTTAAAAAATATCAAAATATTTGTATAACATCAGATTATTGCTCTGGGACAGGAAGCAGCCACAGGGCAGGTTAGTCTCCTAGGGTATCTTAAATTTGCGCTAAAACGATTAAAAAAATCATAAAAATAATTCAGCTGCCTAAAAAAGCTATCGCAATTAATGTTACTTGCGTTTGAGTTTGGAGTACGTTTCTAACGCAGCCATAGTTGGATGCATCCGAAAGGACCTAGTGTGCAATCAAAACGAAATACAGCAACATATACGACAGGTCTAAGCATACCAACGTCCATTATCTCTTCATACCAAATTCTTAGCATGTTAGGTGCGTGGGTTACATAGCAATCTGAATGAATAGCAATGTGCCGAGCTCACAACCTTGTTGAGACTTCACTGTATTGAAGCTTTTTCTCAGTAACTGACAACTCCATTCCAGGCGGGAAACCTGAAAAACCGAAAACCCCATTTAGAACTTTGACACAGTAGAAAGCTCCTCTTGAAAGGGGACTACTCAAGTAACTTTTGACATGGAAGTACACACTACAATACCTGCAAAAAAAGTTGAACACTACACTATCAACGTTCAAAAGTTGAGAACCAAAGGATTTAACTGCCCTTCGAATCAGTGCTTTTGCTTTCTTCTTCCCCCTCCTCCGTTTGATGCTCATTCCCCTGGTAGAAGTGTTTATCTTTCAAATCTTAGTTAGATTGCCATTAAAAATCATGCAATATGGGCATTAATCAACATTGTAATGGGGAGAGGGGGTGGTAAGAGGCAAAAAAACTTTTAAAAACTCTGAAGATTTTGTGTAGATATTCTAACAACTTTGGCCAGTAGTGAATCTAACTATTAGTAAAATTTCACTTTCAGTAAAACAAAAATGACTAGATACAGTCACTCACCGACCACTTTAAGTGCATCAAAAGCAGCTTTTCTCACAACATCAGTGTCATTCTTCCAAAGAAAGGCAATGAAGTCTTGGGCCTTTGCAGCCTAAAGAAATACGAAAACAAAAGTACCTACGAGAATTCTTTACAGTATTCTGTTAGCGGCAGTATTCCTTGGCAGATACACGCCTTCTATTACAACATTGCTACATGTCAGATTTCAAGGTAGCTAATGAATTTCTATTTTTGAATTTAGTATATTCTTTAAATTTAATTTATTTTGAAAATTTTATTTCGTGACATTGGATTCTCGTCGTCGTATTAATTTGTTCCTGTATATCTTTCATAATGAATTTCTGTTTCTTTCAAAATTTTGCAATTGAAAATCTTGCATTGGTTCTTCTCATATTTTGCAACTGACTCAAAATCACAGTGAGATGTAATTCATACAGGGACTGCGGCAGCGGGGGAGGGGCCACGGGAGATTTAGCCCCTCCAATAATTTCCAGAACGTACTTTAAAAAAATACAAAAAATCGCCTTTGTTTTGGCTTTAAGAATGTTTAGCCCCCCACCCCAAAAAAAAACGTTTCAGCCCCCTCAATCTGTTATATACTCCGCGGTCTTTGAATTCACAGAGAGTTTTTTCCTGGTTAGATGATATTCTCCTATCATTTTTCTTTCTGTTCTTGCGCTGCTGCCCGTCGTTGTCATAGTATCGAGATAATACAAGCACAAAGTTAAAGAATAGTTAATTGATTACGTTGTGAAATATGTGAAAATTTTGTTGCACCGCTATTGTGTAGATAAAAGAAGTTCGTTTTCGCACTTGGACCTCAATGGTAATGTTTTCTTTATAGGAACCCGGGCTTTAAGCTACGAGAGTTCTTGGAAAAGAGGAAGTTCCTGTTTAATTGTGTTTCTCAGAAAGAGGAAATATTGTGAGTTCTTGTATTTCTTTCATCGTTTCGTTTTCTAGGTTACCTGTAGGTATAAACATAAAGCAGGGATATGAACAGGACGTTAAAAATGGCTGAAGACACCCCGGCAACGCTTCGGCAGTCAATAACTCCAATGGCTGGTGAAATTAGATTGAATGTTGGAGGAACACGGTTTACAACAAGCTATGCAACTCTTTTGAACGCACCCACCGATAGTCCTCTGCGCCTTTTGGGGCAAAAAGTAGGTTACGGTATAGATTACCACACCTATTTCATTGATCGGAGCCCAGACAACTTCGAGTACGTCTTAGAGTTTTTAAAGTATAACCGCATTTCACCGCCCGAAGGAGCAAACGATGAATTCTGGCAGGCCATAAAACAGGAGGCGAATTACTATCAGATTCATAAGTTGCAAAATTACTTGAAGCACAGGAATGAGCCTGAGACCTCAGAAATTAAATTTCTGGGCACAGGAGAGGTAGAGCTAATTTTTAATGATGGTGGAAGTATTATGACCAGTGTTGATGTGTTGGGAAAAGCTGATATGGATTCACTGCTGCACGGTGTATATCGATGGATAGTTAGAGAACGCAGCGAAACGATGTCTGCGAAATATCATATCGACAGGCGTTCAGAGGGCATTCAACATATCTTCGACTTCTTTCGATATGGAAATTTACCAAGCAACATCTCTGAAAATGCCGAACTATGCGAGAAGATGAAAGAAGATGCCATATTTTACGGGCTCAGAACAATGCTGAAAAAAATTGACGATACAGTCAAGAAGTAAGCAGGGCAACTGTGACCCATAAATTTCAGTAATAAACAAATGCTGAAGAATATTGTAATGTTGCATTAAAATATTGCATTGAAATATTGAAGTAACTTGATCTACTTTCTAACCGAAAGTCTGCACCTAGTAGAATTAGTCGGAAAATTTGCGATTAATCGGAAATCTATCTCTCAAAAAAACCCAAACATTAAATAGATTAGTGGAACACAAAATAGAAAATACTGGGGTAGAATGGTAAAGCGCGCCATGCAGTAATAATTGCGTGAGACGTTATAGTCGCAGTAGTAATTCCAATGCTTATTCACATCAGAGAATAACATTACACAGCGATGATGCAGAGTACTCTCTCAAATCAGGAAGAAAATGACAGAACCGTAGTATTTCGATGTGCTGTAAGTGAAGGCTTTGTATAATCTTAGCACAAAATTACAATTGGCTTACTGTCAGCCAGAAATTTCGTATCCATCTAGAAAGTTCCACAAATTGGATGTCCACAAATCGCTATCATGGCAGGTTTCAAGAATTTTTGCACTGTCGTACCTTTCATCCTCACAAAAATTACGCCCCTGCTTTTCGATCCAGAATCTACAAGATTTTCACTAGATCTCCTTAATCCGCATTCCCCCCCCCCCAAATCCGCCGGTCTGCGAGTCCCCACACCCATCTGCTAGAGGAGAAGGTTATAAACAACTACAGGCATATTCGATTAACCTTGTGTCATACAAGTTAGGGAGTTTGCTAGCGAATCGTCAGTGGCCAATGGCTAGGGGCGGCTTTCCTGACAATATGACATCCAATAAGCCATGTTTCCTATCTAGCTTCGCTATTTATGCCTAATAATAAATGTGTAACATAAAATTTGTCATATCTGTACTAACTAACTAACATGTGGATGGAACGGTAAGTAAGGCTTGTTCCAACTTCTTCCCAAAATGAAAACACAGATTGCATTACGATTTTATAAATGACCATTTCAAAACTTATTTCCAAACACAATCTTTGCACCCCTGGAGTTGAAAATATTACACTATAATTTTGATGATAATGGAAGTAATGGAAGTTGGGGAATCATCTCATGGTAGAACCAACGAAACTGAACAATCAAGAAAATGTAGCAACCTAAAGTAAGTTGGTCTAAATAAGAAATATTCTCACATCCGTGGGCAGACAAATTGTTGAGAAAATTATTTTTTGGTGATTCTTTACTTTACGTTGCCCCCTTGCAAGTTCAAATCTCTATATGTGTAGTAGTGCTACCACTTGCGCTGCAAAAACATGCAGGTTTTATATCTTCATTTTCCAAAGGGTTTTCCCTAACAACAAACTTCAGAACGTGATATCTAGGTATCTTCGTCACATGGGTGTGAGGATGGCTCAGTGATTAAGGTCGCTGACTACAGATCCAAGAGTCTGTGGTTCGAGCCACTGACATGACTAGACGTACTTCCAGAGTGAGGACAGTCGCCAGCTCTCTGTAATTCCAGGCATGGGAATCACGAGGTGTGGTCACACTGAAAGGAAAGGACCAGGATACTGCTCGATAAGCATTAACTTCTCAGTGCCCTTAAACTACCTTCAGATGCCAGGTAACAAACAATACAATACAACACAATATGTCACATCGGCGTTTTTTCATTGGTACAGTATTATTACCGCGTATACGGTATGAAATGAAGACCCTGTCCAATACGGTATGAATGGAAAACGACTTAATCCAGTAAGTTGGACACGTATCAACATGAAAGCTTCATTTTACTGCTGGCCTGGCCCTTAAAAATCATTTCGTAAAAAATTATCACGCAACAAGACAGTTCGTAACAAGATCAACAGTTACAGAACAGGCCATAACAAAGGGGCTCCGTGGTAAGGATCGAGGGCTACAGATCCAAGACACTAGGGTACTAATCTCCGCAATGTCAACACTTTCACTTAGAACGAGAGAAGCAGGAGTTGCTAGCTCTCTACATTTCCAGGGAGACATCAAGAGGAAGACTGCTCGATAAGCACTGTTTTTCAGTGTCCTAAAAACCACCTTCAGAAGCTTGGTAGTCACAAATAAAAAAAGAGAGCCCTTAACAGTGCAGCTCGTAACAAAAAAGCCATTGCTCAACAATAAAAATCGAAATAATACGGTTCGAAAAAAAATTGTGATTCTACGACTCGTTACAGGCGAGACTTATAAACGCGAGACTCATAAACGCGAGACTCATAGACGCGAGACTCATAAACGCGAGACTTATAAACGCGAGACTCATAAACGCGAGACTCATAGACGCGAGACTCATAAACGCGAGACTTATAAATGCGAGACTCATAAACGTTAAGCTTGTTAAAACGACAAATACAATTGAAAAATTTTCAAATCGAAGTTTGATTGCTTATTATCGAAAACAAAACCAGATAAATAAAATTATACCTCGAGGTATTTCAATGCGTAGCAAGCAGATAACCTTGTTTCTTCGTCTTCATCATCCAGCATTTCAAGATAAACATCAATGGCCTAAAATAAATAAATATATTCACTGACAAGCCAGGGAAACTTAAAAAACAAGGGACTTAAAGGAAAAATGAAAATTGGTCTTGTAAATTAACCCATGAAAGCGTTTAATATATTACAGAGAGAGCAACCATAATTTCCGGTGTACTGCTCTGGAGAATGCGTTTTTAACATCCATAAGGAGAATTCCTCTGATCTATAATGATTTGCACAATACCCAACCTTAATGAGCCTCAGTTTTTCATGTGATTGGAACCCTACGCACGTCCACGCTACAGCGCTGCATTGAATTTCTAATTCTCAATAGCAAGAATAATAATAAGAACTACTTGACCAAGATGCTAAGCCAAAAATGCCTAAAAACTGGTGTGTTGCCGTATTCCCAGGAATTAATCAGCTAACATCCGTTTACTACTAATAACTATTGTCCCAATAAATTTTAAACTCTGCTCCTCCAGATATAGTTTCCTCCAGTTATACATGATATTGAGCACCATTTCATCACATTCTTTATATTTTCTTTACCTTTCCATGCGTCACTTTTCACACACAATAATAATAATAATAATAATAATAATAATAATAATAATAATAATAATAATAATAATAATAATTATTATTATTATTATTAGTAATAATTATTATAGGAGAAAGGCAGAAGAGCTCAAACAGAAATGGACAGGAAAGGCTATGCATGGGCAATTCGTTAGAGAGATGCCAGAAAAGGTAGACTGGGTTAAATCTTGGGAATGGCTGTCAAGGAGTGATTTGAAGGTTGGAACGGAAGCTCTTCTATGTGCTGCACAAGAGCAAGCAATAAGAACCAAAGCAATAAGTACGTGAAGCACTATATAGATAAGAGCAGCGACAATCCACTGTGTAGAATGTGTGGTAAACGAGGTGAAAGCATACAACATATTGTTTCAGAGAGCGAGAAATTAGCCCAGAAAGAGTACAAAAGACGTCACGATAACGTGGCAAAGAAAGTACACTGGGATTTGTGTATGACGCATGGGCTTGAGCATTCAGTTAAGTGGTATGAACACACTTTAGAGGGTGTTGTTGAGAACGAGGCCGTGAAAATTTTGTGGGATATCAATGTACAGTGTGATAACGTCATTCAGGCAAGAAGACCAGATATTATAGTAATTCACAAGGAAAAGAAAGAAGCTCTAATAGTTGATATTGCTGTACCTGCGGATACGAGGATTGCAGAAAAAGAGTTAGAGAAGGTAGAAAAGTATCAAAATCTGAAAAAGGAAATAAAAAGGTTGTGGGAACTGCGAAGTGTAAAAGTTGTTCCAGTAGTGATTGGTGCCCTCGGAAGCGTTACAAAAGATCTTGAATGTTGGATTGAAAATATGGACATTGTACCTGAAGCTGGAGTACTGCAGAAGACTGCTTTATTGGGGACAGCAAGAATACTGAGAAAAGTGCTGGAACTTTAGAAGGAGAAGGACATCTGTTAGCCTTTAGTCATTTGCTATGACTCGCCTAACAGGAAGAAAAACGGCAATAATACCAGCCAGTGCAGAAATGCTTAAAATCCAATAATAATAATTATAATAATAATAATAATAACAATAATAATAATAATAATAATAATAATTATAATTATTATAAATATGACAACTTTCCTTCAGCGCTCTATGGTTAATTGGCAAACTGAATTAACCTCTAACGGTACATCACTCGGAAATGTAAATATAAGAAGAGACATTTTTCAGGGAGACAGTCTTTCCCCACTGATCTTTGTGATTTGCATGATACCATTATCAAAGGTGTTACGGAAGGAAAAAGCAGGGTACATGATTGGAGATGTGAAAATCAATCGCCTGTTGTTTATGGATGATCTGAAGATATTTGCAAAGAACAAAACTGAAATTGATAGTCTTGTATCAACAGTAAAAGTGATAAGCCATGATATCGGAATGGAATTCGGAGTAAAGAAGTGTGGTATTGCTATCATGAAACGGGGAAAACTAATCGAAAGTAAAGAAATAAACCTAGATAATGGAGAAAGTATTAAAGAGATCGAGCTTGAAGGGTACAAATACCTGGGTATTCTAGAGGCTGACAAAATAAAGGAGAATGAGATGAAAGTAATATTTTCAAAAGAATACTTAAGGCGCACTAAACTAATAATGAGATCAAAATTGAACGGTAGGAATAAGATAATGGCAGTTAACACCTGGGCAGTATCACTCGTGAGACATGGAGCAGGTATACTTGGATGTAATACGAATGAGTTTCAAAAGCTTGACAGAAAAACAAGAAAAATCACGACAATAAACAAGGAACTTCACCCGAGAAGCGACGTTGCAAGAATATATCAAGAAGGAGAGGGGGAAGATGTCTTATAAGCTGTGAAAGTTGTTTAAAGGGGGAGGAAAATAGTTTGAGTTGGTACATATTGAACAGTAGAGAGCAGGGGCGGATACTTGACCAAATATTGGGGGGGACACGCCTATTGTTTTAATAAAATGACGCCACACTTCCCATTGTTTTAGAACAAAAGACCATTGTCCTCTTAAGTATTGGGGGCGGTCGCCCCCCCCCTGCCCCCCAAGCGTCCGCCACTGGTAGAGAGGTACTTTTGAGAAAGGTCGGGGAAACAGGCATAGTTAATGTTGCCGAAGCAATTGAACCAAAGTATAAAAGGTCTAATAACCAGAAAAGAGAAGACGAATGGAAACAAAAGATAATGCATGGACAGTTTTTGAGGGACAAAAAAGGGGTGGATTGGGACAGGTCATGGCAATGGATTGCAAAGGGAGATATGAAGGGATGTACAGAGGCATTGATTTGCAGTGCTCAAGAACAAGCTTTAAGAACAAATTAAACAAAGTTCAATATTGGTTAGAGTTCTGAGTCTCCTATGTGTAGAATGTGCGGAGAGAAAGCGGAAACTATTAGTCATCTAGTTAGTGAGTGTAGCAAATTGGCACAAAGGGAGTATAAGAAAAGACATGATAATGTAGCACGATACGTACACTGGCTTGATAACTTTCTTCGCAATGTTAAACCTTTCGGATGTTAATGATCCATGGATTTTTCCAATTTTTCAATAAACGTTTCATATACACAATATATAATATATACAAAAATGTTGCAATGCCCTACACCAAACAATGTAATAGATTAGTGGTGGTCTCTCAAAAGAAACTTCCAACTCACCTCTTCCTTACTTTTAATAGCCAGTTTTGTTAAAAAGTCAACTAAAAACAATGTGGGACAAACTGTGAGCATTGGCGAACGAAACAATGCGGAATTTACAATTAAAGGCGCTTGTGTAACCGGCATGCTTAGCGGCAGTTGTTTTGAGAAGTTGACTGTGTTATGTGTTTTCATGCAATACAATATTAGGCCGGTTCTTTGAATTATAGTGGCAAAGCGTGCCGTTTGCACAAGAGCCTTGGAAAATTTGCGCAGGTAATAAAAATATTTTTTTGTTTTTGAAATGAAGATGTAAGCTTCAAAATTCACAAAACCTGATAGCTATGATCTTAGATAAATTTTTTTGAACTAAAATGCAATTATTTAAGAAAAGGTAATTGATTTGAGACCATTAGAAAAAAGCTTCAAAGATTAATCAAATATGAAACTAGATACGAAAGTAAAGAGGCATGGAATCAACAATTATATACAGTGTAATAAACCAATGCAGAGACACAAAAAGCCTATACAAAATTTTAGTCCCTGAAATCGAAAACGAATGACTCTGATACGAAAAGGCCACTACGTTTCAAACCAGAATGGAATTTCAAACCAACATAGATATCGTTCATGGAACTATTGTTCCGCTACGTCATTTTTAGCTTGAAAAACAGACAAAAGTTATATAAATACCAATAACTCTTTGCATTGTCTTGTTTCTTGTGCTAAGCTTCTGTGAAATGAGTTTCAGACAACTGGGGACAATGGGTATTGCTTTTCTGTCTTGCAGCTGAATAAGAACAACAATTAAGTCTGTAGAAAAGATTTTCTTTAAAAATATCACTGTCGCGAATTTCAATAAAGATAGGCTTGGCGACTGAAATCGGACTTTTGAAGACTGGCGATAGGACGAGGGGAGAGCGGGGTTGCTGTTAGGTAAAAAGCTTCTTCCCTCCAGTAATTGCTAGTTTTTCAATGTTAATTTGTGACTGCTTGCAGGCTAGAGATAGGATACCCTTCAGTGGCGGCTCCAGCCTTGGATAAGTGGGGAGGGGGGGGGGGTGCAAAAGGTGTGTCAGGTACAACGCCCTTTTGGACCACGCCCTTTTCCCCTGTTTGAAACACCTGTTGTCTCCCAAGAAATGTCATTTACATGTGACGATCTAGATAACGTACATACCCTTCCCCCCGAAGTTTTCTCATCAGGTTTGCAAGAATCTCAAGGACCCACTTTCTGAACAAGTGGGGGGGACTAGTCCCCCTCATTCCCCCAATGGCTCCGCCACTGATACCCTTGCCAATCAAAGTAAAACGAACAGGGATATTACTATCAAGAAATGTCGATTCAGAAGGACAAGCACAAACTGTGAACAAACGCATCTGTAGCTTGTAAATTGTGTTTTTCTTAAAATTTTGCTTTTCTTAAAAAGACACGTTGATTGACTCATTTGATTTGACTGCAGTCGAATTCCTATTAAACTCATTCAAACGTCATGCCATCACTATAACGAGCCTCGCCAAATGATTTTGAAGGGAAATCAACATATTGCTGGATATGTCAAGTTAACACAGAGCAAAAATCTTGAACTACCAATTGCTGTCCCAACAACATCTCAAATGTGTGATTTTTACACAAAAATGAGTGACGCAAATGGAAAATTTTTTACTCTTTTTCCGAGGGACACCTAAGAAATGCTCGTTAAGGTTCTGAGGAGGAAACAAATCAATGTTTCTTAACAAGGAAATTTGACAGGACGTTTCTCTGAATGTGCGAAAACAGGACGGTTCTCTTTCGCAACTTCGGAATTCATGAAGCAACTTTACTAATTATGAAATAAGATTTTGAACCAGACTCTCGATGGCCAAAGCAAGGACCAGTCATTCTCGAAGAAGATACAGATTGCGTCCAGACTTAATCTTGACACAAAAGAAATAAGATACAGCCTAATAAGTAAAGAAAAGACATATCTTTAATAGAAAAATCATAAAAAGGAATTAGAAACAAACCGCTGACATAACCAGCAAATCGTCATCTTGGGTCAAAATCTTGAGCAATCTCTCTAAAAAAAAGCATTTTTTATTACAACAAAACACAATTCCTTGTTGCTTTTTCGACGAACGTAGAAAAATAAATCAACGACATTAATTGATACCTACCTTCCTTACGAACACTTTCGTAATAACCAGCCAGATTTTGGTGCCTGGAATAACAATTTGAGAGAATTTGTCACCTTTAGCTAAGCATCAATTTTTTCATACATCCAATATCTCATTGCGAAACAAATATCCGTATTTTTCAGCAAGCAAATAACCAGATTTTAGTGAAATACTCAAGATAAAATATGAATAACAGCCTTGCCAGTTCTGAAGAAAATCTGTGGTTTAAGGGGGACATAGGCGAAAAAAAACATTATTTCTTTGTCTCACCGCGCTCAACGGATAGTAGCCTATGTAGCAGCTAGGCTCTTCTAGTTACGTAAGAATGCCAGTTCAGATAGTTGAAAATTCAGTAGCGAACACGTCCCCCCCCCCACACTCCTCTAAAGGAACGATTTTGTATTTCGTCTAAATTCGATGTGAAAATGTTTGGGAAGGGGTGATATTTTCATGACATGGTTCTATGATTTTGAAACTGCCTTTATGTAACCAAATGTTAGTCGTGGGTGTTTGCAATTAGTAAAACTAGCGTTCCCTGTTGGTAAAAAAGAGTTTTCTGACAGAACAAAGGGCATTGCCTTGATTTTTTAACTTTGCTCAGTTATCGCAGAAAGGTAGGGCTTATTATAAGTCATAACTGGTGTATAAAGCAATGTACGGGTTTGAGAAAGACAATGATCCAATGAAACACAGATTCCGCGCAGTCCGGTAAGTTATCATAAACCGGACACATAATCAGCCACAATAGAAGGTCGTTTAGATAATATGACAATTAAGGATATCAACAAAACGGGGAGGTTTCTTGTTGGGGGGTAATGTTAATAACGAAGATCCAAAATGCTGATGCCCTTACAACCATATGCATCAGACTGCCATGGTCAAATGATGGAACGTCAATAAAATTTCAAAACAGAGGAAATTTTTTATATTTTATATGCCAAAAGGTCAAAACAATATATGACAGAGATTGAAAACTGCTGAAGACAAACTTTGGTTTAAGGTCATTGTTTTCAAGATATCATTGAGCAAAATAAGATTAGAGCGAATAAATTGATTTACAACCTTGACAAGAAATTAGCAAATTGGAAGACGGTGATCATTTCTACTTCATCCTGATCAGAATCCATATCTTGAATCCTTTGCATAAATACACTCGACTCTATGGTGCAAAAGCAGAAAAAAACTATGGTTTTGATAACAGTTCTATTGAGATTTTCATGAGCTTTTGATGGTTGGTAGCTTTGAAAATATGCATTTGGGGGTCCATCTTAAAAAAGACATTCCAAGCACATAAAGAAGCAGATTAAAAAGCCATATGGACTGGCTGTGTTATTAAGAAAAATTCAAGCCTAAACTTCGTTGGACAAAAATATGTAAAAGTTGCTTGGACAGAAATATGTAAAAGTCGCTAAAAATGGTTCATTTCAACCTCTAGGCACGATGAAAGATACCTTGTGCCATCCTTTTTGCTTCATTTATGCCTATCGTTGTACTGAATTCAAAGTACCATATTATTTTCAAAGGTGGCTGTAAGAATATAGGTATTGAAAACGATAATTTTTTATATTTGGAAAAATGAATCGTTAACAAGAGACAATTTGATATTGAAAAACCAACAACGAAATAAATTGCTACAAACCTGTTTTAGTGATTTGTTTCTTCAAAATTTCGCTTAATGTAACTGTCAATTGTTCAGCATTACATTCGAATGCCTATTTGGAAAACAAACGAGACAATGGAAGGGAAACGTTATCAGTGAAACCTTGACCATACTTAATGAGTCCACTAGTATCTTGCTAGAATGAATATATCGTTGTGAGGATGCGAGAAATGATAATCATTGTGAGGATGTAGGGGGGAAGGGAAGGTGTTGGAAGAGAAAAACCAAACTTCAAAATGGGATAAATATGTGCATTTTATAACAATGGCACCCAGGTAAAGATAGCCTAAAACCTAAAAAATCTAATACAAAGTGAAAACGAATAACGATTACAAGTTACATATTACAATTAAAAATGATTACAACTAAATTGTTTCCGCTACCAATGAATAATGTTTCACAGCTGACATTCTTTGCATCGTATCCAACTTCTTTTAACGACGGCATTAGAAGATCCTCACACAATGTAAGAGTTTCTGGCAGGTTAAAAAAAACTAAATTACTTACGGCTTTGAAGAAATGACTCTGCCATAATTTTGAAGCCTGTCCACTAATGTCTATTGCAAGGGAAGCTGGGGGTGAAACAAATACTCCCCATAAGTGACAGATATGATCGAAAAAATTGTTATTTACCTGATGATAAACTTAGAAATACAGCATATAGAGAGTACAAGTACAACTAGAGTACAACTGAGTTCCACTTTTTCATGTCGTTTCGAAATTGCTTTTTAGCAATAAGTAACTACAAAATACCTCTTTGTTGAAATGGCTTTTAGCTATAAAAGAAGAATCATTAATAAAGGAAACAAAACATTATGGTTCTTAGTAAATGTATCTTTCAACTAACTTCTTTTACGGTTTGGCAATTGCAGATAATAAACAAATTAAACGGTAGATTTAATATAAAACAAAGCTGTCATACTAATCCAGCTTATAGAAAAAGCTAATCAAAGTGACACAAACTTACCTGAAGCTGGAGAAATAGGCGGTTCGTTAGTCAAATTTTTGAATATTTCATCGATCGATTTAGCTTGTACAAGTAGCTTGCCTAAGCATTTCTGTTGCTAGAAAATAAAAATAAATGCTTTAAAATTCGTTTGCCATTTTTTAATACGGTTGCACGTGCGTTCGAGATGAAGAACAAAACGGATTCCTATTCTGTATGTATGACTCATTTTTATAGTTACATTCCCAAAGTGATTTTCATTAGTGGGAGACACTGTTCGAAAACGAGTACATGTAGCGTTAAGTTGCATCTTCCCAAGGAAATTCGACAAAATATAATTAACACTACTAGATAAAGTTAAACTACCTTTATTTTTAGTGGACTGTTCATGACTTCAAGTTGCTAAAAAAGACACAGTTTATTACAATCTATACTGCAAAATAATTCTGCATAAAAGCTGTGAGTAATTTGAATAAGAAAACAAAAGCAAGGATCATATGGTTGGTAAATTTTTTGGCCACAAGAGGCTAAGGAAATAGTACTCGGTGGCACCAAAGCTCATTGCCAGAAAGCAAATTAGATACGAGGTCCTGAGGGCGAAACCTCGAGAGATCTCGCGTTTTGAGCCTTCCTATGGAGATTATTAATTTTGCGTTTCGCAAATTTTGAAGGCAAGCTACCAGGTATGCTCAGGCAAAGGGGCAACGTGCGTACACCAGCAAAAAGAGTGATCGCTCACGCTAAACATTGTGTAAGAGTGTTTATCCACTATAAGTGAATTCATGCCCAAATATATCGATTCGTTGAATGCCTTTACTGATCTACTTTACTTAGACAGACTTGTGATGGGGAACTAGCTAGTATATTGGGAGGGCTTAAGTCTTTTGTAGCCCCCTTGCAGCTACCTGGCAGCCTTCTCGACCACTCCTGGCCATTTATTAAGAGAAACGGCAATTGGCAATTTATCCTGACAAGCATCTAAACTACTGACAAATGTGAGAGTGGATAACGTTACCTGAAGCAAATTTTGACAACAGCGAAGATGACACACGAGTGCCTACAACAAAAATGGGTCTATCATCAAGTAACATGTACAATCAACGTACCTCATAATGATAAATTCTTGTCACTAGTAATAAGAGGAGAAGCTGCCAATGTGAATGACCAAAATGCTGTTGGTTTTCAAGACTTTAGGCAGGCATTGTATTCAGTAATACAGGGCCTCCGACGAAGGGGGGCCGGGGGGTCATGAGGCCGGGGGGCCATGGCCCCCCACTTTTTCGCAAAACAATAGAGCTTTTTTAAAATTATTTTGTTATGAGTGTTGAATCTCCCTTGGCCCCCCCTCACTTCCCAACCTGCGTCGGAGCCCATGTAATAGCGTAAAATATCACTAAACTTAGCTGTATCAAAAAAATGGAAACCTTTTTCAAGATTCTCCAGCTGCCGGGGTATATCCGACTTTCGGTCACAACCAGCGGCCGGTCCGGTTTCAGCGTTTGGTGCTCGGACAAAAAGTCGAATGCGCTATCAATTGAATTCAGAGCATTCTCTATTGACTCGGTTCGTGAAATTGGCTTCTTCTTTTCCTATGAAACAGACAGAAACGTAATGCAAACTATTCAATTATGAATTTTTTCGAAAACAAACAACTAGGTGTTAAAATGACTAACTTAAAAAATAAAAACAGGATATCAGTCGGTGATGAACAAACTGACTTTCGTGAGAAATCCGGATCCAGACAGCGGTGCAGAAAAATCTATACAGAAAATATACAGCTAAGGTTCTCAATGACCGTCATTTATCATTGGATGAAGCAAATGATTAACAAAAGCATTGTTAGAGCAAACATCGTCCTTCCTTTGCAGGACGGCTATTTCAACAAAGATTCGAGTGCAGGAATGGTATTTTGTGGAAGTGAGAGGTGATCAATGTAAATCAAGATTAAAGATTTTTCAATGTAAATCATAAAAAAGCACCATTGCAGAGAGATTAAAATTTGTGGTTATTGTCACACAAAATATAATGGCATGATCAGTAAGGACACTTTGAGTTTTCAAATGATAGTTTTGGATGTATGCTACTTTGAGAATTATTGGATAGGGGAGTGTTTTTGCAAAATTGTTCATTTTAAAAGCCTTTTCTGAGATTATAGTTGGACAAACGAAACATTCCACAAACCGTTGATGACAACGAAAACATTGTGAAAAGGCAGGAGTGGCGGTATGGGGGGGCAAGGGGGGGCTTTAGCCCCCCCTAGATTTTTGTTAGCCCCCCCGTCGGCAGCCAATCAATTTTTGCTTTCTCAATACCGTCGGCACTTGATGGATGTCACCCGGTTTACATCTTGTTTGAATGACAAAAATAATCGAGGAGAAAACTGCACTGGCTGGTTTATGGTTTTCTCAATGGCTTTTCTTCGGCAATTTTACTATCATAGTGGCATTATATCCTGTCGCTTCCGTGAAAGCCTTTTTTCGTTTCAAGACATTATTATTGCCAATGAAGACATTTCGATCATGAGCACATTTTGCGTAATAAATTTTTCAAAAAGCACTTCTTGTCCTTTTTCATCAACTATTTTTCAATAGCATTGTTCACCGCATAGCTTCCGACAAACAAATGTTTTAGAGAAAACCATCGATTAACTTCTTCCAACATGGATAGGAAGAAATATTCAACAATAGGCAATATTTGCGCATTAAGTTTCTTACAAGGCACAATTTGCCGAGAAAATCTCGTGGACTCCGACACAGGTTGGAAAATGGGGGCGGGGAGGGGGCAAGGGAGAATTTTGCACCCACAACAAACGATTTTGGAAAAATGCTCTATTGCTTGCTCTATATGCTTGCTTGCTCTTGCAAAATTGCTCTAGATCGGTGCCCTTTCATTGGAGGTGCTGCTCAGGGGGCGTCGAGACTGGGGGGTTGTCACACCCACCCCAATAGTATCTCAATAGGAAATTTCAGGTAAAATCCGCTCGGTGGAAGAAACGCTTTAGGTATTTCAGAGACCTTCCTGTCATAAAATCAATGAAGGATCAAGCAATCTTAGGTAAAATTGTGCCTCGTGTCCATTTCTCCTAAAGTTTCTCAGTAGAAGCGTCAACTGCAATTCACTATGAGCTCCAGATTTTTCTTAACATTCATAAGGCATGCCAAGATGGAGAGAGGGATCTAAATTTAAAAGTAACTGACAACCTGGTATTTTTCAAGACCACGGCGAAATTGTTGTTTTTATCTGCTGTAAAAATATTTTGCAAAAAGACAATAATTTTCAATAGGATTAGGAGGATTGCTTTAGTGAAATCTGCTTAAAAGAGTGAATTTTCCAGGGAACTAGAAGCATCACAATTCGAAAATTTCCTGCCCCTTCGGCGGCAACCATGGTGCCGCCTCAGGTAGTAACTATGTATTTTGCCCGTCCCGATATAGAGATTTGACAAGACTATTAGAAAAGTCAGTTATTATCATACAAAGTTAGATTGATAAAATGTATTGCAGAGGTTTGTGACACCAGCTAAAAAGTTTCAGGCAATAATTTTTTAATCAGGTAAATTTGCATTCCCCCCCCCCCCCCAACGAGGCTTGCCTCGCGACGGCCCTGCCTGCTATATGGGGCAAATCGAATTTTTTTTTCTGTCGGCAATTTGACACATCCAGCGTCGGCAGTTACGGAGAATATAAACTTCGGCACCTTGAAGGTTTGTCTCTAGCGCCACTCCTGTAAAAGGTTTTGATTATTTTACTCTTTCATTTAAAGTTGATAATAATATTTATCGTGGACTACATCACGGATCTAAAAATCTGCATGACAGGATGGGGGCTAGTTCGATTGAGGCATATTGAAATCGAGAGCGAGGTTACTCGAAGGTTTGCCGAGGCTTGTATCCTTGTGTGGAGATCTAGCACAATCCTAGCCAATCCTCATCTATTGCTGCCCGGATTTCCAATATGGAAAAGGTTTTATCACTAATTAATACAGTCTTACTCAATCTAAAGATGTCTATGTTATGCTTACGGCTACTCACGCTTTAATTCTTCTCTGAATGTGCATTGATCAATCAAAGGTAAAAACAGCAGTGAGTTAAAACAGGACAATATTATATCTAAACTAAAAAATGACGATTCTACACTTTCTTGGACTTCCATTAAGTGGTTCATCAAGGTCTAAAAGCATTTAGTAACTTTTCTTAAAGGCAATCGACAGATACAAAAGTGGCTGAAGACATCTGTCAATCAACAAGACACCTGTCAATCAACAAGACATCTGTCAATCAACATGACGTCTGTCAATCAACAAGACATCTGTCAATCAACAACTGGCCAATCAATAAGTTTGATACTATCCACACACTCATTGATTGACCAATAACTGATTGGCAAATTTCTTAAAGACTCATTGCTAACAATGAGCCATTGCGCTACGCAAGCATCCCATAATGCATTTTAAGACAGTCTGAAATTAATTTACCGCCATTGAAGACAATTTACTGCCATTGTTTGGATCGTCGCCACGCTCGCAAAGGCCCATTGTTAGCAATGAGTCTTTAAACCACTCTACCATCTGTCGATTGCTATTAAAAAGGGCAGAGGTTATGACTTTCGGTTCTCTGCAGCATTATTCTATGCTTTTGAGTAAATCAAAAAATCGCTCACCTGAAGTAGTTCAAGAAGTACATTTACCACCTCCTTTAAATTTTCTGCTCTTATTGAATAGGCTGAAAAAAGAAATCGCGAATCTGATAATAATAATAAATTATTGCAGGTAGGACTAGACTATTGCTGTCCTGCATAATTATGTTGAAATGAAAACTTGTTGAAACAAAGTAAAGGGTTACTAATCATTCATCAAAAGTAGATCGGTTGGAATCTTTTAAAGACACGTGTAAGCGTAACAAGAGTAAAAGGAAATCGATTGATATTAAAAATGCTTAAGCGATTAATCGACATTGGCCATAATAATCTTCCTATTATCTCATAAAATGAGGAAATGAGAACAACTGCTAACATATAGAACATTCTCAAATGTCCCTCCCACTGGTTTACGTGGAGCAGCAGTCATTAGGTGCAATGAATCTGGTTTTGCCAGATTCTTGAAGCGCACAAGACTCACAAGCGAAAATGACAGAAGAAAAACGCGTACCTTCAGGTATTGAGCTTAGCCGGACCGTTATATCCAACAACATTGCTCGTACTTCCGGTACTGTATCATCATTTTCAATACTCTGATCCGGTTCCATATTTTCATTGTCCGAGTCGGGGCTAGCGGTGTTTGAATGATTGTCTGTATAGACTTCTGGCAAGTTTCTTTCCATGCTAACAGCTGCAAGGTCTTCGGTCTCAGTGTTGTTATTCAACGTCACGTTTTCGTATGCATGTGCAGCTCCTTGCTTTTTGGGGTCCGAGCCTTCTTTTTCAAGTTCATTAATTTTGGCAGAATCTGAATTTTCGTAAGGAGGCGAGTAATCTGGTTCTAGAATTATATGCATCGGCTGACTCACCGTTGACGACCTTGGCGAAAAATTTGTCGGGTAATCAGGCAACGGAGTCGGCATAAACGACGGGGCGACTGACTTAGGTCTTTGGCTCTTTTTGCTTCTTAAGGAATCTTTATCTGGGATAACGTCAGGCTTTTCACCGATAATTGAAGTAGTTATCAAATTAACAACATTTTCATAATCAGACTGTGACGAAAATCCATTTGTGAAAGTTGGGCCTAATGTAATCGGCCTTGGCTTCCGCTTCTCTTTTGGCGCAGTGTCTCGCAAGACAACGTTTTCGCTCAAATAATCACAAGATGAAGCGTGTTTAATGCTATGCTTAACGCTTTTATTGTCAACATTCACTGTGCTTTGGCTATCCGAGTTGTCTATAGCATCACCAGTGTTCTCGAAAGTCTTTGCAATATCTGGCAATGAGTTCGCTCGAACAGACGCGACCCACGATGAGCTATCGTTGCTTGTAACTGATCCCTGCAAATAAGATTTGTTTTCAACAGATTTTTAGTCAAGAGCGAGATGATCTTAGGACACTGCCCAAAACAACTGGGCCACTGTGAAATATGCAAACAAAAAACATGGACTAAAGCGAGTCTTAAAGACAAAATAAAAGCCACTGTAGTTAATGGCAAAGGAACCTTGAGAATATTTGCGTGTATGTGTGTACCTAACAACAGACAGTATAAACAAGCAGTGAAAATATAAAAATTTATACAGAAGACATTTGCATTGCCGTTTTTGGGTAAAATACGTTCTAGAGTGCCTCTTCGGGTTTTAAAAACATTCAAAATTAATATGACCAAATGTGAAAAATCGTTATTCCTTGAATTATGCTACCTTTTCAAGGTCTTTTATTAAAAAAATTAACATTCAATGAAATGCTGTTGATACATACGTTGATGTTCATTTTTCCTCCATCTGCTTTTGAATGTTTGATTACACTAAAAATTTGAAAATTCCATGATTACATCAAAGCTTACAAAAACAAGACTATAAAGAACTAGGATAAGATATGAGAAGGATATATAATTAAATCTACAATAGTTTACTTAAAATAAAAGGATTTAATTTATATAAAGACATCATTATTTTTAATAAACGTAACAAAACCTTCTCTTTAAAAAATTAGCAGTCAAGTGCCATGTAGTTACTTCGAAGTTTGGGGAACTTAAAATACACTAAAAGGATAGGAGACATAATTGGCTACAGTAGATCAAAGGAAACGAATGGAATAAAATCTTGTTTTTACCGATATTACAATGTCTATAATTGCCACAGAAAGTCATAAAATCCTACGTGTATCGTTAATAATAAGTATTTTATACTAGTTAAATTTCATTAGGAATGTACCAGGCGAAAATCAGGGGTATTCATCAAGGACGGCAGGGAATACAACAGATACAGGGAAGGGGGCTTAAATGTTTTCTCGGGGATCAAAATGCTAAAAGCAAAAGCAGGGTGATTTATTGTTTGGTTTTAGAAACATTTTAGGAATTAAGTCCCTTCAGCGTCATGGGTGCCTGCATTCCCTGGTATTTACAACCTTTCATCCTCTGAAGTTTGCAGCTTTATCTTGACAAAAAACAGATTTGTACCCACCGTGCTTGAGGAGACAGGTATGTGCCACTAACAGAAATTCTCATCGATGTCAAAGTACCATTGTTAGTGGATAAGCTTGGCATTGATGACAATGTTCCACTTTTTGGTGTTGAGCATGGGCTCTGTGTACCACTGGTATCCGACAAAGTGTCAAGCCGTGACTCATCCGGCATACTGATCTTCCCAGCCATAAAGCTACTCTCCTTGTTAACAAATGGACTGTGGATATAACGTTTTCCATTAAAAAGCTGTTGATTCGATGCATGGAGAGAAGAAACATATTAACAGAGGAGTTAAAAGGAAAGATTTCACGATGGTTGCAGGACTGAGACTTCAGAAAAAATAATTTCCAAATTATTCCTTTAAGAAGCAACAGGAAAGAACACATTTGGTAACACACTTCTTAGAGAATAGATCTCATGGGAGTGTAAGAGTTGTTATTTTACAGCATTGACGAACAAACGTGCTGTCTTATTCACTTGATATACACTAATTCTATGGTATATAACATTGATGTGAACGATTAAATTGTTAAGAGATGATGAATTTTTAAGCGATTGCTGTACTCAAACTTTGTATTCAGAAATCTCAATCACTACAAAGGATACCTACCTCCAAAAAGCCATGATTTTCAATTTCAAAGAGCCCGTGCTATTCACTGGAAGAACAAATTCCTAAAAATGAAAAGAAACAGTTTACTATCGTTGCACCGCCATGATGTCAAACGTTGCTTTAATTAAAAATTCGCTTATCGCTAATATCGGATCTTGTCAAAAACAATTTTTTGGTGGTACAAAATTTGAGAATGGCTTTGAAAAAAGCAAACATTTTTCTACATACTAAAGATTTACTTTTGGTTTACTTTTGCTCTGATGAAGCCCCGTATGCCGGGGCGAAATATTAGCCATTTCCGGTTATGTGATTGCGTTTTTTTTGATTGGCCTATTTCGACCCACAACTGGGTATATATTTCCCATTCTGTTCTTTGGACCCTATCCTGACGTTTTATAGAACGTAGAAATTTGTTTGCTTTTTACCAAAGCCATTCACAATAATATTGATACCTGATTCAACGAATTTAATTGACGGTTGATGCTGTTAGGTTTTCATTTTTTTATTCAATCGTTTCTGTATGGAATAGCCTGCCAGACAGTATTGTGATGCAGGCAAATTCGGATACCTTTTACAACCTATGTCGAAATCACCTCAGTAAACTTTAAAATTTTAATGTTGTAGTTGACTGGGCAGACATTTGTATGACCCAAAGGGTTGTTAAATGTAAATGTAATGATGATGATGGTACTCTGTAAAACAGAAGAGAAAACATTATAAACGAAGGCTTAGGGAAATTGGTTGCCAATCGCAGCAAAACAAGAGAAGGCAAAGTGGAAAGGAAGCCTTGCTCTCTTTTTGAGTTTCCAAAAAGGTCTGATAAACAATGAGGTTGGATGGAATGAATAATTACGTAAAAGATTTGGTTTTTTGAGAAACAATAACAGAACGCCATTGATCGACCTGCAAACAAATTTCATTTCACTTCATTTCATTCATTTTTTAGGCATGGTAGCTCCTCAATTAGAGAAAAACTGATTTACAGGGGGGCCATGCATTTAAATACTTTCTAAGTTAAAATAAATATCATAAATACAGTATAATACAATAAGATTAAAAGAAACAAGATCAAAACAAAAATTAGCATTTAAAAAACAATTTCGAGACTCATGCAATGCTGGAATTTATTAGATCTTCCCTAAATCTCCTCAGGGTTGGTTGACTTTTTGCTGTAGCGTTTAACCCGTTCCAGAGACTCGCCCCTCTGAAAAATCATTCTTTATTAGAAAAAATATCGGAAATCGATATTAAAATAAAGCAAAAAATATGCAAAAACTGTCCTACCTGTCCATCTGCAGAAAGAAAATTTGAAATTGGGCAAGTGACAACTCCCACGGAATTTGTGTTAATTTTCCGTACTTCATGGACCTAAAAAAGACAAAAACACGTTACAGGCGACTTTGAACAAATCAAAAAGTTGATGTTTACAAAATTGAGATGTTGAAAATATCTTGAAGAAGACCATACTTTCAAAACACAAATTAGGTGGCTGGTTTAGATCTTATAATGTAAGATTTGCTATAATGGAAATAAATTAACATCCCAGTTGAAAATCTAGTTTATAAGTGCATAAGTGAAAGGCACTAGTTTTATAAGAACACAATCAAACAACTGAAACACAAAAAAGTATAGTATACTTTGTAATGATACAACAATTGTTTCTCTCACCTTTATTATAATATCATGAGCTGCATTTATTTTCAGCGCTACCTGAATAAATATATCAATTGGTTTTATCAATAATTTGTTTGTAACTTAAAAGGCACATTGCGAATAAAAGCTATAGTTGCAAGCAACATTTTAGAACACTTGGGAAGAGAAAAACTTTATATATTAATATGTCTGTGATCTCAGACAATAGTTTTTGCAAATCAAAATACTGGCAGCTCTGGTACAAAAAAATTTCCAGCATACATAAAAATATGAACTCCAATAAACAGAGATTGCTTAGAAAACAGAGTAACTGGTGACAAAATTTCATTTTGCACTGATCGCTGCTGGGTTACTGAAGATAACGTATTTCAAATGGCATACAAATGCTAACTTTCTAAGCGATCAAGTTCAATTCGTTGCAGTTTAGATAAAAATAAAGATAATGAAAGAAAATGTCAGATAAAATATTAAATCCTAGGGTAGGGTGAGGCGCCCTCCTTGATCAGTTTACCCAATGAGGGAGATCCTCCTTTAAGTAATTCCCTGCATGCAGTTCACTTTATTTTATTGCTATAAGTTTTATTGCGTAATCAAACTGTATTAATTTTTCGTAATGTAATATTTTAATGTCTGTTTAAACAATACTATTATCTAATTTTGCAGTGTATGAAGAGGAATTTGAATATATATACTGAACTTGAATGAACTGAGCTGAAGAAGAGTTCCGTGGAACGAGCCTACAGTAGACAACAAGTACAGATTTATCAGGAATTTTCAAATGAATGATAAAACTACCTGAGCATTTGTCCATTTCTGTCCTTGTCCAACAACCTTGCATTTAGATGTAAATTTGTCATAGCCGTGCTTGAAATGAACCTAGGGTTAATCCATGATCATTACATTATATATTGCGATTGGGGGGTAGTAGAAGTGGGGGTAAAGTGGGGGCAGAGGTAGCCATCAGCTGTTCCTTTTTAAGTAGGCAGCTTTTTACGGAATACAAAAACACCTCTTCAATTAGACATTGGCAATTTCCAAGCAACCACCACTTTGTGTTCTGAGATGTAACTACTCGCTTGTGCCCTGTGACTTTGTCTAACTTTCAGTTTTCACGGCTTATCTTGCCTTCTCTTTATTTCCCATAACAAAAGCATCTGGTTGCTTTGGAAAGATTTCAAAAAAGGATTATAGAGTCCTACATATTCTGAAAATTAAATTTTCTTGTTGATAGAGAAAGAGTATAAGCGGAGCCAAGTATCCAAATATTATTCTGCTCTCGTTGAAGAGATGCAAAAAGGACATTAACATTTTTTTGTTACATTCGATTATCAAAACAAAGTCATATAAACACTTATGGACCGCAAAGTCTACAATGTATCAACGCCCTCGCAGCAAAAATAAAATTGGGTAACCAAGATTAATACTGAATGTTAATAGAAAGTTTGAAGCTATGTTGATGTCACGCACGATTCAAAAGTCGAGGTAGTCAAACAGGACACTATTACGCAAATCATACACGAATTCAAACACAAGTACAACAGAATAATTTCAAAGGATTCCTCGGGGGAGGGGGGGGGGGTTGCTTGACATGTTCCAAGGTACGGGAACGTGCCATTTTTTGAGGGTACCTTTTTTCTAAAAAGTTCGGAATTATCGGTATCAGTTTTTAAAAGATGTGCGGGACTATGGGTACTATTTGAAGAAACATGCAGAATTATGGGTAACATTTTGGGAAAATATTGCAAAAATATTAGGAGGGAGATTTAGCATTAAGAAAATGAATGTCCAGTTAGAAATGAAAGTATGAAATATGTGTAATATTGATAATTTCGAGCAAAAGACATGCAGTACTTGTTTGATGATTTTGTTGTGCTTGAAAAATGTTATTTCCTTTGCGGAAAATGGGTATAATTCTTCATCATGTCTGCGGAATTATGGGTCACATCTTTTCAGACATGTACAGAACTAAGGGGTCAAAATTTTTAACCAAAATGGCACGTCCCCGTCCAAAATTAGGCTTAATTAACTCGCACCCCCGAGAAGGATTCAGAAGAACTCTTTGAGCCCTTCCAAAATACAAAACAATAAACCTCTAAATGAAACTTTTGTGGAAGCGTTTACTCGAGGGGGCTTTTAAATGAGGAGTATCTTTTGACAAACTTTACGCTAAACTTAAACACTAATAACATAATTCTTGAGAAATACGACATACATTTTGCAAAGAGAAAAAACAGGGCTTTGAAATAATTGTGAATAATTGTTATCACTGTGGTGAATTATATAAATGCTACAAGCTGCAGTAGGCAACGTATGTGAATTCGCTAGCAGTTAACAGTAAGAAACGTTGTCTCCAAAGATTTTCAAGTTTTATTATGATTTAGAGAAGACGACAAAGATCATCTCTATCTTGAAACCCATCGGACAATTTACAAATTAGACATCAGATGCTCGAAAACACACATACAAAATATGTACTTGAAAGATCAAAATTATCTTACGCTATAGACATCACCAGAACTCAATCGTGCAAAACCAATGAGGCCTAAGACATGAATAAAATAATGACGTCATCCTTGTTGACATTATTGTTAGGGCAACATAACGCTATAGCCAATGGAAAGGCCTGAAGATAAGAAAGTTGATTATACCGTAATATTACTTCCAGAAGACACCAGCGGCATTGCTTGTGCTCTGGGGGGAGGGGTTATTAGTGGAGGAGTTTAAAAGTGAGGGCATTCAAAATTGGAAGCGTTTTTTCATAATTTCTGAGTAAGGTACCAGAAAAAAGCTTTTAAAGCTAAACTGAAATTTTTTCTAAGATGTGTTTTTATTTTCTCTACATTTTCCAATAAATACCCTTTTCCGTCGATGGAATTTTTACTCGAAGCAATATGATATCTCCCGACGAGACTGGCAACTGCATGGTAAGAAAATTCAGCTGTACTTTTATTACAAAAAATGAAAGAAAAAAATGTTGTAATTTTACAGCTGCAAAAGCTGTTCATCTCTCCCTACCTACGATTTCGATTCTCATGCTGCCAGCCATGTCGTTTACTTCATCTTGAACTGCACAGAGACGCTGTCAGAAAAAATTAAGCGAGACGAGTTAGAAGCAAGAGCAAATTACTACTTAGCTGCAGTGAAATAAGCTGTTATATATTGGTTGCAGATGTGAACCCTTCTTAATCACAGAAAACGTTGAACATCTACTTAAACTTCAATAACTAAACTGCATTGTCGTTTTATTTGATAAGCAGTGTTTCAGCAGCTGTTGAAAACATTAGACCAGATCGCCTTTGACATTCAGTAAAAAATGGCCTAAACTTGACATGGAACAAGGAAGAAAAACTCGATAAATGCTTACGGGGAAAAAGATAGATCTATTCAGGGGTGACACCAGAAATCCTGCTGCCACTATAACAGGGGGTTGAACGTCTTTTTTGAAAACAAGTTTAATCTTGATTTAAGGAGCTCTACATAGCTCGGACACCCCCTGGCACCATCCTGATAGACAGATCTCTGCATAGCTCTGACACCCCCTAGTAGATAATCGACGTTTGGGATTATCCTGCGTCCTGCTTGCTACTTACATTTACATTTTTCTTCAGGTTGCTTCTACAATAATCAATTCCATTTTTAATTCTTTTGCTGTTTTCCTTTTCCATCGTTTTCAACAATTTATTAGCACCTGAAATTAAAAGTTATCATCAAAGAAGAAAATAAAATGGGTATGACAAAATATTTGGCAGAAGTGGAAAAATTGGTTGCTGAATACCTGTATTAAAAAATCTCATGACATAAATCAAACAAGCAATCTCTTAAAACTATTCATTTCAAATTCACTGAAAAGCCCGATTATAAAGTCCTGATGAAAGCAAGTTAATGCGGAAAGCATGTTTCGGAAACAAAAATTCCCTACAATTGCTAAAGCTCTTATGCCGTTAAAAATCCATCGTATTAAGAATTCTCTCCTTTAAAATCTCTTTTTTAAACTTCAATCTTGACAAGTATCGAGAGAAAAACGGAGAAAGATATTTTAAAACAACTTTCATCGTTGAACTTCTAGGCCACCAAACATAATCAACTTACTAAGATTTGGTTAATAAGCACTGACCCATTGACATTAAAAGGGCCGGAAGATACATTGATGGTAAATAAAACTGTTGATTTCTAACAATAATCTTTGGATGATGTTGTATTGTCAAAGAGCAACATTTAATTGTGAATTTGTGGAAAATACCACCTCGTGTCTTTCTGATAATTCCCATTAATAAAAAATCTATACAAAATTTATTCAACCTTCTCTCATATGCTCCTGGTGAACGTAGAGTTCATTTAGGTCTTCAACCTGCAAAATATGCTTTATGAATAATAGTACTTCAAGGAAACCAACAATTAGATTATTTATTTTGCAACCTGTTATCTGTTAAGAAATCTTAAGTACTTTTAGCTACCCACAGTAGCAAAGTTGATTCATGAATGCGAAGCCTTGGTTTCAAAGGAAAAATGAAAGTTTTTAAACAATGTTCTTGATACATCAAGTTTGAGCTTTTCATGCTAGCTCAGTAGATTAAATGGAAGTTAAGCTACCCTCCATTCTGCCTACAGATAGCTGTGAAAAGTGGTCCATAAAGTTGCATATTCTGATAATTTTAAATATTTTGATCAATTTGAAGCATCTATGATAAAAAATATCCAAACCTTTTGTAACTTTGTATCCAATTTCCTGACAAAAGAGCAAGACTTTGATCATTTTTCTTTTAAAAGCAACCAACATTCCTAAGCATCAACTCAACACATATTTAACAGTTTTAAAAGAATCATTTTGCATGGTTGGTTGGATTGGGAAAGATAAACCAGTTTCAACATTTTATGTTCATCTATAAGTCTCCTTAAATGCATCATGGTAAAAGCAGAGGGTATACCAAAACAAACCCAAATCTGCTGGGTCATGATTTTCGTGCTGCAATGCTATTGGTTGACCTGAAACTAGTCACGCAAACTGACCTCTTACTGATAAACAACAGATGCTGATATCGCATGAAACTGCAGCAATCACAACAAAACCAATGAGCACATATAGAGAAGGTCTTTTTACCATGACTCAATGCCTTAAAGATGACATGAGGCAAAACTGATTCAGACTTGCTTCTCTTGATCCTCTATTGCAGTTCCTCATTGTCACAACAAACTACCAAGAAACACCAGAGACAATCAGAACAACTGCAAAGCTGCTGTTTACAACCATGATAATAAATCTTTTAACAATAAGACTTTGTTTTAATAGGCCATAAATACAAATCAAATCTGACATAGCACTATATTTTATCTAATAATTTCTTAAATTACTGCTGAGGTTTTTTCATAAAAACAACATACAATTTCCCATTTTTTCTTTCACCGTGGAATTGAAAACCATTGGAAATATAGATATGTGCTTAATATTATATCCTTGGGGAAGGTCTCAAACTTGTTTTACATATTCAGGTTGAAATATAAAAGTAGCGAAGAACATACTTGGTACACTTTTCAAAATACAATTTTTCTTTGATCTAAAAAGCGAATAACATGACAATAAGATATCAGGTATTGAAACAAAAAAGAAATTTCAAACTCAAAGAAAATTCAAACTGCAAAACATTCCATACATTTTTTTATAGCGAAATATCTAAATTCTATCATTTGATATCTAAAAATTTACTTACAGAAAAGTTTGACAAATCAACATCCTTGCAGGCATCAAGAAAGGCACTGCAAAAAATTTCTTCATTTAGAAAATATGAAAGGATTATATACAAACAAGAAAGATGTCAGGTAAGCTACAATAAGAGCTTCTCTATATTCTGCACAAAAAACAACATTGCTGAAGACGACCTAGAAGAAGAAATTTCTTAAAGAAAATAAATGAAATCCAGCTAAATTGGTAGAATTGCAAAAGAAGCATCAAGATGCTGGAAATTAATGCAAATAATACCAAAGGGTAAACACCGTATGCAAGCTGTAGCATTGCTTCAAATTCACAATAATTTCAATTGAAACCAAATGCAAAAAATTAGGTAATGAAGACAAGGGCCATATGAAACTCAAAAATATGTAAGTTTATAATGAAAATTACTCTGGTAAATTTGATAGATTGCTTGATGCAGGAAAGGAAAATTTCAGTAAAAAAGTGGCCTCCCGGTGGGAGACCTGGAAGCTCTCCCTGTGGTCTCCTACATATGTTGTGTGTCTTCCCAATAGGGAACTGTGATGAAAAAGGTGGACAATTCCAGCAAAAATTTGCATTCTCTCACATATAAAACTGGTTTCCACTGGTGCGTGGGAGATTGAATTGTCCACCCTGTTGCTGCCATTCAGACAGAGCTGTACACACTTTAGTAAATATAGAACAGTGTAGGTCTAAATGGAAACCCAGAGTTTCACGCTTATTGCAACCATTAGACACTAAATACTCTTGAAATAACAAATATTGTTTAAAGGAGCTCCTTGCTATAGCTTAAAAATGATTTTAGGTAACAGCAAGCCTTAATATAATATTATCTATCAATTGATAATAGGGCAGAAAGAATGAGGGCAGAAATGTGCATATATGCATCTCTATTGAATGCTTAATCACTATGAGTAATTAACATCCTACCTGTAGGCAGATTTTAGTCTTGAGAAAATTTCTAGGTATCTTTCAACACTTGGTGTTTTTGGAGGAGGTGACAACAGAGCTCCTGAAAGACTTTTCCTCTTAGTCAGCTGAGATTGTTTCTCAGATACTGTTGGACTCTCTGGAAGAAGCCAGGAGTTTCTTTTATAGTGATGGGCAGAAGATAGGTTCATCATTGATCTGGACCTCTGTGGAAGGTCTGACAGTGTCAATGTATTTCGATATGAAGAAAAGTCTTCCATCTTTGGTTGCTTTTGGGTATCAAGGGTATTATACCTCCTGATGGGAGACAAACCAAGAATTTCATCATCAGACTCCTAAAATAGAAATTGAATTTTAAAATATGTGCTATACATAATCATAATCTGAAAAAAGGCACAAAAGGGAGTTTTTACTGTATTTGTTTATTGGGGTAACATTTAAAATCTTTCAAAATTATATGTTGACGGTCTAAATAATAACATGAACTGAACTGAAACAAATCCTTACTGTTACCCTAAAACATATGCAATGTTTCATTCAAAATTGTTCACAGTCAGAAATATATCTTAAGCAGTACCCATTTTAGAATGTACTATGAATTTCATTCAAACTCTTTATTTGCATCTTCTAACTTATTTTTTACAAAGTTGACCTTCATGTTCATTATCATCTACAGCATTAGTAACAGTAGCTTCACAATTTAGCTTCAAAGACATAATCTTCGCTAGATCATCACTTGCAATCATTTTGATGAAGCTCTACCCTGAGATGCAATTACTGGTTTGTTAAGAAGCTGCCTTGAATGAGTCTCAACAGAGGCCACTGAGAAATAATTATGAGGCCTAACCTTGGTATTTGATAATGGTTACGACTTGTAGAATTTCATTCCTGGGCATAGTTGAACCATAGCAAGCAATGGCTGGGGGATGACTAAGGCTGATGTTTTGCAGGGGTAGCTTATAAGCAAAGACACATACATAATCCCATTTTTTGGGTCCAAGGGGGGATATTCTTTTCATGCTAGGCATGGCTCTAAATTGCAAAATAATTCATTTTCTGTGCTCATGCTTTAAACATGTAGTTAATTGTTATAAAAATGTGCACATGGAATATGGGTTAACAATTCTGAATCATTATTAACAACATTTTAAAAATTGACTATATCATAGCTGGTTAAAACTGCATTCAAAATGCTTGAAAAACTGAATTGAAAATTAGTATGCAAATTCATATTCTGTAGAGACTTACAGTAGAAATTGAAGACATTTTGAAAATACCATTGACAGAAACCTTATATGTAAATAGAGCTCAAAATCAGAGTTTTGTTGATGAAGAAATTCGCTGTTCAAATTTTGAAGTTCTGACAGTTCTTAGCTTTGAATCAAATGATCATCAACCACGATGTTGAAAAAAGAGAAATGTATATGTCACGGAGTAGTCAGCCTTACTATATGCGAAAAAAAATTACCACATGAGTATGATTATGTAAGAAAATATCATTTTCGATTTCTTTGTTCGGCTCGGTGTGTGACCCGTTGTGTTACTCATCCTCTATGTAGGTGAGAACATAGCAACAATGCACTTAACATATTTCTGACGTTCGCATTTCGGACTTTGCATTGCGCGGCATTATTGACATGAAGATGTTATTCATCGGTTTGAGAACACATCTACATTTCTACATTAAAATTTTATGACTCATTTAACTTTCTAACGTTAGAGAAGCTTTCTTATCACAGTAAATTAAATCTAATATTTCTGTCGTACAGATATGGATTACAAAGTCCCTAAGCACCGGAACCTCTTGCAAAAAGCAAAACAGTTCTTGTCCAAGAAAACTGTTGATTAATAAATCAAAAAAAAATTTAAATGTTGATTATCAAACAACTTTCACGAGTCATCACTAGTCTTCGAGTCATCACGAAGACCATCTTCCAAAACCAGTCCCGCATGAAAAATCGGAACAAAATATTGTTTGACCTAGGCTCACAGATCAATTCAATTTCTCGAATGCGTTGTTTGAACTAAATACTTCGATCAATTCGATAAAAATCTGCCGATCAAAAATTTAGGCCGGTTGTGTTGACGGATGTCGGGATGGGATGTCGGAAGATCAAATGAGCAACGTTGACTTACCATTTTGGTTTTGCCTGAAAAATCACAAGTCCTTCTCAAGTCACGAAAAGCTATGATAAGCTATGAGTGCCATCTTTTCGCGTATCTAGCATACCTTGTAACTGTCTCATTGATAATACTTGTTTAGTTTGGCTCTTTATATTTACAAATAAACTTAACAAGAATCATGCTGCAAATTCAACGAACACCATAAAATCCGCCTCCGTAGGGGACAATTGAATTGTTTCCAACTTCATCTTTTGTGGCTTTGTTTACATTATTAGGCAGTTGTTTACAATTGCTTGACGATCGCATAAAGCGAGAAACTCAGAGTTGCAACTTATATGAAATAATACTAATATATGCCAATATATGCAGTTCTCAATACATACTCTAAAGAAGGAAAAGAAATAAAAAGAGAAAAACTATAAATGTAACTTTTTTAACTTCTGTAGTGTAACTTTTTTAGCCTTTTAAATTTTTTTAAGCTTTAACTTCAATCACTTATAATTTTGAACCATTTACTTAACAAACTTTTATTTTAACAGGGCCCTTAGTGATAGCAGTATTATCGTTACTGAAAAGGCTATCCTGTATAAATATGGTAAATTATTATTATTATTATTAAATCTCTGATCAAACATACACAAGTAAATACAATGATCATAAAAGGTTCCATGCATGTTTCAAATTCATAAAATGCTTCTTTAATGCTTCTTCTTATTGCTAAAAATATTTATCTGATGTCGATTGCCGGTTTGCTGTTTAGCTTTAAGCCTGGTTTCCATTAAATCGCAAAGTGTTGCAAAGTGTCGTAGCGTGTCGCAGAACCTTTTGGTTTGCTACACTCTGCGACACTTTGCAACTCTCTGCGACAGGGTGTCGCAGACATAGAAATCTTTCTATCTCTGCGACACTGATCACAGAGCCAATCTACTGCGACATTCTGCGACACTCTGTGACACTTTGCGGTTTAATGGAAACCAGGCTTTTAATGGAAATCTAATGTTTGTCGTCTGTGTTTTATGCTTGAAAGATCTTGTAAATAATTGTTTGAAATTTACCCTCAAGCTAAGCTTCTCTAGTACTTCTTGCATTGACGATTGACTCACATGCATAATTATGCTTCAATTTCTATTGATTATTTTCAAATAGCGATAGTGAAATGACGAAAGTATCTTTGCTTGAGTTTAAGTCAACTCAAAACCTTCAATCTCATTTCTAATTTTACTTGAAACCACCCTGTTCTTTACAACTAAGCGTTTATTAGAACATAAACAAATTTAAAATCATGTCCCAATATCAAATCAAAACGTTTTCCCGGAATAAAAAAAGAATACCGGTCACAAACGTTAAAACTAATGAAATTAAGATAAGGAAAAACTAAAAGATCAAAGCGAATACCCAACTTTGCCTTATCATAAAGAAACTGGATACTCAAATGTTAACCTTCGTTTCATATAAAAATGGGTTTACACAAATTAAATTTCAGCTAATTGAAGTTCAAATTCCAACGTTAAGGCAATTCAAAGAATGGCCAGAATAGTATCCAAAGGTCTTGTCTCAAGTCCTTCATCTTAAGCGGCATGCAGTTGCAAAAAAACAGATCCCTTCATCATATTTAATTTCTTATTAATTAGATGCAAAATATTCTGAAGTACAAATATCATTTAATTTACTCAAAACTATATCATTAACTTTGGTTAAGGTTACCGAAACAAAAGTGAAACTCGGAATAATTTTGTCATTTGAATGTATCTATAAGGCTGCAGTCTAAACCTTTTACTTACTGCATGGCTAATGATAAGAGCAGCTATTTAGACCAAGGGGGGAATAAATCACTGACAGGAGGACATTTTTGGCTACTTAAAATGTTGGTGTCTATAAATCTTGGCTATTAATACTCTTTGTCTGAGTTATTTCCAACCAAACTAACCCCAGGAACTACAACATAAATCAAACGAGGCATAATTTCTCGAAGGAACGTTTCTAGGTATCTAAGTTGATATTCCAGTAGCAAGGAAAGTCTGCCTATTCTGGTCGAGAGTTGACCCCAACCACGTAGCTATAGATGTCGGCTAGGGTGGGCAAACTTCAGCAAGAACCATACCTGAGGGGGGCAGGCTTTAAAACAAGAAAACAGATATATTTGGACTAAATCAAGCTCATGGAATCATAATTGTGCCAACTTTTCAAAATAGCATTTGGAAAAACTATAGCAAGAAGGGGCAGGTTGTTGTCAAAATTGTCATCCTTCCTGCAGCTCCGTGGCTGGTTGATCCCATTTGAGGACATGTCTCCCTAAGAATACATCTTCTTTAAAACCCCTGCATTCATCATTGGTTATGCATATCTTTCATTGAGAATAAAGTTAGATTATAAGAAATAGAACTACTTAAAGACTTTCAGATTCTAAAAGTTTACATGACAAAATAGTGCTTTAAATCGTTCCAATAGCGTTATTGAAACCATAAAATATTGATCTTTATTCGACAGTCACAGACTTTGCAAGGTTTCTGGGAAAGTCCACCTAGAAAAAAAAATCAAAATCAAGCTATAAAAAGGAACTGACGATTAAATAACGATATTCCATTTAGGTCACTGCCCATACTCCTTAACTGCATTGATGGAGATGGCTGTACGATTCAATTCCGTGCTACAATGTCTATATTACTGGAGTGAGGCAGCTGAAGAGATACAAAATAGACCACGTGGGAGAACAATTGACGAAGAACTCTGTTTTTCAAGCAATTTAGCTGCATTAGGGCCAGTTTAGGAACAGAAAGTATACAAAACTAGTGTAGACATTTACAGAGAAAGGAAAGTACTTCATTAATATAGGGTACGGAAATTATGCTTATTATAATGCCATGTGCCATCTCATATATTTCTCATATATGAATAAAAGGGCATGAAAATAATCCACGATTATTGACAGGGGGGCTTTTTCAAAAACTGTTTGCTCCATTGTCTCTGGCACCCCGACACATACTAATAATTAATTCAAGTAGCGACAAAATTCAAGTAACTTACATCATATCCTCTCAAAACAGCGAGATGGTAGGACAGCAGTTGCAAAGGAATAACAGTGAGGATGCCATGCAAACAGTCAACAATATATGGTACTTCAAGCGTCCGATAAGCATGTGACTTGATTTCTTGGTCACCTTGAGAACATATAATCACTGGTCGCCCATGTCTTGCAATTACTTGCTGGATGGCGTTCATGCATTTCTATAAGGATCGAAATTAAGTCATCAACATAGAAAGAAAGACAGCAACGTATTTCTAGATACAATACGCACACACCATGACGGCTAAAGGTCAACGAAAAGGTAAAATTAGCGATGCATTACAGGATTATTGTTCAGCATTGTATACTATGATATATTCTTGTTGTTAAGAAGAAGATTAAAACATTTCAATTGAAAGTTAATAATTTTTTGGGATATAAGACGGGTCTACTCTTCGAGGTTGTGGAATGTCCCCCCCCCTACCCCCCTGATGGGACGATACGAGCCTTGAATGGCAACAGGAAAATTTCACACGCGGTAGCAGACTTTGACATATGTAAATAAACTACTTTTTGTGCAACTACTTTTCTCTATGCAAAAAATTGTACGGAGCACGCTTGGCATCGGTAATGTGAAAACTAGAGGTTTTTTAAACGACACCCCGTTCACATAGTAAACGGGAATCAACGGCCATTAAGGATTTTTACATGTACAAAAATACTTTTCTACGATCAAGGGTTCCCTAAAAGGGCCTAAACCTACGTCCAGACATACACAAATTATAAAATCGCAGAGTACACAAATACACAAGACGTTTGCCTCTAGACATATTAAACTTATCAGGTAGAAATCCTTTTCTGCTATTACTTGTTAAATAAAAACTTGATTTATCACAAAATTCCGCTAAAACAACTTTGTGATGCTTAGCGACGGCTTCAAGTCGTTTCACTACACAGAAAACTACGAAGCTATAATGGAGCTGAAAATTCACCATAGGCAGCAAACGGCCCTAGTGAAACAGACGCAGAATTTAACTGATAGTTACAATGTTGTTTAAGAGAGCCTATGATGTGCAGGAAGCAATTTTTATCAGACTCATTGTCTGAAGAAATCTGTCATTATTCTAAATGCTAAACTTACCGGGAAGGTTTTGTCCCTCATAGCAATCATAAGAACAGGCATGTCCTTGTCCACAAGAGCTAATGGTCCGTGTTTTAGCTCACCAGCAAGTATGCCCTCAGAGTGCATGTATGTTATTTCCTTGACTTTCTAAATGAAGAGAAGGAGAAAAGGTTCTCTGTATCAAGGACTGCAGAGAAAAATACGGATTAGGAGGGGACTAAACGGTTTGTTTGGGGGCTAAAATTTTTGGAGGGTTAAAATGTTTTGAAAGCTCAACCTGCTGAAAGCCAAAAGCAAGATGCTTCATTGTATAGGTCTAGGCTCGATATTCCTACCCCTTCAGCCCCCAGGGGAAATTTTGCCTAAGCGCAATAGTTACTGCAAATATATTTAGTTGATCAAGCTAAATATCGTTAATAGAAAATGACAAAAAAGCAAAAAATATTAACCTAAAATGAACGTAATAAAGCAAAAGATATTAACCTAAAATGAACGTAATAAGATTATTTCAATGTTACTCTAACAATAACGTATAACCTTAGACTAAATTTCAAAACATTTATTTAAATGCTTTATCCTTATCCAGTTTTATTCAAATTCAGGAAGACATACCAGGGCACCTTCCAAACAAGTTGCAAACTGATACCCTCTTCCCATTACCAGCAAACTTTTTTCTTTGTGAAATTGTTTTGCCAAGGAATTGATTTGCTCATCCAGTTTCAAAACCTCTCTAATCTTATCTAAAGCAAGAATAAGATTAGTCAACGTCAATGAACATGAAATGTAGATTTTATATCGAAAATTGATTTATATCGCATTTTATATCGATGGTACTATAGAGAATAATCTCAAAAAATTGAAAAAGAGCACCGATATAGCCATCAACAAGAAAAAGATGAAATACTAAAACATCGGGGCAACCCTTGCCAAATCAATAACAATAGAACGAAAAGACATTGTTGTGTAGGCGAAAGGCACTGTCGTGTAATTTCTTTTTTACCGATTGGAATCCATGGGCAACAAGTTCCACAGGCAAGCAGCACTGATCGGGTAACCTTAACAGTCATGTGATCGCGTTTTTGATTGACCTATTTTGATGCACAACTGGGTATAAATACTTCTTTTCTTAGATTCTCCGAGTATTTCTGACTTTTATGCATTGAAAAGTGTCAGATGAGAAGCCTTGGTATGTCTAAAAAATTTTCAAAGCCATTCTTATAAATGACAGGACACGTTACAGAGGATGCAAGACAACAGTTGAGGAAATGACGCTGGAGAACCAAAATCAACATGCTTCTGCTTTTAAGCACCTAAATAATCCCAAGACAATTCACTTGTCTTGGAAACGTTCAAGACTTGCAGGTTGTACCATATGCAGCACTGAGCATAACACTAAACTGTGACAATGTTAAACTTCGAGTAATAACATTATGCCAGAGAACCTACCTCGAAACATTTCTGTTTGTTAGAAAATAGTCACGCCCCTGTCACCCTTACTACACAGCATAACCGATCAACCGTCATTTTAATCAACTTTAACCTAGACCTGCATTGCCCCCCGGATGTCCTGCTGTACAACAACTTAACCGTAATATATATCTTGGCTTGGTATCCACACCTTGAATACTAGTTTAGCAAGTCTTAGATCTATTATGTTACAGATTGTTAGCAACAACAAGCCAAAAACAACAATTAAATCTATAATTCTATAACCAAACTTCGTTTATATTGATCAAAACGTTCTTATAAACTAACAACAAACCTGGTAGCGCTTTCATTCCTTGGACAATTTCTTTGACCCTGTCTTGTTTAGATATTCTGTCTTCAGCCATCATTACAGCAAACATTACTAAAGAAATGAACTGGCTTGTATAGGCTTTTGTGCTTGCAACTCCAATCTCAGGCCCAGCGTTAATGTGCACACCACACATCGTCTCCCTTGATATGCTACTTCCAACTGTGTTGGTTATGCCAACAAGAAGCGCCCCACGTTGCTTGCAGTACCTCAACGCTTGCAAAGTGTCCGCGGTTTCACCTTAATAGAGAAATCCCTTAACTCACTATGCAATTCAAACGAAACAATACAGCTTAAAAAGATTTAAATATCCATTTCTGATTTGTTCTCTATAGCTTCATTGATTAACAAGAAAGTATATATAATATAATAGATTGAAGTAGACTGATTTGATGGAGTAGACAGCGGTAGACAAAGATTGGAGTGGACTGATTTGATGTTAAAGAGAAAAGCGGCACCCAAACAGCTATTGCTTTCTGCAAAACTTTTTAATAACACGAAAACGTGGACAAATGCAATTTGGCTGAAAACCAATCCTTGTTTAGGATTTTGACTAGCAGCTCAAGGGGTGAGGAACGTATATAGTAAGATGCTGCTTGCAAAAAGCCAGGAAAGACGGTCACGGTGATTGGCTTAGATTTACCCAATCATGTTTAAGCTACTATCAAGTGTTTATTAGCTCTAATGTGTGTTAGAGAAAAATTGGATTTGAGCAATGCAGGTAAACTGCCCCGTTTTCTTGAGTCAAATTCAAAACGAGACATAATTAGGTAAGCAGACATCTACCCTGAATCTATTAAGAAATTAATTTACGTCTGTTTTGGGGAGGGGGAGATAGAGTACCATATATCCTCGAATAAGTACCCCCTCGAAAAAGCGCTCCCCTTTGAGGCTAGAAAATAAAATAAGCACCCGAGAGCTTATTCAAGGACTTACGGTAAAAAGTAAAAGAAAGATAAACAACTTTCAAATCAGGAAGAAAATTTAACTGCAGTACCTGACTGGCTGATGAAGAAGCACACATCGTCCCTGAAAATTGGGGTGTTTCTGTCAAGGAAATCACTTGCCAGCTCAACCATGACGGGTAGTTCTGTGAGTTCTTCAATCAGTTGTCTCGTCTAGAAAATAGCCGTAATAGAGATAAATAAAATTCGTACTGGGATCTAGAATTCGTACAAAACTTTCGCTTTTGAGGATGTCACCTTTGATATCTAGATCTTTGAATTTGGTCACGTTGTTTATTTGATACCAAGCAACAAAGCGGGCAACTAAAAATAGGAAAGAGTAAACTCACAGCGATAGCACTATGGTAGCTTGTGCCACATGCAATGAAGATGAGTCTTCGGCATCTTCGAATGTAGGCCATGTGCGATTGTAGGCCACCCAAGGTCACTTTACCAGTTTCAAAGTTCACTCGTCCTCTCATCGTGTTGAAGATACTCTCCGGCTGCTCGAAGATTTCTTTTTGCATAAACGAACTAAAGCTTCCTGCAGAAAAAATATTGTTCATGTTAAAGCGTTTTCACAAGGGTGGCATCAATATTGGAAGGAAAGTTCTTACAGGAATAATAGCAATAGAAGGGGGAGGGGCCAACCCCTACTCATAATGTTCTGTAAATTTGCACCCTAGCTGCTTTAATGGGCTGACAATAGAATCAACAGGAAGCTGTTCTTCGAGTTAGTTCTAAGTAAGAGAAGAAATTCTATTTGAGTGGGTTCTACGTAAGAGATTTGATTGGGTTCTACGTAACACACCAGTGAGCAGGGCCTTTATAACATACTAACCCCCCCCCCCTAATGACTTTCCATTGTTTTGAACAATAGGCAATTGTCTCCCTCTTTATATAAACAAAGGTTTTCCCCGCAGCTGTAATAGGCTATGCCAGTGAGTCTCCAAGGGGTCCTTACACAGTGATGCTTACAAGATCTAATTTAAAGAAAAAACAAAACAGACATTCTTATTGAAACTGAAAAATTATTCAATGAGATAAGCACCTTTCATAATCTGTTGCAGTTCCATCTGTAGAGTCATGATATCTCTTGTCAAAGACGCACCATCATGCTTCATTCTTCTTATAGAAAGATCTGCAAAAAGCGACAATCAAACGCTAAAGATACTAGCAACTCGACATCAAAGGGCTAGATACGTGCACTGACGTTCCTGACTGGCAGGGGCGTCGAGAAAGCACGGGTAGCGGGGTCAAAGCTTTAGTGCCTTGTGCCTTGCGAAAACGGGCCTATAAACATTTTGTAATGGTGTACGGTGCTACCCTTCTATAATCTTTGATAACACTGTTGAGCCCATGCACAGTATCAAGCATGCAAAGCCAAACATCTAGCCCCTCCCTTCCTCTCTGCCCCATCTATTCCCCTCCCCTTCCCCTACCCTTCCCCTCCTCTTCCCATCCCCTTCTCCTCCCCTATTTAAAGCTAGAGCGTATATATTTTAATTGCAGGGGTATAAATATTGCGGTAAAACCAACCAATGAAAAAATAGCTGAAGAAGCATTTGCCCTTATTTTTCCAAACTTATAGTTTTTTAAACGAACAGCTTATGAGTTTTCTAACTGGAGGGTGTCATATACCACGCATCAAAATATAATTTGGTAGAAAAATGAACATATCTTCAAAGTAACAAATCTACTCACTTCCATCAATAACAACTGCTACGTCATCATCCTCCAAAAATATGACACGATTGGTATGCTCGATTATGGCACTAGAAGAAAATCATGGCTAATTATATAGTGTTCATATCTCACAGAATCGTGTCCAGGAACTGCTTATATAAATTAACAGCTACATTCGATGTTCTTATTTGTACTGACCAGCCTTAAGTACAGGAAATATCTTTTAAAAGCAGTTTATGTTGGCATTAGCTGCCAAAATTCTTGGTAAACTACGATATAATTTCGCATATTTTTAGCACCATCTTCTCTCTCCCAAAAAAACAATGTTGAATAGCATCAGTTCCAGTTCAATATAGTTCTATCGCATCATGTGAGGTGAAGGCTTTTCAACCAGTATCAATTGAGGTGAATGGACATGGGCGTAGCGGAGGTTAAACTTTTATGGAGGGGGGGGGGAGCATGGGTCTTGCTCGAATGTTGTTGCATCAGTATTATAGAGCTACCCGAAAGGGCCTGATATTTGATAAATTTTGCCTGATAAAACTGCAGCTCCCAATAAGCCTCTGTCTTCTACGCCAATGTGAAATTGACGAATTTATATACTTTACAGTCGGAAAACACAGTTTTTCAAATCTTTAGCTGCCTATAGGGTCTTCCAAACACTTCTGGCAGGGATTGTAATTACCTGGCATCTGAAGCAAAATAATACTCCATCGATGCATCATCGGCATGATTGAATTGAGTAAACGATTTCTCATCATCGTCTCTTTTGCCCAACTTCTCATCTCTTGATGGATCTTGTTGCTCTATATCAAGCATAAGAATGGTAATAACATAGTCTTACGAGACCGCTTGGTTTCAAACATGCTACGAAAAACATCCATAAAACTATACATAACTTTATGAAAATGTTGATGCATTGACGAAGCCTCACAGTTCAAGTCCAAAATTTCATGATACTTTTCTTCTACAGTATTAATATTTTTGCTAACTTTTTGTCACATTTCACACAAAAAATACAAAAGTTGGATAGTTCAAAGCTTTGTCCCTGACACTGGAAAAGAAGTTCTGGGGTGTTTTTGTCTAACATCAATATTTCGATTTTAAAAACTGAAAAAGGGCCTTAAGACGCGCAAACAATAGACTGATGGTTAAAATAATCTAGTACTAAGAATCTACTTGGTTACGAATCGTAAACCAAGGTTACCTACCACCACTACAAGGAGACATGAAGGTTACAGGCACTTGGTCCAAGGTAATTGGCTTCGTGCTTTTGACACCAATCAGTAAAGGGCTTCCTTTCCTTTATAAAAACGATCTTTTTTCATTAAAATAATGAAGGGAAAGTTTTAAAATCTAAAACCCGAAAGCAGTTATTTTCAGATTTTAATGTATTTACGTTGGGTTAGTTATAATTATGACATAGCATACAGGCGAACAGCCCCTGTTGTACGGAAAGTAAGACTGTGAAGGATGGTTCAACAAAGTGGAAATTTGGTCTGGTCTGGCCGTCTCATCTTTGGAAGCAAGTAATGAAATAAAAGATAGAAAAAGGAGCAGAAAGGGTCATCCTAATATTTCTCTCATACCAAAGTCTCTTAAAATCTAGTAGCCAATGCTTTGTCTTGTTTTTAGAATCATTCAACATTTATTAAGGCTATAGCCTATTATAACGATTTAACTGTATTTTGAAACACTTTTTGATATAGTTAAGGAACTGAAGTTAAAAAATTTTGTGATCCATATTTGGAGCAGATATGGAAAATAAAATTACACCAAAATCAAAGTTTTCATCATTTTTGGGCATGACCTACCTAAAATTTTAGCAAACAAAATTTTCCACTCCCAGCGTTACTTTAAAAATTTTCTGTACGTTCTACTTGTAATAGGGATACATCAATATAGAAAATCTGAAATTGGGATTTAAATATAGGGTAACTAGATAACTCTTACAGCTAATATAAACTTGCACAGGAAACTGCTATATAACGAAAAAATACCTTGTGGCCACACATTGATTTGGAAAAGCACTGCTCTTGAACACTAATGCATAGGCTCCATCCTGAAGTTTAATAAACAAAAATTTGTAAAGAAAGAGTAAATTACAGAATGTGTGGATCAGAAAAGCGATTTCAATTATACTTTCCCAAGACTTTTTGAATTAACAAGCTGGGTTATAGAATTAATCAATAAATGAAGATAATATATTAGGTATCCACTGATATCTAAGTGTTAAAATATTCTTTCTAAATTATTTATAATATTTTCTATTATTTTGAAAAGTAGCTGAGAAGGAAACAACAACTGGTGCAAACAAGTGCTTTAAGAACTTTCTTTTTCATCACCATTTACTTCATCTTAAATCCCTAATAAAAAGACTTTGTCAAACTTTGATTCCCTTCAAAATTACTTCAAAAAATTTGTATTATACATTTAAAGATAAATTTGGATTCTAGTTACCAGCTGAGCAACCACTTTCTCAACAAGTTCTTGAAAGCTGCTGGGTTTTCTTCCAGACTAGGGAAAATATCATGAAGCATTTTCATAATATTGCACGAGAAAGCAGCAACACAACAGCAAAATACTGTAACTTGCGCTGGACTGCTTTACAAATTTGGGTTTAAGCCTATATTCTAACACAAGAAAAGCAACCTAAAATTATTCTATGATAAATGAAAGAAATAAAACACAGATTGTTAATCATTGAAAATCTCATTATATTTTAAATTTAATTACAAAAATACATGCTTTGTAGTGTGTTTGGAAATCTGGAGTCTAAAATATCTTGTTCTATAAATTCTTCTAACAAGTTGTCAAAACAATGTAGAAAGACTAACATACCTTTTTGTCCTTTTCATATACATACTTCAAAAGTTTTACAATGCATTCAGTGTCAGTTTCAGATTCTGGTGGCATGTTCTTTGAAGTCTAACATGACATTGAAAATTTTGAAATGGAATATGTCAAGCAGTGTTTAAACCACAGATCTATCTTACAAAAATACAGTCAATCCCCATTCTCCACCCAGGAATGGACATCAAAAATATATAAAATCACAAACAAACTAAAACAAAAGTGCCAAATTGAGCCAACCCATCAAGAAGTTTGAAAATATGTATATTTAAGCTAGAAAAAATGTGATGACCAAAGCAAAAGAACATTATTCACATTAGATTTAATGATATAAGTAATCTGTGTTGCTGAATTTTAAAAATAAAAAGGTATAATTTCCTTACCAAGAACTGCCTCAGTTCTTTGTAGTTTGCAATAATTCCATTGTGAACGACTACAAATTCTAAATAAGAAAGAAGAATTCCAAAGTGAAACTTACAAAGTCATAAGAACATGAAAAATTAACAAAACAGAGAAAGTTCTACAAAAAAACTAAGCTTTTAAAAAAGCTAATAATACACATAACAACTTTCAGAAACCTTCTAAAATAAATGATAACCATATTTATAATCATGAACAGTTTGTGATAATTTCAATTGTCAGTTACAAAGGAATAACAAATTTATGTATTGATTGAATAATTAATATGCAAATAATTAAGTATAAATAGAGACACATGCAGCATATAAGGTTATTTATTTTATGACACTCCCTTTTGTTGGCAAAAAGCATTTTATGCACCCTCTGAAAATATTTTTGGTTTTGCCACTGCACTGATGTTACTTATAATTTGTTGATAACTTGTTTTTTTAGATAAACCTACTAGTGCTTCTTTAGATGAAATTTGTTTATCACCACTGTATAATTTACTAGAACGTTGAAATAATGAACCAACTAAATTATTGCTAAAACCTATTTAATTTGCAACATATTTCAATGGGATAAAAGAGAGAAACATTCAGGGGCACCACAAGTGTAGCAGTAGGAGGGATAGCTATTAAGCCAAACAAGTTATATCCTAGTTAGAAGAAAATCTGACTCTATTTTAGGCAAGGCTTATTGATTTCATATTGAACAACTTTTTAGTCCTTTTGTTGAAGTAGATTGCCCCTTAATGAGAGGATTTATCTAGTGTTAGCTCTCAAAATATCTAGAAGAGGGAATTACCATTCTGTTCATCTGATCTGTGTGGATGTGCATTGACAATGCTTGGCTCTCCATGGGTGGCCCATCTTGTGTGTGCAATGCCCAAGTGTGTGTCAAATTGTAACTCATTTTTCAAGTTTGAGCTGTCTGTACAAATTTAGTGATCTACCTTTATACATATTCAGGTATGAGCTATTTGTAGCTTCTTAAATAGCAGTCAAGAAGTAACAGCTTGATAACTTACAGAAAATTGTATAAAATATAAGTTTACTGATAAAAATCTTAAATATAGCTAAGCATGTTATACTATAACTTAAATACCAACAGGAAGACATTTAACAACCAGGAAAAAGTCAACAATGGTCTAAAATGTTTGGATTAAGTAGGATGCTAAATTGTAGATAAATTCCTATTAAGCAAAATTAGCTAGCCCAAATTGGACTAAGACAGAGTTGCTAAAGAAAGATATAAATGTCAGTGGTAGCATCTATAAAAAATATAAGTCAATTGCTGATCCTGAATCAAACAAATCTTCCCAAGCGCATTTTTCTATAAAAATGAATGCTTCTGTAAATTTTTTTCTATAAAAAGCAAGATTGTAAGTGGAAGTATAATATTAAAAAGAGCCAAATGTCCTTTAAAATTCTTACCCACTGAGGCTTGTAAATCTTTAACTTTTCCTCTTTGCTTGATTAAACTTCAAAGAAAATTAATGCCGATTATAAAATAGAAATTTTAAGAACAAAATAACAAATAGCATCTAATAGCCTAACAAACAGCCTTATATATGAAATAATTATGTCATTTAAATTTAGAACTACAAAATATATCCCCGAAATTCAGGCTGCTGAAGGGCTATTATCAGCTGGTATCACTTTGCAATCAGGAAGAAAAAAATGTTTTAAGTACATCACTAATTTTATGCCAGTCAATCTCTCCTCTCAAAATAAAGGCAGAACTATGAATTGACTTGTAAATCTTTTCTTGAATCATACATATGTTGGTAGTAGTAATGTTATTAGGTTAGTAGTAATTTTGACATGATACTTTATAAAAAAAGGAAGCAAAAAAAATCTAAGAATGGACTGTTCATAGTTTTTTTTAAATTACATATCAGGGAGTCAGCAGTGCAAACTCTAGCTATTGTACTCAAGAGGAGTTCCCAGGCTCTTTTAGCCAACAAAGTCAGTGTGCCATCCTCTCTCTATGCTCACAAGTTTGAAAATTCACTGACAAAGCACCCCTAGATGGCAAAAATCGCTTCGTATTTCAGATCAAATTTTAAAGACTCATTGCTAACAATGAGCCATTGCGCTACGCAAGCATCCCATAATGCATTTTCAGACAGTCTGAAATCAATTATGGTTAATCCGTAGAAGTTTACTGCCATTGTTTGGATTGTCACCTGGATAATTTGCCACCCTCGCAAAGGCTCATTGTTAGCAATGAGTCTTTAAGGGGGTTTGAAAAAACAATCAAAAAAAAGTTTTACTGTTTAACTATGCCTCAGCTTGTACTTAATTTCTTCTTAATTGTTCTTAATTACAATCTACAGTACCTCACTTTAACTTTGTTCTTAACTTTTGACCAGTTTTGAGGCTGTGTTCTTATTAATAGTCAATATAAATAAGAGCATAATCAAAAACTTATAAATTAATGATAACTAAGGATGAACTAACTAACCACTATTAGTTATTGCAAAATCATTATATCATACCATGTCTTAAAGATGCATTCATTTTCACATATAAGATCATCCCCATCTACTGCCAGTCCTGAAAATAATAAGGAAATAATGTTAATATGTATACAAAATTCAAAGGAAAGCATACATAAACAAAGAATTCCCCTAAGCAACATATTCCTAACAGGATTTTTTCTACTGCCAATAAAAAGACATGCATAAAAATTGGATATGGACAGATATACAGGATTAGTTTTTATAGAGTGAGCTGAAAGAGGAGAGGAGACAAGCCTGGCAAGATATATTGTGATTTTAGTTTAAGTATTTCTTGAGGTGTTACTAACAAGATTTGCGCTGCAACTTTTAATTTGTGAATGGGTGCAAGTTTTCCAACCAGGAATTTCTGAATATCATGAGTTGCAGCTGAAACTTTCAATTTTGTTATTTGTTCTCTTGAATAATTTGAGATTGCCTCTCAAATAGCTTATTTTCCAAGCTTTTCCATCTTTTTCAAGTTTACTTTGAGGAACATAACTTTTCACAAATTGATGTTGATAATAAAACATTGTGAAATGCTTGATTTTTCAGTTTTTTCATTTTTCTACGAGCTCTTGTTTACTAAAATCATGTATCATTAAAAATGGCATACTAGAGTGGAGGCTTATTAAAGTGTTTATAAACAGTTTTTGATTCAATGCTAGGGCTAATTTTAGGGTGGGCCTGGTATGAGGGGGCTTTATATGAGGGCAGGGTTATAAAGAGGAGCAATTCAAGCATTTGAGGTGTTAAATGTAGAAACAGTTCTTGAATTCTGGGTGGCTTAGCTAGCCTTGCAAACTTTATAAACATGCATAGAAATTTAGCTTTGTCTCCTGCAAATTAAAACATTGCTAAATTAGTAAAAATAGTTCCTTATTTTCTTGTAAATTTAGCATAGAAAAAGTATAAAAACAAAAAACGAACCTGCTGAATCATATCCCCTATATTCAAGTCTCTGGAGGCCTTTTATCAGTGTATCCAATATATGTTTCCTATCTCTTTTGATTCTAAAATTTAGGTATGCAAAAATCCCTAGAAAGAAATAATCATGATATAAATAAAATAAATAAAATTGTTATGAGATACATTTATAATAGGGGGTGCTCTTTCCTCGATTAGTTACTGAGAGAGCTCCTCCTTTAAGTATTTCTCTTCATACAATCTATCTTGTTTCTATGTTTTGTATTGGTATATTGTATTAATTTTCTGTATTTATTGATGTATTGATTTACTGTAATATTGTTGTGTAATTCCTGTAGTTTAGTTGTTTGCAATAGTAGCTATTATGGATAGATTGTATGTAGTGGAATCTAAAATATAAAAACTGAACTGAACAATGGAACGTGTTCGTTAAAATGTTTTGGAACTAGATGAGGTGTGAAAAAAATTTACGATCAATACATGACAAACTGGGAAAAATCCACAACAGCTCATTTTAACATAGGTTTGTGAGAATAATACAAAACTGCAAGTCGCTTTTATCATGTTGTCATTACATGAATTGTATTAGTGGCTAGGTTGGGTTGGGCCTAAATCTAAACTTAACTTGTAAAAGCTACATTTGCGGCCCAGCACCTATCATTTAAAGATAGTTTATAGTATGGTAAAAATCTGACGAAACAAATTAAAATGCATACCACACATCTTCTTCTTCCGGATAGCTTTGCTCTAATTAACATGCAAAAGTCCACTACACAACTACGACTTCTCAACCTCGTTCAACTTGACAGAACCTGCAACGTTGGCAGAAGGACATCCCCTTACGAAAAGGACATCACCTTTGACCAGACAACCAATCACAGCCCTAGAAACAACGAAGTATTTGCCACACTAGTAACAAAGGATTCCATTCTATGAACTTGGTAACACATAGCAATAAAACCGAGCAAACGTGGACTGATTTCCTTAAGTTTCCTTAGACCTCGTGACAAAAAGTACCTTGACAATTACTAATTGAGGAAAATCTCTCAAGTTTTACATTTGAGTGCAATCTAGAATGTTTAAATGAACAATTTGGAGCAATTAATTAAACTAAGACCAATATTGTAAACTGTCCAAAACAATAGCAAATACTTTTTGCCCAACGCGGAATGTACGTAACATGTGATCAGTGGTTTGGGAATGAGATTGTTGCTTTCTTTTATGTTTTCAAAATACGCATATTCATTGTTGGTTTGAAGGGGTGTGAAAAACACGCACATCAACACGTGTGAAAGCAGATAAAGATTTTTTATGTGAAAGCATAACAAATTGATAAATCCAGATATGAATTGGGTGGAAGTATATAATCCTCATTTGCTTAAATATGTACATACACATAATACTCATTGAAATTCTAATAAGTAAGACAGAAATTTAAGCAAAATAATGGATTCTTTTTTAAGCTACATAGCGAGTTCTTATCGGTACATCTTGCATCTCTGGGGAATTTCAAGCGTTGTATTTGCAAAAACATATTAAAGAAGAATGTAAAAACATTTTAAAATATAAAAATTTAAAAACATTTTAAAAGTAAAACTGAACTGAAACTGAGCTGAGATGAAGATATGGTTTGTTCTTGAACATTTTGTAAGAAATTTAGAAAATTCGTTAACACCTAGCACCTAAAATAGCACCTAAATTCTTCTCCCTCTATGCCTTCGTCGGTAAATTTTTCTATTGATGACCCTCCACCCCCCTAGTCAGGAAGATCAAGTTGACGCCACTGGATGTTTTTTATCAAAATGAATTTAGCCAGGTCAAATTGTAATCAGATAAGTACTAAATAACAATCAAGCCTTTATTTCACAAAATATAAACATCAACTTTGGTAATTCCCATTTCGTATGATGCTTTGTAAACCATACATCAAATTATGAAAAAATTTGACATCATATCCCATCCCAAAACACACCAGGTTCTTTTATCAAACAAAATGCTTACACTTGAGAGCCAAGTTTCTCGCCTGGCATTTTGGTTTCTAGGTAACGTGTGATTTGCAACGAGATATTCAAACGAGGTTTGGTGTCAGGGAATCACCTTTCGTTTGATTGTCATGCGAACACTCTGAAGGAAAGGTTTGAGTCAATTTTGACGTGAAAGTAGTTCCTGTTTAACCCCACGCTGGGCGTTTTAAAGTTAAAGAAAAAATTGAAGCTTTAGCAATCCAATCGGCTAGAGACTGAGTACAAAGCATAGGCAGGTACGAGCACGCTTTTGATTGTCCACCTTGCAACTTTCAATTCTCTTGTAATGTTATGGTTTTGCCACATCACAATTTCTTGTTTAAACCGATGCACAGATTTTTTTGACTGAAGCTTCAACATGGAAAATATAAAGGTATAGCATACAAATATCATTAAAATGTTTTTGTCATTTTCAAAATAACAGAATGAACTACAAAAATCGTCAATTTGCCTAAGTATCACAAGCTGATAAGCGTAAAATGGGCTAGGCCTTGCCAAAAGTTTCATTCTTGGGTATGTTATAGATTTATTATTTCCTGGTATTGAGTTAAAAAACTTCCTCGCCATGTTTTGCTGAAATTATGCAAACCACCTAGAATAGCAGAATAAGGGAATTTAGAACGCCTAGGTTCATTTTATTTGCATATGCATAGCAGTCGAAAGCATTCCCAAAACCTGACCACCCTTGCAATACATTAAGAGAATAACAAAGATTTAAAGACCGCATGACGAATATCACGAAAAAGACCTTGAGGTTGAAATTTAGTTAAAACTTGAGGTTCCCTTTGAAAAGTACCTAGCCATGCAACGTAAACTTTGGGAATTTCTCCTGCGTATAAATTTTTTTTTGTTAAATGTGTTAGTTTAGGCTGTAGTAAAAAAGAGTTTTATGTGTAATAGGTCTTCAAAAAATTTAATCTTTGAAGAAGAAATTCAACAGAACCAGATCCTTTTTGGCCAAAACTCCATGATTGGTCAATAGTCCGTTGCTGACACGCCCCATCTGTGTTCTTGGAAAAAACGTGACTGTCTTGGAAATGATGCTGTGGAGGAGAACGGATCAAGCTGACTTGAAAGAATGATTGGAAATTTATCATGATTTTTTAAATAGGTCAACTTGCAATTTCTTCAGAAAATGATTTTACGTATTTCATTTCTAGGGTAACGAAATATCAAGTTTCGGCCTAATATTAAGGATGACGTCAGAAGTGTCAAATGAAATAATCGCAAATGGCACAACTCACAAAGGTGGGAGACTCTTTAAGGACTGTTTGTTTCTTGCCGTTGTGCAAGTGTCAAAGTGGATAGGGGCCAAGGCTAATTACTGGCTTATAGCAAAACATTATATCTTTAAAAAAAGTTGGGGGCATGGACTTTTTGCTCATCCGTCATTTGAGGCCGTGGTTACGAATTGAAAAACAAGGCTGTATTCAATAGCATATGATTTGTTTGAGCCCCTGCAATCTGAATGGGGCACTTGGAAAATGTTAGAAGAGAAGAGTTTTTTATTTCTAAAATTGAAGATTTCATAATCTCATTCCCAAATTCATTTAGCTCTCCCATTCAGGCACCGCGGAGCGTTGATAAATGTGGAGGGTCTAAAAAAGAGAGGGTGCTAAAATCGAACAAAAAGTGTCTTGACAAGTTGTTCATTGGTTAATTTTTTGCATTTGCTCCGCGGTGCCTACCATTTATTGCGTTTTAGCAGAAAATACTTTTATAGTGATTCTATATATATATATTATATAGTTATATATTGTTTTTCCAACAATTTTCGCGAGCCAACCCCCTTATTATTTTCATAGCACTACACCACAGAATAATCTTGGCAGTAAAGTGTCTGTAAAAACTTTTGTTATCATCAGCTATATCTCTTTCGAATGTTAACAGGGGAGTGCAGTTCATATATGGAGAAGGAGATCTTTGAACAGCCAGACAGCACAGAACGGACTTTAAAAGGAAGGGTGGATTTCGAAAATCATAAAGGTAAGTCATCTAACAATTTTCATCAAGAATTTACAGATATGAAAAGCTTCACTTCAAATTTATCACGGTTATTAATTAAAATTTTGCATATTGTAAACCTGGTTCTTGCTCTAGATGCATACCGCTGTTGCTTGCCTATTTTTAAATTTCTAATAGAAGATTTTACGAAGATGGCAAGCAAAACAGAGCGTAATTATTTTATCGTTATAACGGATCACTTGTATCGTGGAAGAGACCTTCTTTTTTTCGAAATATTTAGATCTAGGTATTAAATATTTGGGTTTTATTCAAGAAAATTATCAAAATCATTCCAGTGGCACCTTGAGAACCCCTCGATCTATTCCTTGTATCCAGGGGTCTAACTTGTCCTTCAAAACTGAGTTGCGGGTAAGTAAATTTTACCAACGAAAATACAGCTGAAGTAAAATTGTGTTCATATTTTACCAACTGGCAAATGATTTGCCGACCAACTCAAGATTATAACGACCAACTAATTGAGTGTGTAGTGATTAAACTGGGAGCTTCACACCCTTTTTGTCCCCTTTTGCCCCTGATAATAGTTCAATTTTTTGAAAGGTAAAAGAGATTTACTGCGTAAAACATTTTGAAGGTTATGATTTTTATTTTATGAATTGCTTTATAGTGGTACTGCGTGGGATCGAGCCTCACAAGGAGGAAATTATGCGTTGCAGAAGATTGATAATGATTGGTGCAGGGTCCAGTTTTCATGTTGCTGTTGCGGTATGTCATCATTTTGTTACTTGTTTTCTTCGAATGATCGGCATAAGGGTCTTAGCCTGCGTCACAGGCCATAACTGCCAACATTTCCTCTTTTGTGGTGGTTGGGGGTTGGGGGCAGGGGACCCAAGCATGCAGTGGGTGCGCAATCAACAGAAGAGTCAGATCCTTTTAGCTTACTCTTAATGAAACAGTTTCCAAACTAACAAGACTTGAACTGTGCCTCTCTTTCGCTACCTCGTATGGGCACTCTTTTCTAAAAATAATATTTCCTGTTATATACCTTTCCAATCAGTTTTCATTGTTTTTTAAAAATTCTGTCTTAATTACGGAGTGTTTTGAAAATCTTCTTCATCAAACATCTCTACTTTCAGACTCGTCAAATAATAGAACAACTAACAGAGGTTCCAGTTATGACAGAGCTTTCAAGTGATTTCATGGATCGAGAAGTCCCGGTTTTCAGGGACGATGTTTGCATATTCATTAGCCAGTCAGGTATATCAGAATTTCATGATTATAAATTGTCAAAATACCAAAGGTGTCACAACCTTTCTTACACCATATTACTCTTCCAAATACGAGTAAACTTCTTTTTACTTTTCTAACAAAGGTGAAATTTATTACGCTGAAAGTGTCATTAAGTGTATCTAAGCTAAAAGTCTGTTTGTTGATTTGTCTCATCGAGTTTCTGTTTAGGCCTTTCTGTGACTTGTCTCTTTGTTTTGTCAGGTGAAACATATTCAACCTTAGAGGCACTACGGTATTGTAAAGAAAGAGATGCTTTAGTTATGGGAATAACTAACACTGGTATATGTGCATATATGATTACTTCTTAGATACTTTCTTCTTAAATAGCAAATAATTTTATCGTGTGATTGTCGATGATTGCAAACGATGACCGGTACGACCCTAAACGTTGCAAATCTTTTTTAGGGTTTATGATCTTCTGTGCTTATCTGGAAATTTTTTATTTAGGAATTTTAATTCAGTGTTAAAAAGAGTGACAATGCGACTTGATCAAAGCTAGATTATTTTGCTGTGTGAATAGCGATGATTAGAATAATAGCAAGCAATTTTCCCCTTTATGGAGCACTTACAAGATACTCGGTCTAAAGCTTATGTGAGTTTCATGTAAAACCTGTAATTCAACATTTCTCATTCATCTTCTTGTTTTAATATGATCGGTTTTTTAAAAATAATTTTCAGGGTTTTTGGGTCATTGGATAATGAATGTTTTGAGCCATTTTAGCACGGCAAATTTTTTACAACTCCAGAAATATTTAACTTTCTCTGTATGCTTCCAACCTTTTCTGCACATAATTTTATGAGCGTGATGTGTCTTGTTATTCAGTCCCCTATTCATATTAGATGATCTTCTAAAAGCCCCCCCCCCCTTCATCACTACCCTTTTTTACTTTCTGCATAGAACTACATATAGGTACTTCCAATCTACACAATTATCTTTCTTCATAGTTAACAGCACATTGTCAAGAGAAACATCCTGCGGGATACATGCAAATGCTGGGGTAGAGACAGGTGTAGCCAGCACAAAAGCCTACACCAGTCAAATCCTAGCACTCATTATGCTTGCTCTGATGATGGCAGAAGACAGTCGCATTAAGCAGCCACGAGTAAAGGAGATAATCGACGGTCTAAAGGAATTACCAGGTGAGGGGGAAAAGGGGGGTTCGCTGTTTTCACGAAGTTCTGGAATACTTCGCTAATGGAGTAGAATTTGCTCGATAAAATATTTTCAGGTCTTGTGCATCTTTTTACTCGATTTCTCGATTATTGATTTTCAGTATGCAAGCTTTTACGTTTAACGCTCGATTAAATACATTACACGAAAACTAATCTATTTCTTCATTTTTCATGGATTCAAAAAACCTTCGATCCTTATGAAGATAACACCCCCTTTCTGTCCCTCCAAAGCAGTGGCGGATTCAAGGGGGGCAACAAGGGGGAGTTGTCCCTCCCTCGACGAGTTGAAGCAAGTCTGGCGCCCCTTTTTTTAAAATTTTGCGCCCCTTTTCAAGAATGCGAATCAGGTGAAAAAGATTCTGAGACTTATTGGTTAGTTTACTTCAAGGATTATCTCAAAGTATGCAACAATTATTGTGAAAATTCCCTTCCAAAGTGAATGGAGAGCCTTCTGTCAGTAGTTGAGGACTGAAATTATTGTATACATACAGCATACACTCGTCACCAATTTCTGAAAATTTTACAGCGCCCCCACCACCAACTGCCCCTCCTTCAAATTTGCTCTGGATCCGCCCTTGCTCCCAGGTAAGTTGCCTTTCTGAAACAGGTAAGTAATGGTTTCTGAATCCTTACTCCTTGATAAAACCCATTTTCTCGTGTATCTTTGGGAAATGGAAAGATATCCAGAAAATGTAAAGTTGTAGATCTCTATTGTTTATGTTCTAGGAAAAATGAGACAGGTGTTGGAACTCCAAGATCAATTGAGAAAATACGGAAAGCAGCTGAGTGGAATGAAAAGCTTATTGGTGATGGGAAGAGGATACCACTATGCGACATGTCTTGAGGGTGCATTTGTAAGTGACTTTCTCTCCTCATTGACTCATATCTAATCAAGAGTACTGGGGTAATTGTTAAGCGTACAGGGGCAGCCGTTGAGAGGAAATACATTCCTCCCATCAATGCTACACGCAAAACTAAAAAATAATTTTTCTACAATATAACGAGATAGCAACGAGATTGGTTGATTTGAGTGATTGTTCGATTAAGTGATCGTCTAGTTTTTGACCTTATAGAAAGTGAAGGAGCTCGCAAATATGCATTCAGAAGGAATTCTGTCCGGAGAACTGAAGCATGGGCCACTGGCACTGATTGACAAAGAAATGCCGATTGTAATGGTCATTTCGAAGGATTCGACTTACGATGTAAGAAAATTCATAATTTGACATCTTTTCTCGCTTTCACTTTTTGCATTTTAGTCTTCTGTTTAAGGTAAATGACATCAGCTTGATTGTAGTTTATCATTTGTCCCAAGTATAAGAATGGCTTGGGAAAAAATTAATGTCGTTTAATAAGCCTGTACACCCCTAACATTTCTACCAAGAGTGGTATCCCCTTTGGAGGGGTATTCATTAGTGAAGCGTTTCGAAAGGGGATACCTAAGGAACACTTTCTTTGAAACCAGATTGAGGCCAAAAATCAGTGATTTTCTCGTTTTGTAACGTAAAAAGCTCTATCTGACAACAAATAAAATGTATATCAAAGTAGAGACCTTCTTTGGGCAACTTTCCCCCAGTCCTTTCAAACTGCACCGATTTGTGCCTTTGTGCTTTGATTTCGTGACTATTGGTCACTGTTTCGAAAGGTAAAGGACGATCACTTGAACATTTTTACAACTCCTCAAATAGCATTGGCAGCTGAAACTCTGACAATACACCCATAGTTTAAACAAACTCTGACAAACATGCGAAACCATACCTTTATGCATCTTGAGTTGTTTGTTCCTAGTATTTCCTCATTATCTTTCGCAAATCAAGACCCCTTCGATTGAAGCTCTTTTCATTTTCAGCTTATGGCTTGTTCTAAAACAAAACAAAACTGTCAAAACTTTGGGCTACATTTACGATAGCATACTTAATGAAACTACTGCAGTTTTTCTTAGTCTTAAATGTATCTTTTTTCATTGTAGAAATGTATCAATGCTTTACAGCAAGTTATTGCTAGACACGTAAGTTAACTTCTTAAAATGTTTCAGGTAAATAGATTGGGCTATTGGAAACCCCCTTTTAGCACAAGGGGCAGAGTATCCTCAACGAGCAAAGCTCCTTTTGATTTTGCTGTATAATGCCAACGAAAATAAATAAAAGTCCTAATTGGGGTGAATTTTCCAAAAACATTTTGCTCCATTGTTATTCAAACAGCTCTGTCACTTATAAATAAAATTGATCCTATCTTCATTTACACAAGCAATGATCTATGACCATTCCGTATTTTCGGCCCTAATTTAAGAACATGTCTTAGCCAGTACCTCAAATATTAACATATTTTTTATTGTTACACATTCCCTGCTTCCATTTCTAGTTCATCTTACCTCAAATTTGATATTGGTAATATTCCTATAGTTTTTTAGGGCCTTCTTGTGAGGATAAGCCGCTGTTTTAAAGAATAAAAAGTTAAACAAAGATATTTCACCGCAGTTGGACTCGCTACCCGAAGGGCGATTCACTCTTGCAAATAGCGTACGAGATTTTGCCTAAAACAAAAGGATTTCTGGGGATTTTCAGATAAAACAATAGGATTTTCACAAAAGGTGTACGAGATTTTTAGAGTGATTTGCCCCTCGTCGCAACCAACCCCCTCCCCCCCAGTTAGTTTGTTCTAAAGGCCCGTGCTACACTTTAATTAATCATAATATTTTCTCTACATTTCAATGCATCAAATTGCTCGAAGGTGTGATTGAATCCAATACTAGCTGTGGATTTTTTGTAAATAACGTAAAGATATATTTCCATGACAGGGGCAGCCAATATTATTATGCAGCGAAGACTGTGAATTATCTACAATGGCAACACGGATAATTAAAATTCCAAAAACAGTGGATTGTTTGCAACCTTGCTTGAACATAATACCATTGCAGATGCTAAGCATGTATATGGCACAAAACAGGGGACATGATGTAAGTAACTAAGAATGATTTATCAGTTTATTAGTTTATATAGCTATCTGCTGAGATTAAAGTAAAATTTTAGTACAATATTATAACGACAAAAGGGATGCTTTGCATCTCCCGTCACCTTTTTTTTATTTTCTTATCAATGATTAAATAAACTACCACAAGCAGCTAAATATGTCGCCTTCAGTTGAAAAGACATAACGTCAACTGGCCCCACTGCAAACGGCAATTAAAATTTAACATTTTACAATCCAATAAAAGAAAGAAGAAGAAAAGAACGCAAAAACTTGCAGATGATAGTGCTTGTAAGAGCCTGAATGAAGAGAATGACTGAGATAAACACAAGATCCCGTCATCTGATGTTGGATTTTGACAATCGTTAGTCCCCCTATGACCAGTTAGTGACCTTCAAGATTTTTGATTCAGTATTTAGGCATTCAGTCAATGCCCAGTATTCTTATATTAATCAGGGTGTAAGGACAGATGCTAAAATCGAAAGAGTGCAGTTAGAAAGCTGCAATTTGATCAAAAATCAGATTTCCACCCTTTTGAAAAAGATGAAGCTTTTTAAAATCTAGAGGCATTAAACCATATTTTAAGTCCTCTAGGAGATTCCCTCCGTAACACCAGCCAATGACAGCGAGGGACGGAAATTTAAAATACATGCTTACAAATTCATCGCCACAATGAGCTATTCTGAAGATGTACGAATCTCTATGCAAAGTTTCAGATCCAGAAAATTTAAGTCGTTAAAACAGTGCAAATGTTATGTGGTTGTGCGAGTAGAAAAAAACATAAAGCAGCGTTTCATTAGTCAATATAATGTAATTTGCGACCATTAAATCCTTGATGAAATATGCAATTTTCATTTGTAAACTTCGGAAGGATATCCCATAATTTCGTGTGTTTTATTTGACTACACTGACTATTGTGAAGATACTGCTATTGTCACTTTCTATAAATAATTTCATGATGAGCCGTGCAATATCCCTTTAATCGTAATAACCTGCAAAAATTCATCAGTTTTGCTAATAATATGAATGGCAACGAATAACATTAAATCGTTCAATGTATAGTAATAAACTTACACAGGCGTTGCAGTAAGTCAATGTATCAATTCTCATGTTCAAAGGATACCGAAATTATTACATTTCGAAGTTTCTTCGCTTTTCTCATCTGACTTTTTTTTCTTCTTGAGAACTTGACCTACCAATAATTAATTGCAAGCGTACCAGGAAAGCTTTCATTAACGAAGATTCCTTTTGATTATCATATGTAACGATATTCGTCTTACTCAAGAATAGTATTGTTCGTATCATTCACTAAGACGTTCTTGGCAGGTTGACAAGCCAAGACATTTGGTGAAAGCAGTAACACACGAAGCTTGATGCACCATAAACCAAGATCACCAAGTAGATTATTGGAGAATAAAGAACACTGCAATCTAACAAAATTATATTGCTTAACAAAATTATATTGCGTAATATAATTAAATTGCTTTATTCCTTCTACAATATGATAAGCATTCACGTAACATGATTCGTGTTGTACTTGTTCTAATAAAGAGAATGTTCCACAATAATTAGTACTGTATTTTATTAAAGGATTAATAGTTTATTTTATCGAGATAATGTACATTTTACTCTATGCTTAATGGAGGTGGACGAAAATCGAAAGAAAACCCTAAGTATAAAGTCAACAGGTTTGAAATAGGAGTTTCATGACCGAATCTGATTATGAATAAAGCCCCTTCTTCAAACTATGTTTAATGGAAATTTTAAATAGAATATGGTTACTGACGATAAAATTCCATAGGAACATTATAATGATTTTTCACAATTAAACAGACGCGAACATTGGCACCCACAGACGAGCGTGAATTATTCATTAGAAGATGAGAGATTGAGCTGAAAACTCATTATAATGTTAATCATACAGACAGGGTCGATTCCCTTTTTTACAGCCATCATATTTTATTTTTAAAATGTTTACTTTTTTTCAGAAGAGTGTGAAATATTCAATCTTTGATTTGTGCATTGTATTAGAAGATGGAAATGTTTAAATGTCGCTATATTCGTTGTCAGATTAGTTTGAGTAGAGTTTATCTAAAGCTACAGTTTTTACTAAAATTAAATTATGGTGTTGCTAAAAATTTGCTTAAAACTTTTTCACTATTAGCTGTTTAATATAACAAATATAGAGTACAATTGAATTTGAATTCTTCGAATTATTTATTAATTATGAATTTGGGGATTTTGAAGGTTTCTTTTTATTTCACTATCTATAATATGAAAGAAAACAAATGGTATGAAGGAATGATAATGAATTCTTGAGAGGTTGTTTTTGTTATCAAGTCGTTTCTGCTAGATAACTTAATTTTCCTGATAGTTTCACACCTATAAGATACAATGAACAAAAAGCCTTTTCTTGTTATTATGAGATTTAAAAAACTGTTTCTATAGGAGTCATGTTGATGTCAAAGCCCCTCCCTGGAACAAAGGTGTGTCATCGAATTTAGCGATGCTCCAACTATCCAAGACTGAAACTTTAAATACAGTATTCAAACTGCGCTCTCATTTCTTGACCATTTCACTTATTATGGATACTTCATTCTAAATCCTACGTAGCTAATTAAAGCAGAGAGGTAGCAATAATGTCTAAGATAAATAAACATAGAATATGATGTGAAGCCAGTGGGGAATTCTTCAAACGCAAAGAGTGCGAGGCGAGGCCATACACTTAAAACCACAACAACTTTCCATAAAAGAATATCAAAAGGCCCACCCCTACCCCCTCCTACTCCGAAGAAAATAACAGTATCAATGACCTTTATATACAATCAAAAGAAATAACATCGAGGAACTTTCATTTTTAGCGGCTCTACGATCTGAAATAAGCAATAAAGCTACCGAGACTGTTTAGGAGAAATTGTATGTCCCTGATTGTCAAGAAATACATTGTCATCTTCCTCGTCTCCATCAATCGCTGCGTTATTTCCAGCATTTACCAATGTGACGTCATTTGAGCTTGGCGAGGGAGCCCTATGTACAGTTAAGTTATCCACTGCATAGATAATGGAAGAAATGCTCACACCGCGCATTTTTCTTTCTTGTTCTAGTTTCAAGTTGTCAAAAACATATGGATTTTCTTGCGCAGCTGAAACTGGGCAGGAAGAGCTTAAATATGCACTTATAATCGGTGGATCATCCTGTTGTATACCAGTGTGTTGATTTTCAAATACCTCTTCTATTATTGATCCATTCCGACTTTTAGTGAAGAGAAATTCTTTTTTTAGTCCTCTTGTTGGACTTCCTACTGTTGATACATCGATTGAGTTCCGTTTTCCTCTTCGCCTTTTGACTCCTTTTCCCTCCGATTCGTCCTTTAGGGAGAACTTTTTAGAGCCGGGTACTTCAAGAAAGGTCGTCGAAGTCCCAGCTCTTGATCTTGTTAGCTTTGACAAAGTCCCTTCTCGTGACGCATATGAAAATACAGCTAAAAATAAAATATCCAGTTAGAGCATTGTTTAAAAATTATCTACGGTCACCAAGCAAGAAGATTTTGTGGGCCCGTGGCAACAGTTCGAATTGAGACCCTCTAAATACAGGGTCTGGCCTGGAGGAAAATAAGGGTGAAGAAAAGTGGAGAAATTTCCCAAAATTCTATCCTTTAGAGCAACAGACAAGACCATACCTTCTTAAAGTAGTGAAGCCTTGAAAACTTTTATAATTCATTATCTGAAAACCCATCCGTAAAATACCCAGAACGATTATGCAAAACGGTTTGTACTTTTTTAGAGCTGGGGCTTGGAACACCTCCCCTTACCCTGTGTGCCAGAGTGAAAGAGTAGACCACTGTTGGACCATCCCTTTCCCTGAGGCTCTGGTCCCCTTTGCTACAATAGCATAACCTTCATAGTAATTGTGTATTTGGCCGTCTTTGGACCATGCATGTACAAAACAATTTAACAATACAATATACATCAACTTACACATGTTGAGCGAATTGGTAATGCTCAGCCGTCTAACTGGCTCTGCGAGGCAGCTACAGACTTTTCCCAACATCGATCTGAGAGCCGATTTATAGCCTCGATTACATGATACGTACAATATTGGGTTAAGCATTGGGTTGATATGAGCCAGCAGATGCAAGTAGAAGTGATAGGATTCGTTTACAGGTAACTTCAGCAATGTCAAAGCCCTGTATGTCTGAAATAAAAATGTAATCTCCAGTACAAATAGTTGGAAGAAAAGATAACTGGAACTGAAGATGACGTAGAAAAAAGATAAGAGAAGCGACGATAACTTTTTAAGACACTGGGTCATCTGATGACTTCAAAATAAAATCCTTTTGAGGTGGTATTGATTGAAGACTTTCGAACATTTACACGTGTTAATATTTCATTCGCAACACTTGATAACACAAGAGCACCTGACTTGGCGATTTCGAAAGATTTTCATCATAACTGTACGGCTTTTCGAGGCAAAATAGTATTTGGAAATTGATATTCACTTCAAAACATTTTTACTTATTAAAAACATTTAATAATAACCTCACACAACAATTTACAACTTAGAGTTAAGTTTGTAATTTATGTACACGATTCAACGCACCTTTTGAATAAGCACCCTCAGAAAAGCATTATAAAAGGGCGTAGTTCACCCATGGCATTTTTCCAAAGTAATACGGTATTTGGTTGCAGAAAAGTATTACGATACGATATTTTCAAAGTATCTATGCATGACTCACGACTGTCGCAGTCTCATTCAAAACAAATGAAAGGTTTTATGGTACTTACCAAAAAAGGAATGTAGCATATAAGGAATATCGACACAATTATGACAGTCATCATTGTGTATCCCTTCTGTAGAATTCCATTTGCGTGAACCCCACGTCTCTGTTGAAACGATAACCTCGATGTCCATTTCTTTTTTACTCTTAGCTCACGGATCATCCTTGTCGTCAGCCATATTTGGATAATGATTAGGCACCAACCCTCCCAGACTACAAGGTGTACCAAAGCAAAATCTTTCTTCGTCTTCGGTGGAATCTCGAATGCGCAATATTGTCCCTTGCTGTAGAATTTGAATCTGCCAATGTGAAACAGGGGAAGTAGTATATGAATCGCGGACCAAAGAAGCAAACCGAATAAGATCCAACGCACAATGCTGTATGTTATATGAGTTCTGTAAAACAAGGGCCTCACAACACAAAAGTATCTCAAAGCACACATTAATAAAACGATGAGGGCAGCCCATAGCAGTAGCACTGTAGAGATGAAACCAAATGCCTGACATACGTCAGTTTTGGTCAGTTTATACCCAGAGCAAGAGAGTGCTATGGGTATCAAGTTAGATACTGCCCCTAAGACATCCGATACAACGAGCACTCGAACTACCAGATGGCACGTGTTTCTGTTGTATCCTTTCAGTTTTGACAGTAAAACGACAGCTACAAGATTGAGAACGATTGTGACCGTTTGAACCACGAGATATATAACTGCATGAACGGAACAGGATGATTTGCCCACTGTTGGCCATTCTTTCTCAGTCCATCCTTTACCAGATATATTAGCCATTTAATTGCTCATCGCATCACTCTCAAACATGCATTTATTGGTCTAAATGTGTTTATTGACCATTGCTGAGCTTGGCTAGGCTGGAGGTTTTCTGGTACAGAACCTGCTATAAAAAAGAATTCCATCAGCTCTGCATATCAAAATGCAGAAAAACACAATGAAGGCCTGTAAGACTCAGGTAATCAAAAGTTGAACTAGCCGTTAAAATTATGGAAGAGAAAATATTAAGATATATCAAATCAGTTTGACTGTATCGCAACAATGAAATCTCTTTTTACTTGCTACAAGCCAGGCTTCTCATAAATGATCGACTATTCAGGCAGTTATCGCTATCTGAATCTGGCTGTATCTGATTCCTTTGCTGAACCAATTCAAAGAAACAGGGAGATAGGCTTAATTGCTATGAGAAAGATCAATGTAATTGTAGGCGCTAAGTCTGGTATTGATGTTACTTTGTCGTCTGTTTACAAAATGACGTAAAGGTATTACAAAGACATATCATGTTCGGAGGCATCAACTTACTTTTAAAAATGGGTGTGCAAAAACAAGAGATGTGATTACACTGAAACTTTAGTTCACGCGCAAATGGAAGCATAATGTCTTTAGAAGCAGAAAGTTTTAAGATTTGTAGATATCAGAAAGGTAAAGAAAAAAGAAGGTAACAAAGATAAAGATCTATGTGAATGATTTTGTAAAATAGAACTTCGCATATATTTAATGCGTTTTGCATTTATTGCATTTTATTTATATGCTCAAGATTACTTTCAGCTTTTCAATATTTATCAAATTTGCAAGCAAGGTGTTACCTACACTGTTTTCGAATTTTTTTCAACTCAAATTAACTGTAACGCTACAACTGATCCAGTTTTGCGCTCTAATTCCAAGCCAAAGTCTCAAGCCAAAGGCAGTTCCAGTTACATTGATAGATTGTTCAGTGATAAAAGTCATTTTGTCCATGTTTTCAATATTCCATTAACTTAATTTCAACATGAAAATGCATTCATAGGTTGTAACTTTTTGTAAATACCAGACAGCAGTTACCCTTAGATGACCCTTATCGCAAGGCTCATTCTAGTTCCTTATAATGCCAGCTGCTGGGGTGGGGCAACTGCCCCGCTAGCCCCAGTATGCTCCCCCCACCCCACGACTGGGCAAAATCATTTTTTCAATCCAACATGGTCGCAATTTCGGCCCACTATCCGTTTTTCTTTCTAAAGCAAAGCTCATGGAACCAATGTCTAGACAGTTAAAAATCCTTAAAGATGCTGTGCCATACCTTGAATAAAATGTTGTTATGTGTATCAGCAAATAGCTTACCTTTATAAACATCCAAACGACAAAACCAAGCTTTTCCCCATCTTCAATAAGAATAAAAAAGTCATTGCAGCTCAAATCTTACTAAAAACTCATTGAAATGTGTTCGATTGTAGATGAAGACCAGCAAACATCAAGTTGATGTCGTTTTTGCAGCCTATTCTGGAGTAGATAAACTTTATTGATCTTGTGTATTCAGAGATATGACTGTAGGCTACTGGCTACTCCTTAAGCATCTGCGATCACTTTTGTTGCAATCCTTCTCAAGCATCCAAGAAAACGCATGTCACTCCTCCTCAAACTCCATAATTAACAGGTAAACAGCCCGTAAGTCGTGGGATTACAAACTATTGATGTAGAATCTTGAGTTATCTAATAAAAATCGAGTTATGCATCCCATATGTAAATGAAGAAATGAAAAGTTCTTGAAGTCGAACGCAGCTGATTTGACACAAGAGTTGAGAGTAATGCTAACGACAGGTTTGTTATGACCATAAAGCGACTTCCCTGATAAACATCTTCCTTCTCGAATGATAGATCAAGCTAAAGAAACCAATATTTAGCTTTTAATACAATTGTTGCTTTTTTAGTCTGCGTATATTAACAAATATTGATAAAAGACTAAAGGAGTTATGGTGTGAGATGTTTATCGAAAGTATTATTCCATACAATTTAACTGGATGTTTGGTACAAGGACAGCCAATCACGAGAAAAAAATAAAGCTATGATATCTTTCTTATAAACATTAAAACTAAAATTAGACACTCTTACATGAAAACATCTTTTAAGTTTTGCTTGAATTTACGTCATTGATAACAGCCATCATGGAAACTCGAATTATGTCCTTAAAACTGAAAGCAAAGTGACCCCCAAGATGAAAGAAACAATAGTATTAATTTGGCTCAAGTTTGAAAAAGTTTTTAAAGATGGGATTGAAATGATTAATTTAAGTGATTCATTTCAAAGTTTTTCTATTTAGTCGTGTACAGCACATGCTTAAAGAAAACGATATTAATAACCACGATTTTTTTTACAGAAAGTGAGTAATAGACAATTGCAGATGTGTTGACGTCATCATAATGGCGAAACAACATGTTGTTGGAAATTCCCCAACTGTGTGAGTTCTTTCACGATAAAAATTGATTTGGTAAAAGCATCAAGCGACTTTCATGCGAATTCAAACGTAACATTTTACAACTTAGCTACAATGTGATACCCGATATGACTACGACATGAATATGAGATTCTTTCAGTGGCGAAGCTAGCCAAAAATTGTTGGTCCTGCTATATGGACAGGGCCACGCCCTTATTCAATTGGAAAGGCCTATGGACAAAAATTCTATTTTGCAGATGAATTTTTTCTTAAATTCAGTAAAAAGCAAATTTTAAATCGATGTCTATCTTTTGAGAAATAAACTCATACTTAAAGACGTGCTTTAGGGTGCTTACTTTTCAAACAAATCTATGTTAAATTGTAGTAAGCCTCTACAGCTGAAGTAAAAGTTCAAATTGGTGATAACTAAATTTGACGATAAAAGGGGGTAGGGGTGGCATTTGAAGTTGCATATCATATATTTGTGGTATTCCAGATTTTGGTCTTATAAACCTGACAAATCTAGATACTCTATTAAAGAAATTTTAATAAACAACAGAGTTTAAAGTCTGTAGGGGCAAGTTCACATATTCTGCAGAACAATTATTCTGCAGCTGATAAAGAGAGGTACAATCCAATAATGTGTCGCATTATCAATTAAAACAACTTTATTAGATAAACCATTAGACGAGAAAACAATTCAGGTAGAAAAATGCAAATTCCGCTGAAATTGGTTTATTCTCCAACTCAAAACTTTCAATCACACAACAGTAAATTCAATTATGCTTTCATCGTCCTTGTCCAAGTCTAAGAAAATTTTATTTAGGCCACCATGATATACCGTGCCTCAAACGATCGTACAAAGGCCGAAATCAGAGTGCCTTATACAGCCAATTCTTGTTGTTTACATTTCTTTCTTGCGAACTTTGGACTCTGTCTTGTTACAAATAAAATTTATGCAGCTCAACTGAGGCAAGTTTTGCTGTCAATAATAATATCATTGGTATTGCCAAAGCAGCAGAAAATCCGCATTCACATCGCCTCGCCATAATACTTGAACTGGCCTCCTTGCTAGTATCTCATAGCAGAACGAGAATGCACAGGGCAATTCTTGCAGTCCTGCTCTCAGAAATAGCAGGACCAAAGGTTTTCAAAACAATGCTCTTTGACCTACGTAGGTGAGCCCTCAACCAATCAAATCACAACTGCTTACGAAATGTTATGATGGTTATTCCGACGAGGTCCTGCTCCCGAGACTGAGCAGGACTGCTCTTTGTTCTAGACTATTGTGAAGCAGGACTAAATTCACAAAAGCCCATTGTGAAGCAGGACCAAACATAGGGTATCATAGCTATGAGCAGGACCAAAATACAGGGCTGCCGTAGAAGAGAACAGGACCTTGAGATTAGCACGGGATGCCTGTATCAGCTGGCGGAACTGGGGACTGTTTATCAAAAACAATTTGAAACTTCCTTTTTGCAAAGAAGAAATTGTTTATTGTTAACAGTAAATCTTATCTTTGGAAATTCTTGGTCCTGCTCAGCAGGACCAGCAGGACATTTGGCTTCGCCACTGGATACAGCTGAAATTAATATTGGGGTTCCACAAGGATCTTGCCTTGGACCTCTCTTATTTTTGCTTTATATAAATGATCTTCCTTTCGCTTTAAGAAAGGCACACGCTACTATGTACGCCGACGATACAGCGATTTCCTACTCTTCGGATAAAATCGAAGAAATTGGCGTTGTTGTCAAAGCAGAACTTGCCTGCCTCGAGAAATTGTTGCAGGGCAATAAGCTTTCCTTGAATATCGTCAAAACACAAGCCATGATAATTGGTTCAGCCCAAAAGCTGGGGCAGGTAAACAAAACATCAGTAATCACCCCTTGCTTAAAAAGTTAACGGGAACGATATCAAACTTGTGCATGAAACTAAATATCTTGGTGTCATGATTGACGAAAATTTGAAATGGGGAAGCCAGGCAAAATTCCTTCAAAAGAAAATCTCACGAGCCCTTGGGCTTTCTTTTAAAATATGCTAAACAATTTGTACCAGAAGAGATGTTAAGGAACATGTATTTAAGTATCGTCGAGCCCCACCCCAGCTATTGTTGCTCAGTATGGGGATGCTATGGCGATACTAAACTGAAAACCTTGCAAAAATTGCAGAACAGAGCTGCAAGAATTGTCACGGGCTGCCCTTTTGATTCATCGGCTGCTCCATTGTTGCAAAGATTAGGATGGCTCTCGGTTGATAGGCTTGTCCATAGGGAAACATCTACCATGGTATATAAATCCCTAAATCAACTTGCTCCCGACAACCTACAAATGCCTGCCAAAAGTCTTGGAACACTAACATCAATTTTCAAGGTCAAAACCAATCATCCCCCTCTCCCCCAAGGAACAATGTTGGTTTACTATCAAACGGGTTAGGATTTTAGGAAGCACTTTCTTTTGCGCTTCTTTTATGATATTTCTCTAAATCATCAACATTGTTTGAGGGCGAAGGGGGCGGAAGTAGCATTTTTTTTTCATGAAAGGAATGAAAGATATCAAATGCAGCGTAAATTGGTGGGTGTTCCAAGTACTTTTGGCAGGCATTGTATGTCAGATATTCTCCCGATTGTCTGATGTTCACAATCGGATCTTACGAAATGTGATCTAGTTATACCTCGAACAAACTCCATTCTGATATCAAGTTAGCTCCTTCCATCCAGTCATTTGAAGCCGAACTCAAGTTCTTAATTGAAAATATTCTTTTTTAATTTTCGTTTTTCTAATTTTTTATTACTAGGTATTTATACATTTATAGGTTTAGACGATTATTGTGATTTTTAGTTACTTTTATTTTAAGTTGCAGGGTATATTGTAAAATGCTATTCAAACTGAATTGTAACCCTGGGTAAAGAATTTTAAAATAAAGAATTTTAAAATAAAAAATAAAGTAAAATAAAAATAACTATAGTATGCAATGTTAAGATGGTATATGTTAGATATCCACGAAGGAATGTTGATTTTCTAGGCCGCCAATTTCGGGCCACATGTTGTTCGTTGTGCTGTCGGATATATATTGTAACGAAATTTTGATAAATGCTGAACATTCTTAAAAATTCTACGTTTTCGTACAATTTTTGAAACTTATAATCTTTTTACAAAATTCATGCTTTTGAATATTATATTTAACATTTCAAAAGCTTATTACTGCCCCAACACAAAGCCACTGCAAGTAAAGAAAAATGAGATTTGGTAACAGCTTTCCCGAGTTTTTGTAAATTATTTTCATATTTGAGTGAATAATGGGAGCAACAACTGTGACTGTTACAAAAAAAGGAAGAACAATTGAAGCTGTGTCACGATGGAAACAGTGGGAAAACGAACAGATGAAAATGCTGTTGAACGGTCAAATGTTTCAGAAACGAACTGAACAGTCAAAGGCTTGTGTTGCATAAGCAAGTACATTTTAAAATCTAAAGAACTATGAAGCTCTTCGTTTATGAATATAAGAACCTGCCCAAATTTTTGCAGCAAAATTCCTACATAGTTAAAGGCTATAGAGTGGAGTTATCTAATACAGACTGTTTTAAAAGGTTAGTTGAAAGTTAGATTCGATTTGTTGAAATTATTGTTTTTTGTTATTCACTGTTTTGTAGTGGAGTTGATAGAGGATACTTTTTGTAGAAAAATATCATATTAAGGATTGATTATTAACTAAAAGTTTTCAGAGTAACGAACTTCTTTCCAAGTTTAATTCTAGCAAGAAATGTCCTTAAAAAGCATTTCTCGGAAGTTTGATACAAATAAGAACATTTTGTGAACATTTTGTAATTCGATGTTGAAATTTTAATTGCTGTTCCCATAAAGATTCGATTGAGCTCCTGCCCTAAAATAAGCTCCCGTGGTGGGTTATTTGATTTTTGAAAAATACTGGCTATTAGCCTGAAAGTAAAGAAATCATTTATGTTTTTGGCAAAAATGATATACAAATCATCGGCTCTTTTCCTCACCTTTTCCCCCTCTCTACTCTCCATTTCTCCTGTTTTTCGAAATTCTGTTAAATGTTCTTAACATTTTATATTTTCCTTCGCTCTTTATGCATTTAATAAATTGTCATTTTTTGTCCCACTCTCGATGCAGCAAGAATTTATGCAATTACTGGAAGAAGTTGACTAATTAAAGCTTAAAATTTAATGTTGAAACCTTTTGGTAAACCATGGTGGGTAAACTTTGAAGTATATTTAACAAGTTCCCCATCAAAGAAGTCTTCCCCTTGAATAATACTGTGATATGGTTTTGAGAAGTGAGAGAGCATGCAACTTCTATTGAGATAAAGAACTAACCACAACGGTATATAAAAGCGAACTCTCTGATCTATTTGTTATTGGCAGTTATGAAACAAAAGTTGACTACGCTAACTCGAAACAGAAAAGCCCATCTACTCTTTCCAGGACCAATTTTGTTTTACACATTTTAGGGCTTCCAATGAAATTAAAACGGGTGCAAGAGTAACCCAAGCTATTTTGCGTTGCAAAACTGTAGCCATGTCTCCGTAGGAGGAAGGTCCTGCGTTCTTCACTTATCTCATTACGAAAATGCTGAGTATTGCAGTAATTGTTGCCATGACATCAATTCTATGAAAAGCTTGCGAGCATGCGTTAACTCTCAAGGAAAATCCCTTGCTATCAGCAGCTTGGAAAATGGAAATTCAAAGTTGCATTTTTGGATAAATCTGATTTAATAATGATATTATAAAAGATACTGAAAGATGCATTAGAATAAGAGCAGAAAATTTTGAATCGTCAATCATGTCAAATATCGCACTGAACTTATGAGGACTGCATATGTGATGATACTTGGCCTAAGTATAAGACATTCTCGGGGAGGATGTTCTTAAGCAAACTTGACTTACAAACAATGGAAAGGGTCGAACTTGGAGAGGAGGATCACAGTTCTTATTGTGGAATTTACTGCTATCATGAAATTCCATCCTTTCTGCAAGGCAACTTATGGATTTTGCGTGGATATCGGGTGAATTTTTCCTACTCACAATGCATTAGAAGGTGATTCTTTTTTCCCAGCCAAAACAGTTTTTCTATTTTGCTTTAAAGCTTTTGTATAAAATGTCTCTTAGAGTCTGTGTCGACATAAATATTTGAATGGAAAACTGTGCGAATAAACAAAGTTAATAATGATAGGACAATCGTTCTTCGAGTAAAAAAAATGGATAGAAATAATATTGTCTCAAAATTCACAAAAGATTGCCAAACTAACCCCCAACTACAGTTTGAATAATGTAGGCCAATGTATGGCCTCTTATTATTGATAAAAATGAATATTTGAAAGGGAAAATGTACATAGAATAAAGTAGTTTTAAATGAACCTTGTAATACAGCTTCACAATAATATACACAAATTAATCACTACATTGGTCTAAACTTACTTCATTTCCTGTTTCAATCATATTGTGTGTATTATCCATGTTTTGGGTTTTGTACAGTATTCTTTAAATATAGACAGATAAACCCTACTTCCATCAGCCCTGGTATGATTTATTTTCTTCTTTGAAATTTTTAAAATCTCACCTAAAGCTAACCCCTTGTCATCCAAGTCACTTATGCTTCAACTAAAACAAACTTTCACTTTATGCTTTATCACAAACACATGAGTATCATTTTGATATAGTTAATTGATATCTTTAGTCTAATTTGTTACTCATAAGCTTGTTTTGTTGCTCTTTTTTCTGTCTTTAAAGTTTTTTCTGTTACATTTTATGAAAGCCACAAGATTACTGATATATTTTCTCTTTGACCCAACAGTATTCTTATGTGGACCAATGAAAGTATTAACATCTGGACTCATCTAATTGGTGGCTTATGGTTTTTGCTTATGATAATTTATGACAATATTTACACCATACCTGGAATTGATGGAACCATTCAAGACAATTTGGTTGTCACAACAATCAATATTTGTTTTGCTGTAAGTGTCCTATATCAAAGTGGAAGCTACATTTGTTTTATGCTGAAGGCTTACTAGTAGATGATTGAAAAAAATTATGCAAAGGGTGTATTGAAAGACTTTGGAGGAAATTATCTCTTAACATCTTAAAAAGAAGAGAGTCAAGCTCTTAACTACACCAGTATTTCAGATTCTTAACTTAACTACATCAATTCCAGAATCCCGACCAAAAAATGATGATTCCCATTTCCCCAAAAAACATATTGACTATTCTAAGTAATGCTGAAAATGAAATACTATTCTACACCTTGATGTAAAAACTTTAGCAGGCTTATTTACTTGTAAAGATAAAGAGGAACATAAAATTGTAACTTATTTTCAAAAGAAATGTTTTGTTTTTGCCCTCTCATTTTTGTTATGGAAGGAGTTCCTTCCTCTATTATGAAATCATTGGGTTTATTTTCCCAAGAAATTTTCTATCAATTCAATGTGTAATTTGTTTTTAGGCATGCATGCTTCTATCTGCTGGTTTTCATACATTCTGCTGTCATTCAGCCTTGTCCTATAAGAGGTGGCTTGCATTGGATCTTGCTGGAATTTCAATGAGTCTAGTTGGAATGTACATATCTTCCCTGTTTTATGGCTTCTATTGCAACTGGGTGAGTTTAACTATATAATTGTTTTTAAATTAATATTGGGGGGGGGGCTGCCCATTGTTTTCCTTCTCATTCAGTACACTGTTATAAAGGAAACATACTACAGTTTCCCCCCAGCCCCCCCCTGGTTCCGACGGGCCTAAAAGCTAGGGTCTAATAAGGGTAAAATCACACTTTGCATGGCAAATATCCTGTCAACTTGCAAGACAGAATCAAATTTATTTTTATAAGATTTAACCAAGGTGCACAATTTACTTCAGTTATTCCACTTTTCACTTTTATCATATTACTTTCTTGTAAATCAAACATTCTTTGTACTGTATACTGATACAAAATATTTTCTTATTCTAGAGGTGTCAATATTTCTACACTGGCCTTGTGAGTGCATTTCTTATCATTTGCACATATTTACACACAAAAGAGCAATTCTTGGCTCCACACTGGGCAAAGAAGAGAATCATCTTATATTCTTGCCTAGTCTTGTTTGGAGTTATCCCAGCAACACATTGGTATTTTCTGATGGGTGGATGGTCAAGTTCTGTGGTTAGGGTGAGTTTGTTAGTTGCACAACAACTTGAATTTTGAAAGGTGAGAATTCCTAACTGACCTAGAACATAATTTTTGTTGCTAAAAATCATATTAGGTTTTAGATTATTTGCTAGATGATGTTGGAATATTTTCAGATAATGTTAGATAATTTTCCCCTTCGTATTTGGTTATTTTGAATCCTTTTTTTAAATAAAGTATTATTTTTTAGGTTACAGGTCAGGGTAGGATAGCACACAATTAAATTGAGCAATGAATTCACTTTTGATAACATATTTACCCTGTCTTGAATTATTGAGCCTACTAGCCTTGTTCTGACCTTATACCTTTGCCATGCTTGCAAAAGAGGCTCAGTTTGATACTTTAAAGACAGGCTTTTAATTCCTTTGAAACCAAAGTATTGATAGTTGATGTAGTGTAATTAACTTCGAATATTATAGTTCAATATTAAATGTGCTCAAATTAATTTTAGCTCTTCATGCCAAAATTGATGGTGATGTATGCACTTGGATGTTCAGGACTTGTTGTTTATGTTTCTAAGCTCCCCGAGAGAATTTTTCCAGGTATGGCCTCTTTGCTAGTAGAAAGTGCAGTGAGATCTAATGTACATCGATAGAATGTGTGATCATTGTCACAAGAAAAATTTGATAAAATGTTGTTTGAAGGGCTCAAAACACCAAGTTTGCAGAATATTTTTAAAAGGGAAATATGCCCTTTAGAAGTTTGAAAGCAAATTATATACAAAGTATATAATTTTTATCCTACCTCTCAAACTTTCTTCAAGCTTTGGAAACCTTCCTCAATAAAAAGGAAAATAGGGAATGGTTTGGGCATGGTACTATGGTGTTTGTTTCTACGCTGTCTTTAACCATATTGCTGCCATTTTTTCTGCGCTCTCTAAAAGCTTTATGCACAAGAATTTTACAGCTCTGTGTTAAGCTGCTGACAGTCTGATAAATTCTTTTTTCAATAAACAAATTATATTTTGCCACCTAGGCTGGTTTGACTACATTGGTTGCAGTCATCAGTGGTGGCACTTACTGGTCTTGTGTGCACTTCTCTGGTTCCGTGATGCTGCCTTACAGCTCATTGTCTTTCAAATTGAAAACAGTTGCAAGGATGGTCACATTTAGGAAAGACAATGTCTAATAATTTTTTGTTTTTGATAATTTATGATTCAATACCGGTGTATTTAGCATATGCAATGACATTTTTGTAGTAAATGATTATACCTTTAAATGATAGCCAGGCCTTTCCGAAAATATTACATCAGCGGCTATCAAATATGAAAAGGTTTTCAGGCTATCTGTAATGGCAGTACCACCATCAAGACTAGTGTGTGGGGGAAGGGGGTAAAAGGTTTTTATTTTATGCCCTTCTAGGCATTGTGTATGACGTTCTACTAATATTGTACATCTACCCCTAAATCAAATTACAAAGATTCAAATATTGCCCCTCCCCCAACATTTATACCTATGTCCTTCAGTTGTGTGCCTATTGGTCATTGGTTGTTGTTGATAGTTTTGAAATTCAATAAAGTTTTAATTGGATGATAACACATTAACAAAAATGAGAGTTTTTTCAACAACGTCATGATGGAAAAATCCTGAAACTCAAGATGGAAGCTTTGATATCTAAACTTTAGTTTTCCATCCTTGTTTTTCATCTTTTCCATTTGTATTAATTAGATGATATTCAATTTTTTTATGCTAGTGCAAATAGTAATATTAGTGCTAAGGTTGTGATATCTAGTTGTTCTTTTTGGTTACAATTGAAGTGGAGTTTGGTGCATAAAGGGATGTATTTTACGAGAAGACCACATAGGGCTTTAACAAAGATGGCCTAAAACAATAACAAGTAAACACTGGGCCCCTAGCACAACACCCCATGTATATGTTTACAGACTTATTATATCAAAATATAAATTACTAATTGTAAAGAACTAATAAACGATTATAAAAGTGAAATTGCTAGCACATTTGTGTTTATTCATTCTGATTAATATTCTGCATGTTTTTAATGTACACAAATATCGAGACTTTCTATTCTGCACATTCTCAAATTATGAGACTTTCTTGTCTGAACCAAATTACCTTTTGTCGAATTCCTATTGTACGTTATTATTTTTGAACAATTTTTTTGCGGTACAGAATTTGAAAATGGCTTTGAAAAAAGCAAACATTTTACAACATACTTAAAGCTTTTTCGTCTGACACTCCTCAGAGCATAAAACGTCAGAATAGGTTCCGAAAAACATGTTTGAAAAAATATATACCCAGTTGTGGATCGAAATAGGCCAATCAGAAAAACGCAAGCACAAGACCGGTATAGTTGACCAATCAGTGCCGCGAGCCTAAAGAAAAATTACCAATGGAGTCCAAGAGAGAAAACGAACTCCTTTTGTCTACACAATGGCGGCTTTTTCGTTTTTATGTAGATTGACTTCAAAACTGCTAGATGGAAGGACGACCGGGCTCTGCCAATTATCCGAAACATGTCGTCATTAAAGAGTTTTGCACAATCTGGGTTGTCTAAAAGATGTTGACAAATGGCAGAATCACTTGTTTTAACAGTGTTTCTAGACCTACAAGATCGAGGAGGCTGTTCTCTTTGAGGGGCAGTTTTGTTTCGTATGTTGGAAGGAACATGCTGTTTTATCCTATCCCCCAATCTTTGGGTTGTGCGCCCTACGTAGCCAGAATCACACTGGCACGTAAATTCATTAATGACGGAACTTTTTTGTTTGGTAGGGACGCAATCCTTTTGAATGGATGGAAGGGCTCTCCTAGTGCTGTAAACAATCCGAGGATTGACAGCAAAGAAACAATTGGTTATGGCTTGCCTAATCTGACTCTCGAATCGCAAGGAAGTGTTACCAATCCATGGTAGTTTCAAATAAACTGGGCACTTTTGCGGACCAAACTTTTGAACAGCCGAAAAACTTGCGATCTTCTCCTTAGTATAAGATAAAATGACGTCTTCAGGATAGCCGTTGTCCAAGAAGATCGTTTTGAGTTTTTCCAGTTCAGTGTGCAGTTTAGATTTCGAGCAGATCATAAGTGCCCTATGTACTAATGTTTTGACAAGGTTGACTTTGCGTTGTTTTGGGCAAAATGAATTCCAGCGTATGTACTGACCGGTAAAAGTAGGCTTGCGATATACACTGGTAAGAAATCCAGTGTTAGACTTTTCGACTAAAACATCTAAAAATGGTAAGGAATCATTTTCTTCCTTTTCAAACGTAAACTGGAGGGCTGGGTGTAGGCTATTGTGTAGACAAAAGGAGTTCGTTTTCTCTCTTGGACTCCATTGGTAATTTTTCTTTAGGCTCGCGGCACTGATTGGTCAACTATACCGGTCTTGTGCTTGCGTTTTTCTGATTGGCCTATTTCGATCCACAACTGGGTATATATTTTTCAAACATGTTTTTCGGAACCTATTCTGACGTTTTATGCTCTGAGGAGTGTCAGACGAAAAAGCTTTAAGTATGTTGTAAAATGTTTGCTTTTTTCAAAGTTATTATTTTTAGTGCAACCAAATTGTTATAGTAAACAATTACATCATTTGGCGGCAAAAAAATGATGCTACCATTCTATTGATTGGCATCCAAAACTAAACAGAACCTTGCAAAGATATTGTTTACAAGGAGGGAGGAGGAGGTTGGATCACTCGATAGAATGAATGAGGGAATAGAAGAATGAATTAAAGAAATAATGAATGAATGAATGAATGAATGGATGAATGAATGAATTTCTTATTTAGAAAATTTCTTTGACTCAACGAATTAGAGCTCTGGCAACCCCTTTTCATCATATACCGTTTTGCATAATTGACGAAATTTTCGATTCTTGGTGCACGGTTTCACGGTCTCTGGGGAATGCCTTTTTGTATAATCTTATTTATCCTGACACGAATTCCAACAGCTTCTGGTATTCGCTTCGCAGAGACAACAAAGTAAATAAGATACACCAAACAAGCTCCAAAATAGCAAATAAATGAAATTTATCGACAAAAGTTGGAAAGGCATAAATTGGAAAGGCATCTAATTAGCTGTTTCTGCTTGCTAAAACAAGATGCTCAATGCTTAGCACACGTTGATGTTTCATGTTGATGTTTCTCTATACAAAATATCATTGAAGATGTAGAATACGGCAAGTGATAGCACATGTAAAAAAAGAGACCTACCTCAGTATTAGACAATAGGGAGCTTTATTGTATCTTTGCTTAGAATGTTTCCATTCTAGAGTGCCTCATCGGCAACAAAGTTGCAACATCAGAGTACCTGAAAGATACGCGTTTAGAAATACACATTATACAGAACGTGGTAAATTAAAAAACGAATGAAACCGAAGCGAAGCTCTCAAAATGTTTTACCATGCTCAGAAGTTTGCTTCCCAAACCTTTAGATCATTGCTTTCTCGGCTCACTTCACAGAATGCCAAGCTTTGCTTAATGGAGCTATTCTTCAAATGCTTTGGGAATATCAAATCCACTGAAGCACTGAGTTTTCGGTCCATTGAGACATCCTATTGTGATCTGGCAGACTTCAAAGTACATTCCGGTACTTTTTACATCCTCCATTTGTCTTTTCTCTGGCCTTTATTTTGCCTTTCCTTTTCTCCCTTGTTTCGTTCCCCGCGCTCATTTCCCCCTCCCTTCAAGAAATTGATACATAAAGAAACATGACAAATAATGAAGCAATAACTTCAAAATGTCAGTCTCGATTTGCCTGAGCAATGTCTGTGGTGGGTTTCCACGATAAACCAATTTATTTACCATTTAGAAGACAAGGTGGTCGCTAGAAACAAAACAATGCTTTCGTATATCCCCTTACGAAATCTATGTGCAATTTAATGCTTTCGTCCGTGCTTAACTGGACATTAATTTACTCTAAACTGTCTGAAAAGAAGTCAGTTCAAATCTACTTTGTCCATGTTCGAATTGTAACGGTGCTTCTCTTGTAATCAACCCGATATACATTGGAGTGCTGCTTAGACCATCACGCCAATATACCATAAGAGCCAACCTCAACAAAACCTTTTAATATTGGTCGAACTTAATAATTACACATTTTATGACAACAACCCCCCATTTTCATTGTACTTTTATCAATTTTGCAGCAAATTTTCTAGACCTGGGACACTAACTTGAACTTTCTCACTTAAAAGAATAAAGAGAAAACAAAGATCAACAACAAGATGTTCTATAAAATTTATTCTAAATATTTCACGCCTTTACAGATTTACTGTCAAAACAAATGAATACCTTATAAATAAGGAAGTGCTCTGTGGTTAAATAGATATAGAAACAAGGGCTAAGTACAAATAAATAAAGCAGAAAAAGTTTTAAAAATGTGCCAATATCTCAAGATTTCAAAAATAAAATATGCAGGATCACATGATCTATATTAATAATCAATATCATATTTTTGGAAATGTAGCTCCCCTTGAAATTTTTTTAATTAAAACGTGAATTTATTTTAAATTTGATAATCTCTAAAGTTTTATATTCCAATAACTGACCCTGCAAGGACTTCAATACCTGGTAAACAGTAATACTTAAACGTTTTCTGGATAGAAAACGGACGATTAAAGATAGGATTAAGATTAAGCCAGAGAAATAAAACACTATTTCACACGAAATGACTAATTCACAGACTAATTAATCAAGTTAAAATGACTGTGTGCAGAAGTTTTTCTTGAAAAGAAAACATTCCGACTTTTAGATGACACCCATCTCCTTACCAACCTCGATGAAGGCATTGATACACTCGTCTACTTGTTCTGTTGTATGGGCTGCAGACATTTGCACGCGAATACGGGCTTTGCCTATAATGAAGGTTTGAGTCAAGGCATAAAATATTAACAATTCTCTACCTGGTGTTAGAGAAATACATGTATGACTGGTAGGGCAAGACTGTGCATCAATATGAATTTCTTATATATGACAACTTAAGAGCAGTGTAAATCTCTCTTCAAGTATACAAGCCATAGCTTTAGATACCGTCAAAAAGCAATCGATGTTCCAGCAGCATTTGGGGCAGAATGAGAGCGGAAGGTGATCAGGATTGCACTAAACAAGAGGCTTTTGCTATGGCTCTTTCCTCGAATATTATCTTAGATCTCTTACGGCCATTTTCAAACTCTTTAATTTTCAAACAAGTAAGAAGCAAAAGAAACTGCAATAAGTTCTCATATTTCCGATGGCTATAAACACAAGTTTCCAAGTGTTCCAGTCTGCGATTGTGGATATAGAACAGTTTTTGACAATAAGCTTTAAAACGTTTCTACAAGTTAAATTTTCCGGGTAAATAGCCTTTGAGTAAAATTTTTCATTCAAGGGAAAAAGGAATGTAATGAAAAATACCTCTTGGCACCACCGGGAAAGTGAAACCAATGACATAAATTCCTCGATCTAGAAATAAGAAATAATAAACACTGATGACAAATAAATTCACAAATGCTTCAGAATATCCTTACTGCAAAACTGGAAGAGCATTAAAAGAAAACACAATTAAAGACGAGCAAGATGAAAAGAATAAGAGTTTTTGCCAACCCACATTAAGAATCATGAAAAATTTCATTTTAAGAACTTAAATTTCCATGATTTTCAACCATTTTCCTTAGTATTTCCAGTCACACAATCCCTGTTATCTGCTTTTTTGTCGTCTAAAAAGCTTAATGCTTGCTTGGCTTGTTACGAGCAAGCCAATGAATATATTTGCATTCATCACGTGAAAACATTTGTAATAAAACAAGACTTGGTGCACAGAATGCAAGTAAATCGATACAGCGGTGGCCTAAAATGATTCTCACCAATCATTGCATCTGAAAATGCAACTGCAGTGCGTTCATCTGGCATCATCACTGGACAAATAGGGTGGCCGTCGCCCTGTTTAAAATTGATTAATCACAAAGAATCAATGCCAAACTATTTAGAATTGCATAATCACAAAGAATCAATGCAAAACTATTTAGAATTGCATAATCACAAAGAATCAATGCTAAACTATTTAGAATTGCATAATCACAAAGAATCAATGCTAAACTATTTAGAATTGCATAATCACAAAGAATCAATGCTAAACTATTTAGAATTGCATAATCACAAAGAATCAATGCTAAACTATTTAGAATTGCATAATCACAAAGAATCAATGCTAAACTATTTAGAATTGCATAATCACAAAGAATCAATGCTAAACTATTTAGAATTGCATAATCACAAAGAATCAATGCTAAACTATTTAGAATTGCATAATCACAAAGAATCAATGCCAAACTATTTAGAACTGCATAATCACAAAGAATCAATGCTAAACCATTTAGAACTGCATAATCACAAAGAATCAATGCCAAACTATTTAGAATTGCATAATTACAAAGAATCAATGCTAAACCATTTAAAATTTAAAACTAAACTTAACCGTGATGGCGACTTGGGGGGTAAAGTTTCGCCCGGAATGATTTTTGCGGTCAAATCTCTTACAAGTTTTCAAACTTCATTTCTCCGTAAAATCTCAAATACAAGCACAAACAAAGTCAAAAATTGTATCCGGTATTAAATTATGGCGATAGAACCAAATCTGAGCTTAACAAAGTCGTATAGGTAAGAAGGTAAGTTGGAAAACGTCTAAAACGAGGCCGTAAATCGAATTGGTGTATTGCAAAGAACTTTCTAAAGACACCAATTTTGTTATTTTCAACGAATATGCCATTCCAAATGACAAATTTCTAACAAATCAACGTGTTCACAAAATAAATAAAGACGTTTTATAGAAATGATTGCACTGTCCGACCAACAAAAAGAACAACGACGACATTAATCTTCTGCAGGCTCCAGTCAACATAAGGGAAGACTCTTAAATGCCAATCCGTATAGCTTTGAATATGATTCAAACGTTCGTGAATCTAAATCACAAGTATGTTGAATTCAGAGAAGACAGAAGTCGACAATCAAATCGAAATGGATTGGAGCCCATGATTTTCAAGAACGAAAACATATGCTCTAAACACTTTCTAATGAACAGACAAGTGAAAGGACTAATTTCGCAAAAAAAAACAGCTTAAAAGAGAGAAATTAAAATGGACGTACAATAACGTTGAATCCAGCTTGGGTCATTTTCTCTCTAAAGCGCTTTGTATTTGTCATAACTTTCTTCGTGAGAGGCGAGCCATCCATCAACATATCAAATACCTTAAAAGCATTTAGAAATTCAAGCAACATAAATCATAGATTGTGTTATTGTTAACAAATGGATGTGAATGTTTTATGAATGTTTAACACATGGGCCTGAACTGAGATATTTTTGCCCAAAATATTGCAGAATTTTTTGGGGGGGCTCTCTAATGCTAAGTGTCCTGGGCACAGTGTCCTGTGGTTAATGCAGCACTACCTAAAAACCATGATTAATGAAAATAGCGGGTCGGCTTAAAGATGGGCATAAAAAGTATTTTGAAACACACTTCACTGTAAACCACTGAACGAAATGCCGCCATTGCCGTTGCCCCCTGCTTCAAAAGTGGCATTAAAACCAAATACGTCTTCTTATGAAAAACAAAAATACAAGCTACTGTTACATTAAAACAACACTCCTAAAAATATTGGCCAATAGAATATCTCAGTTCTGTACGGATTATCAGCAATTTATCACTTCTTTAACTTTACAAAAACCGCAATATTTCTCACGTTCTGGCGACGATTTGCATAATCACTAACCTTGCTAGCACTTGCAACTATTGCAGGAGGACAAGAATTTGAAAACAAGTACGGCCTAGATTTCTGCCTTAATAGCTGTACCAATTCTTTTGGAGCGGTTGTATAGCCACCTAAAACAAGCAAAATTAGTTAAGATGTAAAAAATTGCACCTTATAAAAACCCACTACATCGAATAAAACCCCTGAATTTCTCAACAATGGAATGGAAAGCTTTAGTTAGAACTGACATCATTAGAACTGTCTTTGAACGTGTGCCTATACATACATTCACTCTTTCGTCATTGCTTTCAGCTTTCCTCACTGTTTGGATTGATTTTCAGGATTAATTTTTACCCCCAGAGTTTAAAACAAACGTAGCCATCAGATCTTATTCTGAAAAGATTCTAATTAGAGGAAGATGGCAAAATGTGGTGAACAAGTCATTATGGGCCCCTTAATAACGGGCCTTTTTGTATTTAGCATCTATGAGAATCAAGGGGTAACAGAAGCCAGAAATTGTCTAAAAGATATCGATATGACGGTTGACTTACCCGCAGCCCCGC